TATTAGGTTGAGTACTAAGTCTTTCACCCAAATTCATTCACTAATTAAATAAGTCTCAAACGATCAAATGAAATACAGTTTTTTTTATTAGATAGCCCAATCATTTCTCTTGCCAATGACTTTTGAAAGCTTGTGAAAAGCTTTGTTTTGAAGTTTTTTTGGCTATCTAGACTAAACAATAGCAACTTTAAGCATTAGCAGCAACTTTGAGCAAATTGCTACAGAATTGCTGCAGATTTACTAATTCAATTGAATTTGATCGCTTTTATTGTAAAAGATAGTGCTTTCTATGCTTTAATTTCCGACTTTAAATCTTTTATTTCGAGATTTAAGATGGAATTCTAAATTTACAGTGAAATATAGTGACTTTAGTTTTTCTTCTTTATTATATTATGTGCTTATAGATGAGAAGAGAAAGTTATAGTCACTGACCAAAGAAACTCAACAAGTTAGTACCAAAGTCTACAGTTTTCGTTGCAGGATTAAATCTGAGCTATCCAGTGCAGCGCTCTGGACTTGATTTATTTAATAGAGTTAGTCCAACACCTAACAGCGCATCTTGAACTATTTGATTGAAACTGCATAATCCCAAGAATCGTTACATAACTTTTATGACTGTAGAAACCAAGATCAGCTATTAGGCCTATCCTAGTTTAGCGCTCAAGATCAAAGCTAAAACTCTACTATTAGTCTGAATGGTGTTTCAAGTGAAGCTCAGGACTGCCTAGCTTGACTGAAGCCTTTTGGATTCACTGAATGATTGGTTGGGAATGGGGTTCAAGTCAAACCTGAGATTCTCTTCTTCTGAAGGACATCCTCTTATCGTTTGACAGCTTTAAGACTGCTTAGCTTGACTGAAGCCTTTTGAATTCACTGAATGATTGGTTGAGAATGAGGTTCGAGTTAAACCTGGGTTCTCTTCTTCTGAAGGACATCCTCTTTGACAGCTTTAAGACTGCTTAGATTGACTGAAGCCCTTTTAAATCACTGAATGATTGGTTGGGAATGGGGTTCGAGTCAAACCTGGATTCTCTTCTTCTGAAGGACATCCTCTTATCGAATTTGACAGCTTTAAGACTGCCTAGCTTGACTGAAGCCTTTTTAACTCACTGAATGATTGGTTGGGAATGGGGTTCGAGTTAAACCTGAATTCTCTTCTTCTGAAGGACATCCTCTTATCGATTTGACAGCCTTAAGACAAGTAGAAGCTTTTTCAGATCAAAGTACTCTTGATAAACACAAATCTTATAACAATAGTCCCTGAGCGAAGTGATTACAAATCACATGTCTTTCCACCCCATCACCTTTCATTTCACCTCTCCCCTACCCGTCTCCAAATGTTTACTTTTTCACATTTTCGTTTTGCTGCGAAATTCCCCCTTTTCAAACGGGTCGGTAAATCTTTTTCAAAAAGGCGAATTAGGAGAAAACTTTTGCGAAAAACACTGAAAAATCATCGACTCCACCCATATTTTCGGGAATTTTCCACTTCCAAAAAAGTTTTTCGAAAATTTAACGACATTCTCTCGATTATCTCTTTTCTAAACAAGAATTTAAAATTATTTTTCCCGAAAATTTCAAGATTTTCCTTTCCGGATCATTAATTTTATTCAAAATTTTAGTTTAACTTTTTGAATTTGAATTGGTTACATGTTTGTTTATTGTTAGGCGATAAAAGCCGTCAGCTGAATATTTTTGAAAAGCGGTCAGCTGAATATCTTTTGCTGAATAGCTGAATTAAATTGACACAACGAATGGATGAATGGGATGAAAATTGAAAAATTGTAAACCGATCGGTCGGTGCTAGATCGGTCGGTGCTAGATCGGTCGGTGCTAGGTCGGTCGGTGCTAGGTCGGTCGGTGCTAGATCGGTCGGTGTTATAATCGGCTAGCAATTGCTCTAGGGCCAATCTAGTCCAGTCTTGTACAGGTACCAGCCTCAACACTGGATTTGGAATTGAACAAAGAGCCAAAAGTCAAGAGCGAGACCGAACCCCGGCCTTGCCAATGAGAGATCGTCCCGCTATCCCGCATAAGCGTTCGAATGAAAAGCTTTTCTTCTGAAAAGCCTTTAAAGCTTCTCTTCGAAATTTGAATAGAAATGTTTCAACTAAATTCATTTGCAAGCTTATTTGGTAGATTTTGATTTCAGATTATGAATCTCCATACTCGATTTAGTAAGATTTATGTGGTTCGGAAAGCTCACGGGAAGTTCGCTCTTTTCCCTGTGAGCTACCAGCTAGGACTGTCATCGATACTAGACTGCTAGGGCTGTCATTGATGAGTGTCATGTCACTGGATGAGCCCCATGACCCAGCTCTATCTGAGTAACCAGATCCATGTCCTAATATCAGAGCTAATGATGAGTCTAGAGCTAAACTTAACTAGTCTAGAATAGGTTTATATCAGTCTAGAATGGGTTTATATCAAAATGATAGTACACTTTAGCATTTTCTAGTATTCTTTTCTAGTATTTCTAGTATTAGGCCATAGATCTGGTACTAAACTAGATCTTTGGTCTAGGTTTAGTTCTTAATCTGAAATCATATAAAACTACTACATATCTACAAAGTAATTCTAAAAACAATTTCTAACATTTTTTCATTATTTGAAAGCCTGTAGTGTTCACCAGTTAAATCAACCCCCAATTTCCCCACACCATCGACCTCCCATGTGGTCTAGTGGTTAGGATTCGTGGCTTTCACCCACGCGGCCCGGGTTCGATTCCCGGCATGGGAAGAGATTTTTGTTTTTTCTTGAAAAAATGTTAGAAATTGTTTTTAGAATTACTTTGTAGATATGTAGTAGTTTTATATGCTATTCTATTCAAATTTCAGTCTACGAGGGCATCCGATTGAAATCGTTCAATCCTTTCATTGTCTTATAGTCTGCAAACGACCTACACTACTGGACAATGAAATATCATATTTGAAAAAAGATCGTCACTTTCGCGCGCCTGTAACTCCCTTGTCTTTACCGTATTTCTAAATATTAATATACCATTGTGTAGCCCTGGAAAAGAGCTTTCAGAGAATGTATAACACTAATAGTTTACACTCAAGGACAAGGGAGTTACAGACGCGCGAAAGTGACGATCTTTTTTCAAATATAATATTTGATTGTTCAGCAGTGTATTTGGCGAAAGTGACCGAGACTTTGAAGGCTTATATCTCGAAAATGGCTTATGATAAGTTAGATTTGAAAGCAGTTTTGAGATGACCTTAACCAGGGGGTGTTTGCATTTCGGAATCAGATCACTCCACAAAGCTAACTGAAAGGGTTTCCCTGTTAGAACATTTTTGTCGATTTGTTCAGATATTGATTAAAACGTAAACTATTAATAAACCAGTTCTTTAATATCTGATCTGTTTCTGAGCTGTCTGTGCTGAACTTTCAGTATGCACCAGATTCCCGATCCTGTTCCGTTTATAACTCTTATGAAATCATTTCAAAACTCCAGCTTACTCAGTTTTTCATCAAACCTCGATTTCATTTTCATTCAACCTTTTTTTTGCGTGATTTCTCGTATTTCTTGGCAATCTGTGAGCAATTCGTTTCTCCCGTTTCCTTTCAATCCAACATGAATCAGAGACTGAAAAAAGGAAAGAGACCATTTTGCCCACCTATATAAGATCGTTTTCTGATTTCCTGAAAAGTATTCAATTGACAAGTGATTCGTCTAGAAATTCTAAAGATTTCAATGTCTAAAGTGGTGACTATTCGGCGCCGATCTCTTTCAAGGCAACGACTCTACCAAGCGATTAGGTCCACAGATTTTCTTGTCATATTCTAAGGCTTTTCTATCGTTCAAATCTGCTTATATGCTAGTTAAAGTTTAAAACTTTACAACCTCGTTTTCTCAGTTCTCTCTTGATTCACCTCTACACTCTTTGAATTCCGTTTTATCTACCTTTTTTATTCAAATATTTTAATTACAGCGAATCTTCACCAAACGAAGAAAAATCTCCCGAAATGGCGGTCGCTTTCCGAGACAAAAGTTGGATGGACAACAATCATAGCCTATTTCCAAGACATCGGTATGAATTACTTTCTAGAAATGAATTGGAAAGAGTTTGGAAAGGAAGGGAGTTGAACTCTTGATCTTTTGCTTATTAGGCTCTACCATTGAGGCTCTACCATTGAGGCTCTACCATTGAGGCTCTACTTTTTACTACTACTTACTAGGCCCTACTCTGCTCTATCATTGAGCTATCTACCCTTCTTTTCCAAAGAAGAAATAGGAAAGATAAGGAAGAGAAAGAAAGGAAGAAAGAGAAGGAAATATCCGAGTTTTAAAACATTTTCACATTTTCATTTTCAAAAGCAGATCCGATTTTTAGCCTAACTTCTGAGTGCTTAGCTTTTCTGCAGGCATTTTTTTGTAAGATCAGCTTTGCCAGATCTTGCTTACTATTAGATATCTTTGTTTGATCTAGCTTTACTGCAGCTCTAGCCCACAAAAAATTGCAGAAGCTAGGCGTGAACCCTTAGCCTAACCCTGACTTTAATCCATCTCCTGTTAGAGATGGGTTAAAGTCACTCTGAGATCACTGAGTGCTCTTGTAAACCAGGTTGTTGCTTACATTTTTGCCTAAAATTTGATACGTTTAAACAAACCCAACACTTTCACCAAATTGCGTAAAACTTTTTTAGTAGATATGCCGCAAAATCCGCAAAAAAAACTCTCCCTTTCCCATTTGTTTACCAATGAATTTCGAATTTCAAACGTTTTCAAAGCAATCCAGCGATTTTTCTCGTATAAACCAACTAGCAAATAGTCGATTTATGCTTTGAAAAGCAGAAAATTCAAAAAAAATAAGAGAGGAAAGAGCTCGGAGAAAAGAGAGAAAGAGAAAGAGAGAGAAAGAGAACTTCTCTTCCATTGATCGATGCCCATTTTTGCCCAAAATACACAACAACGATATTGAAATCGATTTTGCAATAGAGCTTGAAAGAATTTTGAGAAACTATTATCTTCTTTTACATTTCGAAATCTTTCTATGACTGAAAAAAATCACTTTGAGTCTAGTCGAAGATTTCCGAGCCTTTTTGACGATGATTATTGGTGAGTTTTAGGCATGTTTTTTTTATGAAAAATTTGCGCAATTGCACGAAAATTGAAACCCTATTGAGTAACTATAAAATTTTAACCAAAAAATTCCAAATACTAAACTTTGTTTAGCATTTGAATCTTTTAAAACCTGGCTACTTTGTGCCTGCTTCTTTTCGCGCATTAAATACTTAATTTTTCTTGAAATATTCTTCATTTCTAAATGTGTTTCTGCAACAAAATGAAGATTTAACTTGCTAGAATGGATGCGTTTACCTGTGAGCATAAAGAACACTGAAGAACAAAAGGAAGTTGATCAAAACAGCGCCGTTTACAAGCAGCGCCGTTTACAAGCAGCGCCGTTTACAAGCAGCGCCGTTTACAAGCAGCGCCGTTTACAAGCAGCGCCGTTTACAAGCAGCGCCGTTTACAAGCAGCGCCGTTTACAAGCAGCGCCGTTTACAAGCAGCGCCGTTTACAAGCAGCGCCGTTTACAAGCAGCGCCGTTTACAAGCAGCGCCGTTTACAAGCAGCGCCGTTTACAAGCAGCGCCGTTTACAAGCAGCGCCGTTTACAAGCAGCGCCGTTTACAAGCAGCGCCGTTTACAAGCAGCGCCGTTTACAAGCAGCGCCGTTTACAAGCAGCGCCGTGTAGCGCCGCCCAAAACAATGCGCTTGTGGTTAAGTTTATTTGTGTTTCTTATTTTCATCGAATGTAGAAAAAGAGCTATCTGCTGAATTTTTTGAAGCCGTTTAGAACAAATCTAGGATGAGAAAATGCCAAAAAAACGGCTCAAAAAGAAGTTAACTGAGCTTTTCTCGACATTAATTCTGTTTTAAGTGATCTCAAAGTATGCAAAATGTAGATAATTTTACTCTACATTCAATAAGAATAAGAAACACATAGAAATTTAACAGCAGAGGCGCTATTTTTCCCGTGGCGCTGTTTCTACACGGCGCTGTTTCGATCAAAATCAAAATTAGATCTAAAATAGCATGCTTAAAAGCTAAAACTTTCTATCTTTACTTTACTTTACTAATTACTTAAATATTTTGAATATTTCAAGTATTTACTATAGATTAAATCAATTTAAACAATTCTAGGGACTCATTGTGGGCTCGAGATGATTGGATGGATCGGATGAATGATTGGCCGACCGAATGGCCTCGACCAAGGGATATTATGAGTCGGGTGGGTGCTTATCGTAAAAAATAGATGCCTTGATCTCTTGTGTATACTTTGTGCTCAAAAATTCGAAACATTTCCTTCTTTCTCATACAAAAAGCAGTACTATAAAGAAATTTAGAATCTTTTTTCCATCAGAAAGGATGCGTTTCCGATTTTTGAGCACAAAGTACAGCTCAAAAGCAATGTTTTCGTTAGTACTCTGAAGATTTGGGTAATCAAAATGGGATGCGTTTGCATTTTATGAATCAGAAAGTTCGCGGGTTGCTACTTTGCGCCAAATTTTCTTTGATTTTGAGCAAGCAACTGGATCTTTTGCGCAATTTGCCATAACTTTTTTCTAACTGAACCAATCTTTATGATTTTCATGCCATTTTGTTGCACTTGTTGAGTTCTACAAAATGACACCAATATCAGAAAGATTGGCTCACTTAGAAAAAAGTTAGGAGAGCTGAGAGACGCTAGATGGGATTTGTTTGTAATTTTTAGCAGAAAATATACCAGAAAATACCTTAAACAAGTCAAAGAACTCTGGTAAAGTTAAAATTTGCTTTCAAATTTCTCGAAAGCAAAAGATTTAAGTGAATCTTGGTTAAAATCTTCATTACTAGATGGGGTAATGGTTAAAATTGGTTCAAAATGAGTTCATTTCTCTAAATAGGAATCTGATTTACAAAGAATCATGTGGAAAAAAGTAAAATGCGACTCTATTGTATAAATTGGATCGGTCAAGTACTCTGAAGATTTGAATAAACCAAATGGGATCCATTTGCATTTTGTGCTTAATCAGAAAGTTCGGGGAAAGGCTACTTTACGCCAAATTTTCTTGCGCGACTGGACCTTTTGCGCAATTTGCCATAACTTTCTTCTAAGTAAACCAATCTTTATGATATTGGTGTTATTTTGTTGCACTTGTTGAGCTCTACAAAATCACCTCGAAATCAGAAAGATTGGCTGACTTAGAAGAAAGTTATGGAAAGTTGCGCAAATTAGAGAGATAAGGAACCAAATTTAGAGAGATTTGCCATAAAGTAGCCACCTCGCGCTAGTAACTGGCTCACTGATCGTTCCTAAAACTTATTTAGAATAAAAGTATTCAGCTTTCAAATGCTTTGTGTAGATTCAAGCCATCAGAATCTGCTAAATCTAACTTTAGCTCTAACTTTTAGCTTCAAGACTCTTATTTAACCAATCATACGATTACAGTAAGCCAAAGTTAGTGTAGAATAGAAAATGAGCAAGTAAATGAGCAAGAAAATGATTACAAATATTGGAAGTTACATTCTGATTTCTATGGGGCAAGTCTAGAATCTGATATTTGTAAGAAATTGATATACATATGAATTGGATTGGTTGGACCAATTGGATTTGTTGGACCAATTGGATTGGTTGGACCAATTGGATTGGTTGGGCCAATTGGATTGGTTGGGCCAATTGGATTGGTTGGACCAATTGGATTGGTTGGACCAATTGGATTGGTTGGACCAATTGGATTGGTTGGACCAATTGGATTGGTTGGACCAATTGGATTGGTTGGACCAATTGGATTGGTTGGGCCAATTGAATCGGTCAAGTACTCTAAAGATTTGAATAAGCCAAAGATGCTAGAAAATGAGCAAGTAAATGATTACAAATATTGGAATATACATTCTGATGGGTCAAGTCTAAGGGGAAGGCCAAAATTTGAAATTTGTAAGAAATTCATATTCATATATTCATACAAATTTCTTGTTTTTTATGTAATTTCACAAAAATGGAGCAACTCATAGCAAATAGGACGAGAATTTGAAATTTGAATGATAAGCGTGGGTGAGCGAAAATCCATTCAAAAAAAAACTATTCAATCAAACATTCGATAGAAGAAAGTCAAGCAAAAACCTTTCTATTATCCTCTTTTTTTCCACGATCCAGCTCCACTGGCCACTTTTTTTCCTATTGCTGTACACAAAACGTCATAGATTTCTCACTCCGCATCTTTTTTTTCCCAAAAAAACCTATCAAATCCGGCTCACCACAGCTCAATTTGCTCAAAAGTATTCATTTATTTACCAGTTTGCCCTATTTCTTACTGTAATGCCTTGTTTTCTTTAAAAGTTGCTCTAAATGACCAGCACTGGCTCCGAGACGAATCGCTCTTTAGAGGAATTCGAGGTACTTTTAAACTAAATGATTTTTTAAACTTTAATTTCTAAAAGTTGACTTAACAAGTACTATACTTGTAACTTTTAAAATTTACAACTGAAAGCGGTGAATCAAGGTACTTCTAGACTCTATTCTAACTCTACTAGTGGAGAAATTGTCCTGGCACTCATCGAAATTATTCTAGCTTTAAATTTTCTATAAAATAATACATTAACTATGAAAATCGGTACACTGGGGACAAAATTAAGATCGGAGTACGCAATACTACTGTTTCCGTTGTCCGTAAAAAAATTCTGACCTCAACGGGAAACTCCGCGACCTCGAAAACCTATAAGAGTGTTGTTTTTGGAGCTCTAGCTTCTCTGGCTCTCGCTTCTCCGGCTCTCGAAATGAAAGTTGCGTACGGACGGACGGACGGACGGACAGACAGCCCTTAATTATATATATAGTAGATACCAGATCTAACCAATTATGATCTTTTGTCGAAGCAGAGTTGTGTGTCAGAAAGAAGTACCAGGCTTTTTGATTAACTCAGATACTTTTTAGATTAAGATGACAGTCAACCAAGCCAGTTTTGACCGGCTATGGCCAGTCCTTTGCTTTAGAATTGAGTTGTTTGAGCTTAGTGTTGATCTGTTCTGAGATGATCCATAAAAATCCCAGAAAAATACTTGCACCGGACTTACAATTAGTTTAATCTTTCCTTATAGTCAGTGAATTTATCAACCCATTTAGCCATAACAGTTCAATTCTATTTGAATGACCGTTTCATCTTTTTATCAATAACCATTTATATATGTTGTGTCCGATTTAGATTTCCGTCCGATTTAGATTGAACTTATCGCGGACGTCCGATTTAGATTACAGTCTATATCGGACGACTCAATCTAAATCGGACGTCTTATATAGATTGAACAATAATATAAACATGTTTAGTATATGTTCTTAAGCGTTTTCTGTAGTTTTCTGCATTTTCAAAGGTCTTTTATTGATTATTTCATAGTTGGGTTTTCTTTTCAGAAAAAGACAGTAACAGACCTTTGAAAAATGCAGAAAACTACAGAAAACGCTTAAGAACATATATTAAACATGTTTATATTATTGTTTAATCTATATAAGACGTCCGATTTAGATTGAGTCTAAATCGGACGTCCGATATAGACTGTAATCTAAATCGGACGTCCGCGATACGTTCAATCTAAATCTAAATTCAATCGAACGTCCGATTTAGATTCAATCTAAATCGGACGGAAATCTAAATCGGACACAACATATATATATCTATGCTTTGCTTCATTCAGGGGGCGAATAGAAGCGAATCAGATAATCATAATCGCTTATAACATATTGCTGCAATACTTTCACAAAAAAAAAGAAAACTAAAAATAGTAAGACTACAATTAGGAAACACAGGTACAAAAAGATTAAATATAGGACCGATTTGACATGGCAATTAGATCTAATTCGTTTACAAATACTTTCAATTTTCCTACAGACGAGAAGATACCAGACGGGAACTTATTCCAAGTCCAAGACGGGAGCTTATTCCAAGTCCAAGACGGGAACTTATTCCAAGTCCAAGATGGGAACTTATTCCAAGTCCAAGACGGGAACTTATTCCAAGTCCAAGACGGGAACTTATTCCAAACCCTACTAATACGGTTCGCAAAAGAATGATAGAGGGAAAAATGATGGGGATGAGAACCGACCGAAATTTGATAAGGATTACTACGTGTATTTCTAGGAATTTCCACAATCAAGAGGCTTTGCAATTCTGGATGCGACTTAGGGTGGAAAAGAATTTTATAGCAAAAAAAATAAGATCAAAGTAAATACGGCGATATAAAAGGGGTTTTTAAATCAAAAACTATAAGTCTAGTGTCATAATTTGGAATAAGAGAAGAAGAGAAGAAGAGAAGAAGAAAAGAGAAGAAGGAATAAGAGGAGAAGAGAAACAACGAGTGTATGCTTTTTTAGTGAAACGCCGTTGAACATTTTCAACCAGGGTGATAAGTTTCATCTATTCCATCTATTTCCTATAAAATTACTTATTTTTTACAGTAATAAACATTACTTTATCATAATTTGACTCTTTGACTTTATTTATTTAGTCCTTGCACTTGTCTTTTCCTTCCAAATAGAGAAGACTCTTGAAAATGTGAAAAAATGGAAAAAGAATCAAACATTATTCAGAAAAAGATATCTAAATAGATATATTTAAAAGTTATTTTAAAATTTTAAAGTTTTACGTCAAGGTTTTTTCCTTGTTCTCCTTCTCTTTTCCCCAAAAGGTCGATGGGGAAATTAGCGTGAGCGAAAATCGTCTCGAAAATCGTCTGAAAACGAATTTTCAGCAGGATTAGTGTGTCTGGTTTTCGATTTTTTTAGTGTTTTTTCTTTGAGATCTATGATCTCCTTGTATTCATCTACCTTTTAAAAGCTTATCTAACAACTCTAGTCCAGGTTGTTTTAAAGCAAGCTCTAGAATTCTTGGCATAAGCAAAAGTGTTTTAAAATTTGAGTTGTTGAGATGAAAAGTAAGAATAGTTAGCTTAAAGTGGTTTGTTTCTTTTAAAGAAATCTGTCAATCCAGTCTTCACTTGCTTTGTCTTCAACTTCACCAACTTTGCCTTCAACTTGCCCATCAACCTGCCGAATGCCACAACTGCCACAACTTGTCTTCAACTTTGCCTTCAACTCTGCCTTCAACTTTGTTTCCAACTTTGCCTTCAACTTTGCCTTCAACTTTACCTTCAGCTTTGCCAACTCTGCCTTCAACTTTGCCTTCAACTTTACCTTCACCTCTACTTTCAACTCTGCCTTCAACTTTACCTTCAACTTTGCCTTCAACTTTGTCTTCAACTTTGTCTTCAACTTTACTTTCAACTCTGCTTTCAACTCTGCCTTCAAATTTGCCTCAGCTTTGCAATCCTTAACTTTGTCTCCAACTTTGCCTTCAACTTTGTCTTCAACTTTGCCTTCAACTTTACCTTCAACTCTGCTTTCAACTCTGCCTTCAACTTTACCTTCAACTTTGCCTTTAAAACCTTGAAAATCGGCATTCTAGCGCTATCTTATCTCACAACTTTTCCAAATCAATGACTAACAGATGTCTAACTGCTTTTGAATCACGAGTCGATATATGCAAATTTTGCCCACTCACACATAGAAAATGAACAAATCGTTGGGTGGGAAAGGGATAGATAGAAAGGGTGCTAAATTCGGCTCCAACATTGGGGTAAAAGAGTAAAAAGAATTGAGCCACTCATCTTTTCCCCCCAAAAAGGCCTCCCTTTTGTGAATAGGACTGGTCATGGAGAGGGGCTAAATATGACTGAATTGAGGGGTATCCGAGTGCATTTCACCGATTCGATACAATAGAGACACACATATTTTGCTTGTCCATCATTTGACCACATTTGTTGCACCCAACCCTGCTAATAGTTTGATAGTTTGATAGTTTGATAGTTTGATAGTTTGCTAATAGTTTGATCCATCAGCACTTAATACATGTAAGCCTAAGTCTGTGACTATTCAAGTTTAATTCTATTCTAAACCTGTGCAAGTTTATGCCAAAATTTAACCATTATCTTTTTGATTCTAAACCAAAATTGACTCGAATAGACTGGCTAAAGTTTTGAGGGTGGTTACTTTACGCCAAATTTTTGCTCAATTCCCCATAACTTTTTTTCTAAGTGAGCCAATCTTTATGATATTGGTGTCATTTTGTTGCACTTGTTGAGCTCTACAAAATAACACCAATATCATAAAGATTGGCTCACTTAGAAGACAGTTATGGCAAATTGCGCAAAAGATCCAGTTGCGCAAGAAAATTTGGCGTAAAGTAGCCTTTCCCCGAACTTTCTGATTAAGCACAAAATGCAAATGGATCCCATTTAGCTTATTCAAATCTTCAGAGTATTTGACCGATCCAATTTATGCAATAGAGTCGCATTTTACTTGTTTCCACATGATTCTTTGTAAATCAGATGCCTATTTAGAGAAATGAACTCATTTTGAACCAATTTTAACCATTACCCCATCTAGTAATGAAGATTTTAACCAAGACTCACTTCAATCTTTTGCTTTCGAGAAATTTGAAAGCAAATTTTAACTTTACCAGAGTTCTTTGACTTGTTTTATGTATTTTCTGGTATACTTTCTGCTAAAAATTACAAACAAATCCCATCTGGCGTCTCTCAGCTCTCCTAACTTTTTTCTAAGTGAGCCAATATGATATTGGTGTCATTTTGTTCCATTTGTTGAGATCTCCGAATCACGCCAACATCATAAAGATTGGTTCAGTTAGAAAAAAGTTATGGCAAACTGTGCAAAAGATCCAGTTGCTTGATCAAAATCAAGAAAATTTGGGGCAAAGTAGCAACCAAGCAAGCAAGCGAACTTTCTGATGCACAAAATGCAAACGCATACCATTTTGATTACCCTTTAACCAAGATTCACTTAAATCTTTTGCTTTCGAGAAATTTGAAAGCAAATTTTAACTTTACCAGAGTTCTTTGACTTGTTTTATGTATTTTCTGGTATACTTTCTGCTAAAAATTACAAACAAATCCCATCTGGCGTCTCTCAGCTCTCCTAACTTTTTTCTAAGTGAGCCAATATGATATTGGTGTCATTTTGTTCCATTTGTTGAGATCTCCGAATCACGCCAACATCATAAAGATTGGTTCAGTTAGAAAAAAGTTATGGCAAACTGTGCAAAAGATCCAGTTGCTTGATCAAAATCAAGAAAATTTGGGGCAAAGTAGCAACCAAGCAAGCAAGCGAACTTTCTGATGCACAAAATGCAAACGCATACCATTTTGATTACCCTTTAACCAAGATTCACTTAAATCTTTTGCTTTCGAGAAATTTGAAAGCAAATTTTAACCTTACCAGAGTTCTTTGACTTGTTTAAGATATTTTCTGGTGTACTTTCTGCTAAAAATTACAAACAAATCCCATCTAGCGTCTCTCAGATCTATTTACTAAATAGTTTCTGTGAGAAAAACAAAGAATTGCATGCACCAGAATGGCTGTGTTTTCATTTTTGAGTACAAAGTAAATCTCAAAGAAGAAAACTCTTTAAAAATTCTGTTAAATCTCCTCTCCAAGCCTTTTTTTACGACTTCAAAATGGCAAAGAGTTGAAAAAAAACTGCCTACTCTAAAAAACTGCTTATATTTTCAAAGTTTTATTCACTTTTAAAACTTATTTTTAGTTCTTCAAGGACACTGAACGTTGGTGGGACGATTGGCCAAGAGATTGGCCAAAAATGGATGCAATCATGCCGAGAGTGGGTTTGAAAAGTTAAAAAAGAAAATTTCAAAGTGCTGCTTCTAAATCTAAATAAATTTAAGAAAGCTAATTAAAGCAATTAAACTAATTAAACTAAAAATTCAAAAGAAAAGGTACTCTAGTACTACTCTAGTACTAGAAAAGCTACTCTAGTACTACTCTAGTACTAGAAAAGCTACTCTAGTACTACTCTAGTACTAGAAAAGCTACTCTAGTAGCTACTCTAGTACTAGAAAAGCTACTCTAGTACTACTCTAGTACTAGAAAAGCTACTCTAGTACTTCTCTAGTACTAGAAAAGCTACTCTAGTAGCTACTCTAGTCTTTAAGATAAAGATATCTTTAAGAAAACAAGATAGCGTAGTCTTTTTTAAAAGAATCCTTCTCAAGTGAACCACTTGACTCCAGTCAGAAAGCGATTCCCGTCGAAAATTTCCCGATTTGATCGCTCTTGTGAAATTTTGCGATTCTCTCTAGTCAAAAAATTCAATATTCTCTTCTTTTTCGTCTCTTTTTCACGCTCAAACAGAGCTCTTTTTCTCCTTTTTCAGAATAGACCAGGTGAGTAATCATCCAACAGTTTTTCTCTCTATTTTTCTCTTTTTTCACTAATTTGACTTCTGTCTAGAGACTTAGATTTTATTGCTTTTCAACAAAATATCGATTTTTATAGAATAACTAGTTTTAGATCGACTATAGCTCGAATTCCATTAACCTTTTAGCTTCATTTACTTATTTCGTCTACTTTGAAATCGTTTTTCTTTCACTTGGTGCATTAACTTTCAAATCCCGGTTAACTACTTACAGACCCTTCCCAGAAAGGGAAGGGTCTGTGGTCGACCCCGTCCGATCTGCCAAGTTGAGCAACGTCGGCGCGGGTTAGTCGTGGGTTCGACTCCCATGGGCTCCCCTCCGAGCGCCCCAGCCCGGCCATCGGAGTATCATCGGCTACGACAACTACACTTCTGCCTCAGTAAATGTGGAAGCGGGTTGTGATCTGCGCTAAGTGCGAAGACAGATCAAATCATTATTTTATTTTTTTTAAGCAACGCTCAGGGTGCACTACTATTAGAGAGAATACGGTAGTCATTCAGATGATGTGAATTTTCATTTAAAAAAGATATTAATCGTTTTGGTTTCTGTATTGTTGCAAAGACAAGGTCAAAAGCCGGTTTAGTTTGTTCTGATCTGCCTGGTCTTGTTTAAGTATCTAGACTTGGACTCTGACCTGGCCTGGCTTGTAGATGGTAGGATCCGAGTTGATCACGATTTTACGGCTTCCAAGCTTTTGCAGAAGAAGATAATAAGATATTCACAGATAGAAAAAGAAAATTTTAAAAACCATTCTATAATATGGAATCAACTTTTAACAAATTTTCAATTTCTATCGATTCAAAATCTAATGATGAACGTAAATGCTCAATTTAGTTTACAAGTTTGATCGAAAGTATCAGAACCTATCGATGTGAGGTCGGAAAATGTAGCTGACGATGAGATCTAGGGGGGATTAGAGTGTTGAGATTCTGGGAAAAATTGGAAACCGTAAAATAGGCATCAACTCGGCTCGCCGGGGTGCACTACTATTGCTTTCTTAGTGTCAAAGTGTTTAAATTTTATTTTTAAGATTAGCTACTTGGATATGAAATGAAATCTTTTAAAAACGAGCCTTTTGAGTCATTCATTTTCATTTTTTTAATTCAAAAATGTTTCAAAATCTAGCAAAATCCAGTTCTCCAAGTGTTCCACTTTGCGAAAATTCTTCCCAAATCATGAAACATCGTTCCTTTCCCCTCAAAAGTCCCATCACACCCTTTCGCTGAATATTTTTTGTTTATTCTATTCGTCATCATTCTCTTTCACTTGAATACCTGAATATTTATTTGGTTTTATGTTTTTTCTTTCTCTGAATTTCCAAGTTTAAACTTTGATAAGGTTTTCCTTTAGTGTAAAATCACTTTTTAAACGTTTTCTCGAGTTTTCTCGAGAAAACTCTGAAACCTTTTCTATAAAATAACCGTTTTGTACATTCATTTTATTACAATACATTCATTTTATTTTGAAAATTCAAAATTTTCCATCAGATTTTTATGTTTATCTGAATGACCCTACGCTATTTTGACTCGAGTGATCTCGAGGGAAGAGAACGCCAAAAATTGAGGAATAAAGTAAGGAAAAAATGACTTAAATTCAAAATATTAGCTTTAGATTCATTAGATTTAGTTAAATTTTCATTGAATACAATTTTTGCTTTCAGTTCACATCGCATTTGGATCGATTGGACAACAATTGGCGGCAAGATCCCTTCTGGAAAGATCTCTATCCGCAATGGGCTGAGCCGATCTTCAAGGTTTGCATTTTATTCTTCTTCATGTGTACTTTGAGCTCGCATCCTTTCCGCATGTGACGCATCCTTTCTAGTGCATTGAGTTTCTCATATAAGCAGTGGCAAGAAATTGAAGAATTCGGTGCCAGAAAGGGTTAGAAAGCGGGTGTTGGCTGGGCACAAAGTATTGGATTGGGAAAGATGAATTGCCGCATCAAAGAAACTTCTATAAAATCGAGTAGTCTTTATCAAATGACACTAGAAAGATCTAGAAGTATTCTTTATTAAATGACAGATTCATTAGTCACTTATTTCACTTCAAAAAATCAAAAAAAATCTTAACTGAAAGCATCCCAATTCGATAAAAGATCAAAAAGTTGCCCCCACATGCTCCGCACAAGATCCCCACTCTCCCCCACAAGATCTCATCGTCAGCTACATTTTTCGACCCCACATCGATAGGTTCTGATAAGCGGTTTACGAGATTTCGAGTAATTTAGACGATCAGGGTGCACTACTATTAGAGAGAATACGGTAAAAGGAATTTGACGACTGAAATCTTGAAAATATACAGAAAATGATGTGAATTTTCATTTAAAAAAGATATTAATCGTTTTGGTTTCTAGTTAGTTCTGGATTGTTGCAAAGGCAAGGTCAAAAGCCGGGCTCAGTTTGTCCTGATCTGCCTGGCCTTGTTTAAGTACAATATAGTCCTACAAGTCCTAGAAGCTTGAGAGCTTCAATCTTACTGTTGAGCTTAATATGGCTTAAAATCTTGGCTCTTGTTTTAGCCTGAAAAATCAGCCTTAGGAAAAGCTGATTGACACTTTTCTGGATCTTTGTAACACTATAAACCTATCTATTTTCTAATCGATATAACAATTTTAATCGTTAAACTATCTGTTGCAAAAAATTTTTCGAATAAGCTTGACAACGGCTAAATGAAATGTAATATCAGGCTGCATAGCGGCACTTACCTTTGCATTCTAAGCGTACTGCAGCGTAGTCCACTGCACGCATCATTAACTCGGCGTAAGGCATCAAAATATAAAAACTCCGTTGTTTTGAATTCTTTAACAAGCAATTACCTCCACTTTTCGCGGCCCTTCCCCCATTCGGCCTGAATCGATCCTCCGAACCTTTGATTTTATTCCAAACCTTTCTGCGACCAGATTCCGATTTATAAAACTATGTTTCGTGCATCTTTTCGCAATTCGTCGCCACCTTTTGCCAACAAATCATATCTGAATTACAAATAAACGCTTTTATCGTCCATACTGTTTACTAGACGCAGAAAGGTTTGCCATCCATTCCGTGAACCGTAAACTTTTTAGGCTTAGCCATGGAAGCGAAAACCTAAAGCTCTAATTTATATCTTTTAAACTCCAAAAACTTACCATGTACTCATCGACAATTTCATGAATAAACGCTTCGGGGACCTCAAACGATGAATTCAACGCATTTTGACCTTTAGGTTGACTATTGAAGCAGACTTGAGACATTGACAACGGCTAAATGAAATGTAATATCAGGCTGCATAGCGGCACTTACCTTTGTATTGTAAGCGTAGTCTACTGCACGCATCATTAACTCGGCGTAAGGAAACATAATCTAAAATCTCCGTTGTTTTGAATTCTTTAACAAGCAATTACCTCCACTTTTTGCGGCCCTTTCTCCATTCGGCCTGAATCGATCCTCCGAACCTTTGATTTTATTCCAAACCTTTCTGCGACCAGATTCCGTGCTAAATTCATAAAAATATTTCAAACTCAAAACAAATATCTCACCCAAATGCAAAAAATTTGTCGAATAAACTTGACAACGGCTAAATGAAATGTAATATCAGGCTGCATAGCGGCACTTACCTTTGTGTTGTAAGCGTACTGCAGCGTAGTCTACTGCACGCATCATTAACTCGGTCTAAGCAATCATAATCTAATCTAGTCGAATAATCTTGAAATACTTACTGGATTAACTCAGTTTTTTTGAAAAAATTCCTAGATCAAATATTAGGTTGATGCAAAAGTCTTTTTCATTTTTTTCGTACTTCTGTTAAAAAGTAACAAATTCACCAATTAATCTATAGTTTGCTCTATAAAAAAAGTGTTTTTTTGTTCAATTTGCATCTTTTTAAATGAATTTCGGCTCACTTTCAAGCAAATTCGAGAGTGAAAAACGCCTTTTTCGTAAAAATCTATAAAAAACTCTACGGAAAAATTGGCTGAATGAATTTCTCTGAAATTTTGGCGAAATATCAAACTTTTTTTTCTCTATCTTTTATCTATTGACACGAAGATAGGTTTTCTTTAGCTAAGGTGTCTAAACCGCATCATCGAGTTAGCCCTTTTTGACTACCCGACTTCATACTCTCAAGAAAATCCAGGCATTAAATATTTTTAAACCCGTTTTAATGTTATTTTGCAGAAAAATAATTGGTTTTTCTAATGAAATCAACCGTAGTTTAATTGGTGCATTTGTTGGCTTGAAACGGCAGACGAAAAGGAACAAAAACACTTATGCATCAACCTATTATAAGACTTAAAATTCAATTTAAAAAATTTCTAAACGATGAAATGAATCTTGTAATCAATATTGATCTTTTAAAATGTCTTTGAGAAAAAATGAAAGATTTTTTTTAGGAGGGAATTGATGTAAACTCATCAATCACAAATGATGATCGAAAATTCGCCGTTGCCATTGATGCATATCAGTTTAGACCCGAGGAGATTCAGGTTACAAATTCTTCAAATATTCTAATGAAAAATTTCTATAATTAGGTGAAAACTCTGGACGACACACTCCTTGTCGAAGGCCGACATGAAGAAATGAGAGATCGAGACAATTTCACGAAAATGTACTTTGTTCGAAAGTACCAATTGCCGAATGATGTCAATCCGATGGATATCACAAGCAATATTGATCAGAAAGTGGGCTTAGTTTTGGGCAAAATGGAAACGCATGATTTCTGCACTTAATTCTTGATTATTTTAGAAGAATTGAGAAGTTGTTGATGGAAAAAAAGAAAGGAAGGATGCGTTTTCACTTTGATTGTGCTTTTGTATTGTTTGTGCTATTCGATATTGGCTTTGATTAGAAAATAGGGTTTCTTTTAGATTAAATGAGACAAAAATTGTACTAATTCTAGCTCTAGAACCGAGAATCTTATCTGAACTCCAGATTTTGACAGATTTTCCTTTCGATTACCGTATTTTCTCTAATAGTAGTGCACCCCAGCGAGCCGAGCTGATGACTATTTTACGGTTTCCAAGCTTTCACAGAAGCTCAACACTCTAATCTCCCACTAGATCTCATCATCAGCTACATTTTCCGACCCCACATCGATAGGTTCTGATAAGCGCTTTTCGAGATTTCGAGGAATTTAGGTGACACTCAGGGTGCACTACTATTAGAGAGAATACGGTAGATTTAAGACCTCCAAACCTTCTCCATTTCGAGATACGAGATCTTCTCCACCTTCAAATCGAGATAAGATCCTTGTGAAGGTCGGGGAAACACACATTGTAGGCCTTGATCAGCGGGGCAACGGTTTGATGTGTTTCGAGGAAAAGCTGACTGATCTGAACTTGAGATTTTTATATACCGTCTTCTCTCTAATAGTAGTGCACTCCGGCGAGCCGATTTGATGACTAATTTACGGTTTCCAAGCTTTCACAGAAGCTCAACACTCTAATCTCCCACTAGATCTCATCGTCAGCTACATTTTCCGACCCCACATCGATAGGTTCTGATAAGCGGTTCTCGAGATTTCGAGCAATTTAGACGACGCTCAGGGTGCACTACTATTAGAGAAAATACGGTATACGTTATTTTTCGTTCACATTTGAAACACTAAAAAATGTTGATCAAGTTGAAGACGCTGATCTAAAGCTGCCAATATTTCGACTGATTGTTTTACTGGATTGGGGAAGATGAAATGGCGCTGACTTTCAAAAAAACCTATAATACTCATATCAAAAGCGATATTGATCAGAAAGTGGGCTTAGTTTTGGGAAAAATGGAAACGCATGATTTCTGCACTTAATTCTTGATTATTTTAGAAGAATTGAGAAGTTGTTGATGGAAAAAAAGAAAGAAAGGATGCGTTTTCACTTTGAAAAGACATTGATGCAAAACTTTTCAGCTATTTTATTTAGCTATACTTTCCTTACTATAGCTAACAATAGGTTTTATTTTTAGTTTTATTGTTTAGTTCGCATAGTACGCATAGTACGTATAGTACGCATAGTACGCATAGTACGCATAGTACGTATAGTACGCATAGTACGCATAGTACGCATAGTGGTTGTACTAGACTTATTAATACTATCACTTTACTATTATTTATTACAGTAGGTTTTACTAGACTTATTACTTTATCATACTACACTTTATTTTACGAATTGAACTGTACTGATTGAATTTTCAAAAACATCTTTATTACTAATGCCCGGAGAAGCTCTTAAAGTAAGCCGAGAGCCAATGGTTAAGTAGAATCAGTGAATTTCCTTCTCTTTCTTCTTTTCTTTCTTCCCTTCTTTCTTCTTTCCTTTCTTCCTTCTCTTTCTTCTTTCCTTTCTTCTCTTCCTTCTTTCTTCTTTCCTTTCTTCCTTTCTTTCTTTCTTATATTCTCTTTTTTCACTTGGCAAAGTAACAATCCAGATAGCCGAATGGTAGAGAAATTGTAAACAAAAAGACCGAGTTCAATCCCCTCTTTGGAATCAACTTCTTACTAAAACAAGTACAACTAGTAGAGTCTACGGTATAGCCAATGCAGTCAGTATAGTACAGCAATACAGTGTACAAGTACAACTAGTACATTTAAAACAGTACAACTAGTAAGTCCATCCAGTAAAATAAGGTAGCAAGACAGTTAGTGAAGTAGAAACATCAAAAAGCCTAGCGCGGTTAAACAATTTGTTTTTTTAGCTTTTATTGGCTGTAAATTCTCATTAATAGTTAGTACAACTAGTAATTTCATCCAGTAAAATAAGAACATGTAAAATTCTAGATTGATTAAATGATAGAATGTCTTTTTTTTCTTCAATTCTTCCTTAAATCCCTCGTGCAATGTCTTTTTCTTTAATTCCCCGTCTCATCAATCTAGAATTTTAGATGTACTTTAACTGTACTAATAAAAATTCACATTTCAGGGCCGTCTCACTGTGGAGGCGTCGAAGAAAGCGCAAGCGTTGACTGGCCGTGAAAGACTCATCCCAATTGAGGGATCGAGTAAGTATCGATCACAATCACGCACACGACACGATTCCGGATACTCGAGTCAGTAGAAACTTTCTGCAGCCATAACTTCTCTGACTATTGCTTTAAAACTTCAAGCTCGGCTTCAAGCGCGGATTAATCGGCTTACTTATAGCTGAAAATCTCTCTTTTGAAGCTTCGAAGCTCTTTTATCTTTTGGTCTTTTATCTTGTCTTTTATCGCTGTAAATCCTTTTGGATTTCCTTTTGTTTTAGCTTTTTTAGCAAAAAGTCATCTCTGGCAAATGCTTTTGCATTAAAATTCCCCGGAAACAGTTCACTTTTAATGTAAATTTCTAAAAGATCAACTTTTAGATGGATATTCGCATTCACCAGCCTCAAATCCGCGTCAATATTCGCCAGTTGAGGTAAAAAGATTGATAAACAGATTTCTGAGAGATTCATCGGAAATCTAAAGTCGCTTGGCCGGATTTTTTAGTTATCTAGGGTTTTAGAATAAAAATCTAACAAATTCGAATATCTATTAGACATAAAAGAACAGTGCCTGTCTGTCCATCTGTCCGAGCTTTTTCTCGGCCATTTTTTGTCCAATAAAAGCTAAAGCTTCTTTAGAAAACCTTAGAATATATTATAGTTGTGTTATTTAAAATAAAAATTCAAAAACCCAAAACTGAGTGATGTTACGGGGGGTTGAACCCGGATCGTATGGGCTAGCGACCAGGGAGCTCCCGATTGCGCCACGGCGACAGGAGGAAGCGCACAGAAAAACCCGCTTTTAATCGGGTTTTTTGGCTAGTTTTTGGCTGGTCTAACAGCGGGTTTTGGCTGGTTTTTGGCTGTTCTAACAGCGGGGTTTTTCTGTCGGGATTTCTTGTCGTAATGGTGCAGTCGGGAGCACGCTTTTCTACAGCCCACACAATCCGGGTTTGGCCCCCCATAGCGTCATTAAATCTTGACTTTTTGATTTTTTATTTGATGGTACTATATATTATTTTAAGAGAATAAATTTTCAGGTAGATACAGGCTCGGGCACTGATCGCTACCGTAGTGAAGGCAGCGGAGGATATCGTCAACAACAGGAATATCGATCGTCGTCTCGTCAAGACTATTCCTCCAATGGAAATCACGGAAATCAGGGGAGAACTGTGGAAATCCCGATCAATCGAGAGAGAAGTTATGATAGAAGTGATTCGAAAGGAGTTGGAGGGTTGAGGGAAAATGGTGAGTGGATTTTGAATCAGGATTTTGCTCTATACTTTCCTATAGGACTCGAATAGGTTCTTATTATGATCCAATACGGTTCCAATACGGTTCCGATACGGTACCAATACGGTTCGAATACGGTTCCAATACGATTCCAATACAGTTCCAATACGATTCCAATACGATTCCAATACGGTTCCAATAGGGTTCCAATACGGTTCCAATAAGGTTCCTAGTCTGATCCAATACGGTTCCAATACGGTTCCAATACGGTTCCAATACGGTTCCAATACGGTTCCAATACGATTCCAATACGATTCCAATACGGTTCCAATAGGGTTCCAATACGGTTCCAATAAGGTTCCTAGTCTGATCCAATACGGTTCTAATACGGTTCCAATACGGTTAGCATACGGTTCCTATTCTGATCCAATACGGTTCCAATACGTTTCTCTCTCTCATTACAACCAAGATTTTGTCAAATTATACAACTTGTTGATTCGAATTTGTCAAATCTTTTTTTAAATCGATATTTCAGTGCTCCGTCGCGAGGAGGAGCTCGGCGATCGAAATGGAGGTCGGAGTGGGGATCATCAACACTCGGAAAGTTATTACAGACACGAGACGAGGAGCTCGGGTGGAGGGCTCAGCCCACATCAAGTGAGTGGAAACAATATTGAAACGAGTCTTCAATCCAACCAGCTTTTCTAGTTTTACTAGTTCCAGCCACTAGGAGTACCAGCGAGCGACACCGAACTTTTACAATTCACGATACAGTACTTCACTGACTCACATATCAAAGAATGGTTCAACCAGTCGAGGATGTTGAATTTCTCTCAAAAATGCAACAAATTTAAGACAGAAATTGTTCCCAAGTGATTGGACATAGTGACGCCTAGAAAACGAGAAAGCTCAGTCGTTCACCGCTCCGATTGTGTGACCTTTTATACGCGAGGCCCCGTCCCCTTTGCCATTGGCAATCTAACTTTAAGCTCAATTTTCTTGGTATTGAGCTATGCAATTTGAATAGTTTTTATACCAATCGACAGAGAAAGACTTGGCGTATCCAACGATATCAAGAATATTTAAATTGGATGCGCCAATATCGAGATATTTGAGCGCAAAGTTGGATCACCAAGTGTCCGATAACCCCCCGCTCCTTTCCGATTCGAAAAGGGAAGCATTTTGTACCAGAGACGTTTGCCAGATCGTGAGCGTTTACACACAAAGAACATTTCGTCATTTACACAGGGATTTCTTTTGCTTTGTGCAAAAAGAAGATATTTAGCTGTAAATTTGTACCCGAGGGTTTTCGTGGTCGGCGAATCGATTGATATTACAAAACATAGCTGCTAATTGGGTTAAAACTCAAAATGATTAGCCTAGATTCGTCTTTAAGCACTATTTGAAACTCGTTTTCGAACGTTGGTTTTGATCATTCACTTTTTTCAGGTAACCGCTTCAAATGAGAACCGTTCCTACACTAATGGACGTCGTGCCTCATTCGAAACGAATGGTTAGCCACTTTTTCTTCTGCTAAAACGATTTTCCTCGATTTTTAACGATTAGCGTTTTTTTTCTTTCGAATTTCAGCTAAATTTTCCTTTTACCCATTTACTTAAAAGTTTTTCACAACTTTCTAATTCGAATCTTTCAAATGACCTTTTATCCTCTTAAAAAACGAAAAACTAAAAGAATTTCTTCATTAAACTTTCAAAAGTTATTTTAAAATTAAACTGAATATATATTGGGTTGGTGAATTGAAAACTGCGGGCTATTGTTAGATAAAAGTTTAGATAGATCGAGAGTTTAGATAAAAACTAAAAACGCGATCGTGTTGCCCGTTTGATAATCTAATAATCATAATAATAATCCTCTATTAATAATCATCTAATAATAATCATCTAATAGTCTAATCACTTTGATTTGAAATATAGCGAAATCTGACCATTTCCTAGTAAGATTATTTCGAATCCAGTAAGCTGAATAGCTGATTTATTTGGTTGGTGAATTGAAAACTGCCGGCTATTGTCATATGTCACAGTTTGAGCACTTTCTTCAAAAGAAACCCATTTTGGTGTCAATAGAAAAGTTGTAGAGAATCAAAAATTAGACTTATATCCAAATTTCCAAAAAGATACACTTAGTAATTTCGCTTAAAATGCAAGTTTTGTGAAAATTCGTAAATTTGGCATTTCTTGAAAACCAGTTTTTGAATCGTTCTGAAAATTTGGATATAAGCTTCATTTTTGATTCTCTACAACTTTTCTATTGACACCAAAATGGGTTTCTTTTGAAGAAAGTGCTCAAACTGGGACATGTGACATCTCCAGTCCCCCATTTTTGAGTCCCACACTTGTCTCACACACAAACTAGAATCCTACTACGAAAGGAAAGCCTTTCTTTCTCGAATTGTGACAGGAGATGAGAAATGGATTTTATCTGTGAACTTTCGGAGGAAGTAGCAATAGGTGGGGCCAGGCGAGAAACCGGAAAGTGGCCCCAAGCCCGATTTGCACCAGAAGAAGTTTATGCTCTGCGTTTTCTGGGATATGGTGGGAATGGTGTACTGGGAGTTGCTGAATAGCAAGACGTCCCTTAATGCAATCAAATACAGTGAACAGTTGGGAAAGGTGAATGAATCTCTGAAGAAGAATAGGCCCTCCAAGTCAAAGATCGTTCTCATCCACGACAACGCGCGACAATGTTGCAAAGCTCTAAAATAAATAGCCTTGTTTGGGAACTTTTGGCGCATTCACCATACAGTCCGGACCTCGCCCCTTTTGATTACTATTTATTCCGGATCATGAGTAATGAGCTTGCGGGAGAACACTTCGAACCGTAAGAAGCAGTCAAAAATTGGCTTTTTCAATAAATTTTAGTTCAAAGTCCCGCAGTTTTCAATTCACCAACCCAATAGATAATAATTACATTAGAAAAATGACGGTAATCTCTCAGAAAATCGAGAGCAAATGTCACCAGGTCGAAAAGTTTTCGACTCACTTCGCGACAAGTTTGAGAGTGGTGAGAAAAAGCACTGGCAAAATTTTCCCATAAATCAACTCAAATAGACACTTAGGAATGTATCCAGCTACCGTAATCGATTCATTTCGTCGTACGGTAGCTGTAAACCGGCTACCGTAGCTTTACGTTTACCTAATAATGAAAAATACTATAGTAATCGGTACCGTAACTCGGCAATATCTTTTTTAATATTGATGTTTCCTATCTTAACTTAATCTTACACTAATCTTGAAGACTTGACTGGAGCCAGTTCTAAGGCCAGTTCTAAGGCACTGGTGCCAGCTCTAAGGCCAGTTCTAAGGCACCGGAGCCAGCTCTAAGGCACTGGAGCCAGTTCTAAGGCACTGGTGCCAGCTCTAGAAAACAAAAGAAAACAAAAGTAGCTGAATCATATTTAAAAGTGTCTACTTGAATCGTTTGGAAAAGTTTTCAAGTCAAAAGTCATAAAGAGTTACTCTAAACTCTGGTAAAAGGGAAAATTCCAATCCGAATCTAATTCCATCTTCGTTTTCTCGGTAGATTGATTTGAAATTAGAGAGAAATCGACATTTTCAGCTTGTAGACAAAATTTTAGAGTAATCGGACAAGAAACGACCAAGAAAACAAAGGTGGAATTAGATTCGGCTTGGAATTTTCCCATCTCTACTCTGAACACGATTTAAAAACAAATCCCTGGCTTAGTGTTGCTAAATCCCAACTCTTTTAACTAACATTTTAACGTGAAAAGCTACTAACATTCTTTTCAATGACAAGTTTCATCTGAGCTTTTCAGGCTTCCGTTCGCAATCTCGTGACACAGATCAATCGGCTTTCCATCGGGGATATCAAAGTGGATATCAAGCTGCCCATAGTGGAAACGATACGTCACAGAGAAGTGGTGAGTTGAGAATGGAAATGGGCATCATATAGGGGGAAAGCTAACGACCAGAGGAAACTCGGTGTTTACAGATAGAAAGGCATAAAGGCCAGGCGCACTGCCCAGCCGGCGATCGGATACGTCTCGCTTTGGCTCATTGGTACAGTGTTTGCTTTAGCTCATTGGTAAAGCGCAAGCGAGAGGTCACGGGTTCGAATTCCGGTGCTGGCCATGTTTTGTAGGCTCTGGCCATGTTTTGTATTCTCAGCCCCAACCCATGTCCAACGAAGACCTTATACAAGTCGGTAGCTAAATTAAACGAAATTGTACCTTTGTGTATTGTCTTGTAGGCGTTGAAAACTGTAATAACACATTGTACGTTGTAAGCAAGATGTTTCAACTTAACAAAACAAACCCTGATAAGCTAAACAAGTGATTTTGTGAACTAGTTTAGGCTAGCCCAAGATTCATTCAGTTACTTTTGTTCTAGCTTGAGATTAGAAACCGGGTCAAGATCTGTCTTCTGCATTCAGGTTAAGCCAGAAGTTGACTTGACCCTTGACCCTGACCTTGACTTGACCCTTGACTTGTACTTGTTGTAAATAGATCCGGTCTAACACTGGTTCCAAACTGAGCCAGTCCTACAGCCAAAAGTGCATGGCTAGGTCCATTCAGTAGTCCAAAAGGTTAGCGATTGATCTAGTTACTTGGCCCTTGCCTTTTATCAGATTCATTTCTGGATTTGACATCTGGATCAGAAACTGGATCAAGATTTGCCTTCTGATTGGTCCAGGTTTTTCTGTCAGATCCTTTTGGCTGGCCAGGATCCAACCTAGAACCAGAATCAGACCGGCTCATGCTTTCTATAGCTCAGGCCATTAGTAAAACCAGTGAAAATTAGAAAATAAGAAACCGGGTCAAGATTTGCCTTCTGATTGGTCCAGGTTTTTCTGTCAGATCCTTCTGGCTGACCTGGATCCAACCTAGAACCAGAATCAGACCTGTTGCTCAGGCCATTAGTAAAACCAGTCAAGATTAGAGCAGAAGCTGGATTGGCCTAGGTACTTTGGGAATTGTAAACTAACTGACTCTGAAGAGTCGGTCTTGTAATGCTTGTAAGATTATGTAAACTTTTCACCGGGTTTCTTCTGGTTGTGGATTTCCCCTGAAGGATTGGTGATTGTGTCTTGTGAGAGTGAAATGCCGTCGTTTGTCTGTTCAGCTTTCTCATCACCCTCTCCATCCGCTCGATCGGTTCATTTTGTGGGTGATCACTCGGAGCGGGATCTCGGCATTCTTCCACAATGGAAACACAACAATCCACCGCACTCTTTCAACTACTAGACAACACAAATACACAAACAAAAAGTGAATGATCAAGCAGAAATTTCAATTCGGGTTTTGCATGTGCTTCAATTGGCCTAATCTTTGTATTCTGTGCTTAAAAACGGGAACAAACCTTATCTGGCACACTTCTTACCTTTGTAAATCTTTAAAAATGAAAATTTAACTAGAAAACTGTACTAGAAAACGTGGGTTTCCATTTTGAGCGCAAATTTTACTTGCAAACTTTTGCCGACACCAACTTGGCGTTTTAGAATTTGACTTTGCTACCGTATTCCGTAACTCAATTACAATAAGCCCAATAGTTTCGATTGTAAAGATTATCATAGTATAAATAGGAAATCCATAGCTCTATAGAGATTAAATTCAAGCCGGAGTACGGTAACTGAGGCTTGCTTTAGAGTGGAAATGGAATCTGAATATCTGCATGGAAAAACTCGCAAATTACAAGACTTCAAACAAGTCTTGTAAAAGACATTTTTGAATAGTTTAGTCTAAGCTTTATGCTAAGCTATTATTGAGTCTAAGCTTGATGCTAAGCTTGATGCTAAGCTTGATGCTAAGCTTGATGCTAAGCTTGATGCTAAGCTATTATTGAGTCTAAGCTTGATGCCAAGCTTGATGCTAAGCTATTATTGAGTCTAAGCTTGATGCTAAGCTAGCTAAATGTATGCTAATTTTAAATCAATAAATTTGCATACAAGTTTCATCCGCTTGCACTCAGTTGTTGCTTTAAAAAATGTGTTTTTTTTTGGGTTTGCTATTAAATTGTCTAAGCCTCTCACTGAAATTCATTTTCTGATTGAATGAGTCTCAAGTTATCAAATGAAATACGATTCTTTTTGCATTAAATAATCCAATCATCTCTCTGCATTAGATAACCGAATCATTTCTCTTGCAAATGACTTTTGAAAGTTTCTACAAAAGCTTTTTGCAAGAAGCAAGAAGCAAGAAGCAATTAGGAAGAAGGCCAGTGTTCAAACAGGACAAGATTTGTTGATTTTATTTAGACAATTTCTTTCAATGAAATATTTTAAACACAAGAGCCAATATAGCCAAAAGTTAGATTTACAATTAAATAGTATTCCAGAATAATCCTTATAGCTATAAGGAATCCAGAATAATGCTATAAGGATTCCAGAATAATCCTTATAGCGGTTTTCTTTATTTAAAAAAAAAATACTAGTTTTCATTGTTGCAGATTCTTTTAAAATATTTGGGTTGATGCATAATTATCCGGACTTCTTTTATAAATGATTTTATTTAACAAAAAATAACATAAATAGTTAGAAAAATATGTTTAATTGATTATTCTGGAGCATATCCACCGCCTACATCAATAACTGATTGCCATTTGCTTGGAAGACGATCGATTCCAGCGGAGATAACGATCTTTGAGGTCCCCTTTAGGGCTCGTCTATCAAGTCATCCAAATCGTTGTAGATCTTATTTTTTGCCTTTTTGGCGATCGATTGACGTGGTGGTCCGTTGGGGCCTCTCCAGTTCCTTGAGGCCGGCGGCGGGCCACCCCTTTTCGAAGTGGTAGAGCATGATATGGCGAAGGGATATGGTTGTCGGCGCGGATTTTGTTCCCCGAAGGAAGTCGGATATTTAAAAAAAAAAAAAAAAAAAATTGTTTAGAAATGACAAAAACTAAACGATAAACGTTTATAAATAAAAGAAATCGTTTGGTATTCTGTAGTTTTAGACTCATTCATTTAGATAATGAAATAAAGGGTGCAGAATTTAGTACTTAAGTTAGTTAGCAGTCTATGTTTTACTATTTTAAACCCAATAATGGTACTTCCTGTTATTCAAATTCTGGCTTTACTGATCCGCGAAAGTTCCGACTTATTTGACTTGCAAGTTTGATTGAAAAAAACTCTAATTATTAAATAGTAGGTTGATGCAAAAGTCTTTTTCATTTTTTTCGTACTTCTTTTGAAAAATAACAAAGTCATCAATTAACCTATGGTTTGCTCTAAATGAAAAGTGTTTATTGTTGAATTTCCCATCTTTTTAAGTCAATTTGGGTTCACTTTCAAGCAAATTCGAGAGTGAAAACGGGTTTTTCATAAAAATCTATAAAAACCTCTATAAAGAAATTGGCTGAATCAATTTCTCTGAAAATCTGAAAAATACTTAACTTTTTGTGCTCTATCTTTTATTTATTAACATCAAGATTGGTTTCCTTAGCTAAAGCGTCTAAAATGCATCATCGAGCCGTCGCCTTTTTTGACTACCCGACTTTAGGCTCTCAAAAAAATCTAGACATAAGACATTTTAAACTCGTTTTAATGTCATTTTGCAGAAAAATAATTGGCCTTTCGAATGCAATAAACCGTTGTTCAATTGGTGCATTTGTTACTTTTTGACGGAAGTACGAAAAAAATGAAAAAGACTTTTGCATCAACCTAATAGTAGGATATCAGGAAAGTATCTGATAAGATTTTCATAAGAATTCAATCTTTTCAATTGAATTCTTATGAAAATAAGAATTAAATTGAATCTGGTTGAAAAGTTGCTGCAACTATCGTAACCAATTCTATTATGTACACAGAATACTGTAGTTTTTGCTTGTTAGTAGACTACTGTAGCTTATCGTAAACCAGTTGCAGTATCTTTGAAAAAGGAGAACTTGAAATCTTCTATCTAGCTTACATCTAGATTCTATCTAGATTACAATAGCTACACTACAGTTAAATGTCGTGTAGCTATTGTAATCTATAAGCTACCGTAATCTATAACTTCTCGGATAAGTGTAGCTACTGTAAGCTATAAGTCTCCCTGACTACAGTACCCTCCATTGAGCTCCTAGTGTAGTTACCCTAGTTTCATTTGTCTTACAGTATCGATAAGGATTCCTTTCGTCCACTGTAGCTTAGAGTAATCTGACAGCTTACAGTAATCTGGCAGCTTACAGTAATCTGACAGCTTACAGTAGCTTACAGTAATCTAGCAGCTTACAGTAATCTGACAGCTAACAGTAATACAGTAAATCTTTTACCGTACTTTTAACCCTTTTAACCCTGCTTTCTACAAGTGGACTACTGTAGCTTTTTACAGTTTAAAGTTAACCAAACTACCGTACAATTGGAATAGACTACCGTAGTTTAAATTTGCCTTACATTCCTTTCGATAAAGATTCCTTTCGTCTACTGTAGCTCGCAGTAATCATGAAGGGTGCAATTTCCTTACTTAAGCTAATAGCTAGCAGTCTATGTTTTACTATTTTAAACCCAATAATGGTACTTCCTGTTATTCAAACTCTGGCTTTACTGATCCGCGAAAGTTTCGACTTATCTGACTTGCAAGTTTGATTGAAAAAAACTCTAATTATTAAATAGTAGGATATCAGGAAAGTATCTGATAAAATTTTCATAAGAATTCAATCTTTTCAGGCAATTACCGTGTCGATTCCCCAGCCTCCACCTCAACTGGGGGAATTCTAAAAAGATCCGACGATCTCCCGCCACGAGCCGAGTCTCGTTCCGAAAGCGTTCGTTCGGTGAAAATTGTTCGCACTTACAACTAAATTTCACTAATTTCCTTAAACATTTTCTATTTTTTTTCATGTTTTCATTTGCTCCTTTAGGTTCATTCTGCTATTTCTTTTAAAACTACTGTAGCAAATTTCTTTTAAAACTACTGTAGCTTATCATAATCCACCTACAGCCTATATGTTGTTCTAACTACAAAAAACTGTAGTTTAAAAGTTGCTGCAACTATCGTAAACAATTCTAATATGTACACAGATTACTGTAGTTTTTGATTGTTAGTAGACTACTGTAGCTAAACCAGTTGCAGCAACTTTTAAACTTTATGGACTTTGAAAAAGGAAAACTTGACATCTTCTATCTAGCTACGGTAATCTCGAAACAGTAGTGTAGCTATTGTAATCTATAGGCTACCGTAATCTATAACTTGTCAGAGAGCTGTAGCTACTGTAAGCTATAACTTCCCCTAACTACAGTACCATCCATTGAGCTTCTACTGTAGCTACCGTAGTTTCATTTGTCTTACAGTATCGATAAGGGTTCCTTTCGTCTACTGTAGCTTAGAGTAATCTGGTAGCTTACAGTAATCTGGCACCTTACAGTAATCTGACAGCTTACAGGAATCTGACAGCTTGCAGTAGCTTACAGTAATCTAGCAGCTAACAGTAATCTGACAGCTTACAGTAATCTAGCAGCTTACAGTAATCTTGCAGCTTGCAGTAATACAGTAAATCTTTTACCGTACTTTTAACCCTAAGACTTGCTCTTTTCTACAAGCGGACGCTTTCTACAGTTTAAAGTTACCCAAATTACTGTACAATTGAAATAAACTACAATAGTTTACCGTAATCTATCACCCGGTACTTTACGGATAACGTGGGCGGGGTGACCAACAGCCAGCCTGATTTTAGCTAGGTTTTTGTTAATAGCTTTTAATAAAACAAATCTTTTCTGAAAGCTGACGTTTTAAGCTATCTAAATCTTATTAAAACTTTCTGATCTGACAAGTTTAAGGTACTTAAAAATGAGTTGGAATTTGGCGAAAAATTCGCCTTCCCTCGATAATCTCCTACGCCTACGCCTACGTTATCCGTAAAGAATCTATGATTCTATCTATGAAATCCCAATTACCTAACTACTTTTTTGACAATTTTTCAACTTTTATTTCATTTCAAGCCTTTATTTTTCACTCTCGCTTTTTAAAATTTACTCAATTTCTTCATTTTTTCGTAATTTTTCAGAAATTTTCAGAAATTCTTCGCAAAAACTGCTTACTATTAGTTTGAAATTTTGAAATTTGAAATTTAATCGATAAATTTGCATATTTGACTAGTCGCTTCAAATAAATTTCTATCCAAAAAACATTATTACAATCACCGAAAAACCGAAAAACCAAAAAACCGAAAAAACCGAAAAATATATGTCGTAACCGTTTACGAAATTCAGCCGCTAACGAATGAGGGTATTTCCGGGCGTCCAATCAAAAAGTCACCCACATAAAAAATGTTCATAATACATATATTTTATAATAAATTTTTGAAATTAGCTCATTTGGTTCAGCAGAAAAATTTTTTTGAGCCCCCAAAGTTTAGGTTCAAAAATGCCCTAAAATGGCTGTAAAAAATTTTCTACTCAGCCAAAAAACTTGCCTAACAGCTCATTTTGTAGCCAATTTGTTGTAGTCTCTTAATATAAAACCATATAAAAAAAGGTGCGCAAATGTCTGGGTGCGCAAAAAAAAAGGTCGCATTTGTCCCACCCCTCTAAAAATCGCCTCTATTCTATCAAGCTTGATTTATTCTAAACTAATAGACTCATTAAAGCTTTATTTAACGAAAAAAAAACCCTTTTAAAACTCTCTTTGCCTAGTAAACTAAAGAAAAATGATAGCGCGATGAGAAGTGTTTGCTGTGCTTTCCTTTCGAGTCGCTTTAATGATCCGAAAGTTTTTTCAAAGGTGTTCAACGTGATTTTTCTCAAAATTTCTAGTGGCTTCTGGTGGTTTTTGGTGGTGTCAAAGTGAATATTTTAGTATTTTTTCACTTTTTCTCGATTTTATGACTTCCTATATGTCGTAACCGTTTACGAAATTCAGCCGCTAACGAATGAGGGTATTTCCGGGCATCCAATCAAAAAGTCACCCACATAAAAAATGTTCATAATACATATATTTTATAATAAATTTTTGAAATTAGCTCATTTGGTTCAGTAGAAAAATTTTTTTGAGCCCCCAAAGTTTAGGTTCAAAAATGCGCTAAAATGGCTATAAAAAATTTTCCACTCAGCCAAAAAACTTGCCTAATAGCTCATTTTGTAGCCAATTTGATGTAGATTCTTAAAGTAAAGCTACATTGAACATTTGTTTTTTAAAGCTAGGAGAAAGAGGGCGAGGAACGACTTCAGTTGAACTCGGTCGCTGCTTTCACATTTGAGAATTTAAGGTACTCTCCCAATTTGCCCTTATTAAAATTAAAAGCCTTTATTTTTCACTCTCGCTTTCTAAAATTTACTCAACTTCTCCATTTTGTTGTAATTTTTCAGAAATTTCAGAAAATTCAGAAATTCTTCACAAAAACTGCTTACTATTAGTTTGAAATTTTGAAATTTGACATTTAATCGATAAATTTGCATATTTGACTAGTCGCTTCGAATAAATTTCTATCCAAAAAACATTATTACAATCACCGAAAAACCGAAAAACCAAAAAAAAACCGAAAAAAATCGAAAAATATATACAAACAGAAAAAAATTAAAGCTTTTACTGGCTTTTTATGCAAATTCAATCATTCAGCCTTGTTGATTTTCACGTTTCCGTAGATTTTGTGACAAGCCACATAAGTGGATTGCTCTTTGATCATTTTGTTGAATGGAAGACTCCAGTAAACCTCGGGTGGAAGGGGCTCGTCCTGGAAAAGCTCGGCTTTACATTTTTGCTTTCTTTGCGTTTTTCAACCCTTAACAAAGCCAAATTTGTTTTCTGGATGTACTTGAAACTATTGGGTTGGTGGAAAAGTCCTTTCGGATTTTTTGGGAGAGTACCTTAAATTTGTCCAATTTTGACGTTTTATAGCTCATCCTAAAGCTGAATTCAAGGCGGATCGATTCGTAAAAACCGTTTTGAGATATCTCTTTTCTAAAAGTTTTTACAGCAATTTTAGTAAAGGGCGGCAGACCCAAAAAATGGCTGTTTTCACGTTTCGCTAGTTTTCCGTGCAGAAACCTAGGCTAAAAACATGTGTTTCGTGATCAGCGTCAAAAATAACCCCTAGACACGCATTTTCAGAATCTTCAGAAAGAGATATCCCAAAACGGTTTTTATCAATCGATCCGTCTTGAATTCAGCTTTAGGATGAGCTATAAAACGTCAAAATTGGACAAATTTAAGGTACTCTCCCAAAAAATCGGAAAGGACTTTTCCATCAAACCAATATTTTGATAAACCGCTCAATTAGTCAAATCCGTGCACCCAAAAAAGACAATGCTGTGTGTTTGGTGGGACCATCAGGGCATTCTTCAACAAAAAAACACGAGAAAAACGAGGGAAAATCGCGAAAAGCGGCGGAAAGGCTGTTGATCTGAGGGTCGCTGGTTCGACTTCCACCGGTGACAATATTTTTCAACAATTTTTTGCTAAGATTCTGAAAATGCGTGTCTAGGGGTTATTTTTGACGCTGATCACGAAACACATGTTTTTAGCCTAGGTTTCTGCACGGAAAACTAACGAAACTAACGAAACGTGAAAACATCCATTACTAAAATAGCTGTAAAAACTTTTAGAAAAGAGATATCTCAAAACGGTTTTCACCAATCGATCCGTCTTGAATTCAGCTTTAGGATGAGCTATAAAACGTCAAAATTGGACAAATTTAAGGTACTCTCCCAAAAAATCCGAAAGGACTTTTCCACCAACCCAATACTTGAACTTGAAACTGAACTGGTTACTTCAAAACACACCCTTTCTAGCGCACTCAATCCTTCTTTTTCTTTGATAATCGGCGAAAATGAAGAATCGAAAGCGCTAGATAGACAGAGAAAAAAACCCGATGTTAGAGTTGAAAAATTATGAGAATTTGGAGATTTTGGACTTGCATTCTGAGTTTTCAAAAGCTTAAGGACTAAAATTGAGATTATTATTGAATCTTTGGTTCTTTTTCGTTATAAATCGACAAAATTTACATCCTTCCAAGAAAATAAACCAAGAAAACCACAGAAAATTCATCTTCCTAACGCTATTTCCTGACGGCGGATTTATAAAAAGCGGTGGATTCATGTTTCGCTTACCGACTACCAAGGACCATGCAATCTCGTTCTTTGGAGCTTTGGAGAACTTTGTGGAAGTGAGAGCTTGTACACTTTAGCTTGTACACTCGAGCTTGTACACTTTAGCTTGTACACTTTGGCTTGTACACTTTAGTTTGTACACTTTAGCTTGTACACTTTAGCTTGTACACTTTGGCTTGTACACTTTAGTTTGTACACTCGAGTTGTACACTTTAGCTTGTACACTTTAGTTTGTACACTCGAGCTTGTACACTTTAGCTTGTACACTTTAGCTTGCATTTCTTTGATTTACAATACAAATTCCCTTTAACAAACCTTGAATAAACTCTTCTTTGTCTTCTTATAAACCGACTCAATTCTCTGCTGTGTTTGCATTTGTTTCGAAACATCCGAATCGAATACATAAACTGTGGCAAAGATTCCCATCGCGCGGATGGCCGATCCGTCCTAGAAAGATTGACTCATGGCTTTTAAAGAAAAACATCAATAAATCATGATCATCATTCAAACCTCATCCGCCACCAATTGCAAGAAGTTCTCTTTGCTTAACCCTTGTGATCGGAGAATGTCATCAAGCTTTGGGAGACAGAAAACGAGGCGCAGATTCTCATAAACACCTTTCTTTAAACCGTCCTGAAACTTTAAATCGTTGAATTGGGAAAAGAATTTAGGATTTTAAAGGAGCTTTAAAGGAGCTTTAAAGGAGCTTTAAAGGAGCTTTACAGGAGCTTTACAGGAGCTTTACAGGAGCTTTAAAAGAGCTTTAAAGGAGCTTTAAAGGAGCTTTAAAGGAACTCAATAGGAACTGTAAAGGAGCTTTCAAGCAAAGCTAATATCTAACAGAATTAGTTTTAAACCAAAAAAATGAGTTCTTAGTTTGAGTTTGAGTTTAAGAATCAATGTTCAGTGTAATCCTACGCCAAACCGTGCACTTGATCGCTTTTCCATCAAGTTGTAATTCGGCTCGAACTCCTTGCACATCGCTGAACGTTTGACACGCGTGACAGTATAAACTGAAAACCTTAAAATGAAATCGAAATCAATTGAACAATTTCTAAGAGCTTTGTGACTCAAATTAAGTGATCAACTTCAGTAATTTTCTCTTTTTCTGCTTATAACTGGTAAAATTTAACATTCTACTGACTTGATTTGGCTAGAATTTAATAAAAAATACAGTAAAATATACTATTTTAATAGATATTTAGTTAAAAGTTAGTATATTCAACTAGATTTTTTATTAAAAGCTAGCAAAACTTGGTGCTTGGACACTTTTTTTCCTGCTGAACTTGATAAAAAATAGTCTAAACTATTTAATATTTTTAAAAAGTTAAAAGAAACTATGTAAAAAGAAAGAAATATAGTCAAAAACCATTAATAGAATTAAATAAAGATACTGAAGGAGATCTAATTTGAGATTTGGTTGCATGAGAAACGTCATTGTCTGGCTCAAAAGTTCAGCCTTTCTTTACAAGACTTTTACCAGTTACCAGTTAGAATCATAAGATTCAAAAACATCTTTTCGCTTTGTATTTGATCTTATCTTGTTATTATAGTGAAACTTTCTGTTAGCCTCTTACTTCTTACTCAGCAATGTTAACTTCTTACTCATCAGTTAACTCCTTACTCACTAATGTTAACTACTTATTCAATAATGTTAACTTCTTACTCATCCATGTTAACTTCTTACTCATCAATGTTAACTTCTTACTCACCAAGATCCAAATCCTCCACACCCATCCTCTCCTTGACGCTGACAACTCTCAGGAACGGCTCGTTTATTAGCCGAATTTCTCAACTCCAAATAAATCGAGAAGTCGCCGCTGAACTCCTGAAAGTTTCCATTCGTTTTATATTTCGTTTTTGTTTTATTTCATTTTCGTTATTAGCTGCAATTTCGATTGATACGTTCCACATCGGCGCGAAATAAGGCAAAAATGCGTTTTCTATTGGATTTTTCCGGGAGTACCTTTTTTAGATGCGGAAAATTGTGCTGATTCCGAATCTGAAGGAATTTTTCAAATCCCCTTGACAGAAATTTTTTAAATTGAGTTTTAGCGGTTTTTTGGTCATTTTGTATGGGAAATTTTGTGGTACCCTGCAGTTTGGGGCTCGTAACTCGACAACGAGGGTCTAGAACAAAAAACGAGGGGATAATTTTTATTCTAGAGACTCTCACGAACATTTTGATACAAAAATCATCAAATTTGCTCAACTCTACAAAAAGTTATAACATTTTTAAAAAAGTACACTAAAAACATAAGGGGAAACCGTGGCCGAGTGGTCTAAGGCGCGCGACGTCAATCCAGCGCAAAAGTATGGGGTTGTTGGTTCGACTCTCCCGCACACTTGAGCCATTATTTTGCATATTCCTTAATTGTTTTGAGTGAATACGATACATAGCTACATTGTTCTTTTGAACAAAAAAATTGTGCAATAGAGAATTTTTTAAATTTTCTCATTTCTTTTTTAAAAATGTTATAACTTTTTGTAGAGTTGAGCAAATTTGATGATTTTTGTATCAAAATGTTCGTGAGAGTCTCTAGAATAAAAATTATCCCCTCGTTTTTTGTTCTAGACCCTCGTTGTCGAGTTACGAGCCCCAAACTGCAGGGTACCACAAAATTTCCCATAAAAAATGACCAAAGAACCGCTAAAACTCAATTTAAAAAATTTCTGTCAAGGGGATTTGAAAAATTCCTTCAGATTCGGAATCAGCACAATTTTCCGCATCTAAAAAAGGTACTCCCGGAAAAATCCAATAGAAAACGCCTTTCGCGCCGATGTGCGTTCCAGTGCGTTAGATTGTCCGATAAATCTTTAAACACTTTTTTCTACGACCGTTTATAGACAAATTTATCAATTGACCTACAATTGACTCTAAATAACATGGAAACCGTAAAATCGTCATCAACTCGGCTCGCCGGGGTGCACTACTATTAGAGAGAATACGGTATATAAAAATCTCAAGTTCAGATTAGTCAGCTTTTCCTCGAAACACATCAAACCGTTACCCCGCAGATCACGGCCTACGATGTGTGTTTCCCCGACCTTCACAAGGAGCTTATCTTGATTTGAAGGCCGAAATAGGGAAGGTTTGGAGGTCTTAAAACTACCGTATTCTCTCTAATAGTAGTGCACCAAGGGCGCTGCCTAAATTGCTCGAGATCTCGAGATCCGCTTATCAAAACCTATCGATGTGGGGTCGGAAAATGTAGCTGACGATGAGATCTAGGGGGGGATTAGAGTGTTGAGCTTCTGCAAAAGCTTGGAAACGGTAAAATAGTCATCAACCCGGCCCGCCGGGGTGCACCACTATTAGAGAAAATACGGTAATCCAAAGGAAAATCTGTCAAAATTTTGAGTTCAGATAAGATTCTCGGTTCTAGTGCTAGAATTAGTACAATTTTTGTCTCATTTAATCTAAGAGAAACCCTATTTTCTAATCAGGCCAATATCGAATAGCACAAACAATACACAAGCACAAAAAATAGTCATCAACTCGGCTCGCTGGGGTGCACTACTATTAGAAAAAATACGGTAATCAACAAAAACTCAATTGATATTGGAAAAGAATTTGAGAAAAAGTTATGGTTTAGTTTTTTCAAAAGCTCCTCCGAAAACATCACCATTTTATATTCACTAGACATGGGAAATCGGGGTGAAATCGGGGCGACAATATTTTGACCAAAAGTTTTTATCAAAACAAGTTATTGTTCTAAATATTTTTGCATTAAATAGAGCGTCTGATGGGCTACTTTTTGACATGTAAGAAATAGGAAAATCTTCTGTGGATGAACGTAATGAATACATTTGATCCGTCGCCCCGATCCGAAAAGGCTTTCAGGTCGGGGCGACAGGTCAAACAGGTTTTTCTCGTTGAATTCAAAAAGACTTTGAGAAGTATTATAGCTCAAAATGTAGCCCATAAGACGCTCTATTTAATGCAAAAATAATTAGAACAATAACTTGTTTTGGTAAAGACTTTTAGCCAAAATATCGTCGCCCTGATTTCACCCCGATTTCAGTCCGATTTCCCATGTCTAATACTCAAAAATGATATGAAAAGTTCTCAAATTTTTACATTCTTTACCTCGAAAACAGTCACTTTCCCACCAACAGCATAGCAGTTATCTGAATCAATAACTTTCTCTAATTTTGGTCCTCGTCGTCCATTTCCGCTCTCAAACTCGAGTTTCTTGTTCCATTTTGAATCTAAATAATAGAATTCATAAAAAGTATTAATCTTGTAAACATCTTTCTATTCCTTCTTTCACCTCTAACTAAGAAAAGGCAAAAACTAAAGGTGAGCATTTGTCTGGACACCTAGAATCGGGTATGAGGAATCCGAATCTGAAATCAAGATCTCCCAAATGACTTTCCAGGCGTGTAAAACTTCAATCGAAAATTTAGCATTAAAACGGATGCTTTAAAAGCCTTCTTAGAGAAGAGAGGGGTCATTGGTGGCCTAGTACCGCATTAAACTACCGTCTCCAGGATCAGGGTTCAGTCCCTGATCAAGCGTTTTGTTTTTGCTTTTCTTTTGTAGCAAGTTCCAGTATTTTTCAGCTAATTGAATTATAGTTTTTCTTTTAATCTCTTCGATTTTATATTGTTAGTATAGTAAATTACATCCTAAATGCAGTACATCCTAAATGCAGTAACTAAACTGCAGATATTCAAGCCAAAATTCAAAGCAGAGCTGATTACTGGCTTAGCTTAGCTGATTACTAGCTTACCAAGTTAACCATTCCTGATTACTGGCCTAGCATTGGCCAAGCTATTGGGTTGGTGAATTGAAAAGTGCCGGCTATTGTCATATGTGGCAGTTTGAGCACTTTCTTCAAATGAAACCCATTTTGGTGTCAATGGAAAAGTTGTAGAGAATCAAAAATTAAGCTTATATCCAAATTTTCAGAATCATTCAAAAACTGGTTTTCAAGAAATGCCAAATTTACGAATTCTCACAAGACTTGCATTTCAAGCGGAACTACTAAGTGTATCTTTTTGGTAATTTGGATATAAGCCTAATTTTTGATTCTCTACAACTTTTCTATTGACACCAAAATGGGTTTCTTTTGAAGAAAGTGCTCAAACTGGGACATGTGACATCTCCAGTCCTCCATTTTTGAGTCTCACACTTGTCTCACACACAAACCAGAATCCTACTACGAAAGGAAATCCTTTCTTCCTCGAATTGTGATAGGAGATGAGAAAATTTTATCTATGAACTTTCGGAGCAAGTGGCAATGGGTGCGGTCAGGCGAGAAACCCGAAAGTGACCCCAAGCCCGATTTACACCAGAAGAAGTTTATGCTCTTTTTATATCTTTTATATCTTTTTGGAAATTTGGCTATAAGTCTAATTTTTGATTCTCTACAACTTTTCCCTTGACACCAAAATGGGTTTCTTTTGAAGAAAGTGCTCAAACTGGTACATCTCCAGTCCTCCATTTTTGAGTCTCACACTTGTCTCACACACAAACCAAAATCCTACTACGAAAGAGGAATCCGCAAATTGCCTGTAAAATGGGCAGAAGTCGTCAATAATAATGGAAATTATTTGGAATGAATTGATGGTTTTATGTTGGATAAATTTTAGTTCAAAGTCCCGCAGTTTTCAATTCACCAACCCAATACTTTTCTAGTAAAGCCTCCTGAAAAGTAATGATCGTAATTTGCGCAAACGGAAGCCTTCTGGAGCATTTAACTCTTTTTTTGATCGACTAGAATTGAGCAAGGAAGTTAAAATTGAGGATACTAGAGGAGCACAAAGTTTGGGAGCACAAAGTACATTGATAAAGAGAACTGACGCGATCCATGTCCACATGGTTGATGCTTGATTAAATCGAGATTGAATGAGAGATCATCACCGATATTGATTGCGAGATTGAAAGAAAGAAATAAGAATGAAGTGATCAGTTTCAATAATAACACCATATTCGTTTCTGTTTCTGAAAAGAGATTGGAATAAAAAATGGTAAAAGAGACACGAAATGTTGATTTGAAAAAGTTCAACCTTGTGAGTGTACGATCAAAAAGACTCTTTTAAAAGTTTTAAAAAGTCTTTTTGAAAAGCTATCTAGTTACCTTAATCTTTTCTTTAGTTTTTATCAATTCTACACAATTTTAATTCAATTTTGATTCAATTTTGACTTCTCAAAGAATCAGAGAAAAATTTGTTAAACAAAATTTTGAAGGAAAGATTAGTTTGGCTTAGCTAGATAGCTTTTCAGTTTCTCAACTTTTTAAGAACCAAGATCTTATCGCTTTAAAGCTCTAGAAGAGATAAATAAGCTGTAAAAGAATTTAGATTTAAAAATAAATCAAAATAAAGATTCAATTCTGATAGCAAACTAACTTTTGAATCTTTTGTCTCTCACCTCTCCTCCTTTTCCTCTATTTCTCATTTCTTTCTTCCTTTTCTGAAGAAACAAGCCAAACTCTCTTTCATAAAACCCGTTTTCTCACATCTTTTCTATAGCTCCATTCTAGGAAAAGAGAATTCTGAAGCATTCTTCCCTCTCCACTTATTCCCTTCTCTCTTCTCCTTCTGGCAGAAGGAACCTCTTCTCTTCAAACCTCTTCTCTTCTCTTTTATGGCTAGTGATCTGGCTCTGGCTTCTAAAACATTCTAGCCTCTCCTATTATTCTTCTATCTCTTCATCTTTTTCCTCTTTACCCGCTGGTGCTCTCTTTCCCTTTCCCTCTTTCTCTCTTGTCCTTTGTCTCCCTCACACCGGTTCTCCTCCACGACAAAACCCTTCTTTTCATCGCCTCTTTCACGGCTTAGTGGTCTAGTGGTATGATTCTCGCTTTGGGTGCGAGAGGTCCCGGGTTCAATCCCCGGCTGAGCCCAACTTTTGCTTTTCTTGGGGAAAAGTTCAGTACTAAAGGAAGAAGAGGGGAAAATGGCTGGGTTGAGAGGTTAAATGGAGTGCAGACTTTTCTGTAAGTTCTAAAATCATCTTTTTTCTATAATCATCATCTCATATCATCATTTTTGCTTTTAGCAAGTACGGAACTTGACGTGTCAGCCTGGACGTTTTGGGAGTGACATCTCGACAAGAACGACGGCGGCTCGACGCTTTGTCTGTTCTTCAACATCCCCAAAATTGCATGTATTTTAACTTTCGAGTACTATAGTGTACTCTAGCTAAATACTAGTGTGGATAGATCCTGTTAACAGTACTGTAAATAGGGTACAATGTACAGAAGTTAAGGATTAACCAGCTCAAAGTCAGTGCCCTGCTACTTCCCAATTGCTACTTCCCAATTGCTACTTTTCAATTGATACTTCCCAATTGCTACTTCCCAATGCTACTTCCCGAAGGAAAAGGTATTTGAATTAAATATATAGAGAAAATGAAAGCTAGAATAGTGATGATGTCAAAACTAGCAACTTTACTATCACTTCTTCTCAGTTGTCATAGAGTTTTATTTAAAATTCTTATAACAATAAACGGATTAAATTGGAAAACGTTTAGGAGATTCTTTTTAAAACAGAAATTGCAAAAATAACAGAATAGATATTCCAAGCCAATTCAAGAGGCAGATCAACAAAAGAGAACCACAATTCAGTGTCTTCTCATTCACAAGTGGACTTATCCATTTGTTGAATCAAATAAAAGAAAAGTTAACATTTTAAAAGAGTAGAAAGATCTAGAAGTTTTAGACAAAATTTTTCAAAAGAATTCAAAACCAGTTTAGTGGGTAGTGAATGGAAAAATAAGAAAGAAACCATTCACAATTGACAACAATTGAAAGGGGTTTGAGGGTATGAAAGTGATCTGAGAATGAGAATGAGGAGAAGAAAGGAAGAGAGAAGAAGAGAAAGGAAAAGAATGAAAGAGAAAGGAAGAGAAAGGAAGAAAAAGGAAGAGAAAGGAAGAGAAAAGAAAAGAAAGGAAATGAAAGGAAGAGAAAGGAATAGAAAGGAATAGAAAGGAAAAGAAAGGAATAGAAAGGAATAGAAAGGAAGTGAAAGGAAGAAAAAGGAAGAGAAAGGAAGGGAAAGGAAGAGAAAGGAAGAGAAAGGAAAAGAAACGAAACCACAATGGCAGTTTCACCTATTTTCCTTTCTTTTCATTTCTTTTCCTTTCTTTTCCTTTATTCTCGAATGTAAGTTGAAGGGGAAAGTGAAAAAAGAGAAATGACCGACACTTTTGATGATAATTGCTGATTGTGACGTCGAAAAGAAAAAGAAACAGTTAACCCTTTAAGAATTGCAGAAAATTGATTGTCTATTTAAAGTTTTGACTTTCGATTTCTGGTAAATCGAGACGATTATGATTGTTTTAAGAGGAGCTGATCAAACCATTGGCTTGTACAAACAGTATTGGTCAAAATAATGCGCTTGAGATTAAGTTTAATTGTGTTTTTTATTTGAAACTGTTTAGGACAAATCTGGGATGAGAAAATGCCAAAAAAAAAAAAAAAAAAGCTCAAAAAGAAGTTAACTGAGCTCTTCTCAACATTAATTCTGTTTTAAGTGATCCCAAAGTATACAAAATGTAGATACCGTATTCTCTCTAATAGTAGTGCACAGTACCGAGCCCAGTTGATGTCTATTTTACGGTTTCCAAGCTTTTGCAGAAGCTCAACACTCTAATCCCCCACTAGATCTCATCGTCAGCTACATTTTCCGACCCCACATCGATAGGTTTTGATAAGCGGTTCTCGAGATTTGGAGGAATTTAGGCAACGCTTAGGGTGCACTACTATTAGAGAGAATAGGGTAACTAAATGTGTTCCATTACTGAGCATTAGATTGGACCTCAATTATATATACCGTCTTCTCTCTAATAGTGGTGCACCCCGTCGAGCCGAGTTGGTGAGTATTTTACGGGTTCCAAGCTTTTGCAGAAGCTCAACACTCTAATCCCTCACTAGATCTCATCGTCAGCTATATTTTTCGACCCCAAATCGATAGGTTTTGATAAGCGGTTCTCGAGATTTCGAGATTTCGAGTATTTTGTAGTTTTAGACTCATTCATTTAGATAATGAAATCAGGGGTGCAGAATTTAGTACTTAAGTTAGTTAGCAGTCTATGTTTTACTATTTTAAACCCAATGATGGTACTTCCTGTTATTCAAATTCTGGCTTTACTGATCCGACTTTATGCTCTCAAAAAAATCCAAAAATAAGCCACAATTAAACCCGTTTTAATGTTATTTTGTAGAAAAATAATTGGCCTTTCTAATGAAATAAATCGTAGTTCAATTGGTGCATTTGTTGATTTTAAACAGAAGTATAAAAAGGAACGAAAAGATTTTCTGGATAGTCCACTAAAAATGCCCTTGCCTGGTACTTGGCTTTTCTTAAGGGCCCCTCGTTCACCTGCCTCGATAGCTCAGTTGGGAGAGCGTTAGACTGAAGCGACGCTCAGCTATCTAAAGGTCACCGGTTCGATCCCGGTTCGGGGCATTTTTTTCGATTTTTTTAATTTCTTCAACTATAATTTCTAGTTTGATACAAAGAACCTGTAGTGAAAGTTCAAATCGATTGGAATTTTGATCCTTGTCGCTTGCTTTGAGGTTAAGATTTGTCCGTACAAAGATTTGTCCAAAGATAAGATGCACAAAGATAAGATTTGTCCGATTTGTGTCAATTTGTGTCCTTAAATGTCCGTACAAATATTTATTCTGACTATACAGGGTGAAGCGTGACAGTTCCATATAATTTATGACATCCAACGTATCCAGTTTGTTTCTTGATCATTTGATTAAATGGAAGATTCCAGTAGGTTTTCGCCTCAAGTTGATCATCGAACGCGATTTTCTTCTGTTCACGCAATTTGGTCTCAAGGCGTCTTTGTGATCTAAAGAATTGAAAATAAAGAATTGAATTCAAAGATCAGCATCTAACCATGTCGATATCGATGTTGATATCGCTTATTAGATACCAGAAAAACTCTCCTAAAAAAACCATACATGGTTTTTCTCCCTTTCCCACAAAATGAGCGCCTTGGAGCAGAGTGGGAGATTTTTTTTATTGGGTTGGGGAGAATGAGTCGGCGCCAAACTTTAAAGGGACTTTTTGCACACATAAAGCCTTCTTTAAACATACGTTTGGTTTCATCAAAAGGATCCACTATTTCTCTACAAAATCACTTTTGAGAGATTCCACAAAGCTTTTCTTTCGTGGAGTTTATGAACTTCGAAACGCAGCTGGTTAAAATGGCAAAGAGTCCGACTCATCATTTGAACAGTTTCTTTCACATAAACCTTCTTTGGTGTTTATATAAAAAAGATAGAGCACATTGAATTACTTAAGTTGCCAAATTTGCAGGAAGATCCCACCAATGGTTTTTTCTAGATCACAGTTTGTAGTTTTTGTGAAAAAATGGCTTTTTCTTGAGCGGAGGCGCTGTTTGAATTTTCTTTTAAATGTCATTTTGTAGAGAATTAGTTAACCATTCTACTCATATCAAACGCATATTATTTGACGAAGTCGAATAGAAGTTTTAGACATTTTTTTCATTTTCGGCGCCGACTCATTCTCCCCAACCCAATAGCTAAAAATCGGGGGTGGGACAAATGCGACCTTTTTTTTGCGCACCTGGAGATTTGAGTACCTTTTTTTGCTGGAAAAGGCCTTAGGCAAGGCCGTAGAGCTTCGAAAATATTTCCATATAAGGGAATCGTATGCGTAGATTCCGAATTTCGACAAATCAGACCTCGCTGACACGTCAAATTTGGGCTAAAAGGCAAAAACTGCGGAAAAGCGTTAAGTTGCGTAGTTTTTGCCTTTTAGCCCAAATTTGACGTGTCAGCGAGGTCTGATTTGTCGAAATTCGGAATCTACGCATACGATTCCCGTCTATGAAAACATTTTTGAAGCCCTTCTACCTTTCCTAAGGCCTTTTCCAGCAAAAAAAGGTGCGCAAATGTCCAGGTGTGCAAAAAAAAGGTCGCATTTGTCTCACCCCCCTGAAAATCGCCTCTATTCTATCAAGCTTGATTTATTCTAAACTAATAGACTCATTAAAGCTTTATTTAACGAAAAAAAAACCCTTTTAAAACTCTCTTTGCTTAGTAAACTAAAGAAAAATGATAGCGCGCTGAGAAGTGTTTGCTGTGCTTTCCTTTCGAGTCGCTTTAATGATCCGAAAGTTTTTTCAAAGTGTATGGGTGTTCAGTGTGATTTTTCTCAGAATTTCTAGTGGCTTCTGGTGGTTTTTGTGGTGTTAAAGTGAATATTTTAGTAATTTTTCACTTTTTCTCGATTTCATAACTTCCTATACATGAAATTTCTGAGCCACCATGGCTGCCACCACCATATGGGCCACCATCATAAGACTTGCCGGGAGTGGGACAAATGCGACCTTTTGTTGCGCACCCGGACATTTGCGCACCTTTTTTTCCCCACTTAGCCCATTAGCGCACCTTTTTTCACGTTTTAAAAAAGCTCTAAAAGGCTAATATTAACCAAGTTCTATTCCAAAAGTGTTTTTCTAGGTAATTTTAGGGCGTAGAATCGAAATTTTGACATAACAGAGCTTGTGGAAACGAACGGACGGAGTTATACAAAGAGAAAAATCAACAATTTTCTGTAATTTGACATAGCCGGCTAGTTTTGATCTAGTTTTGTCTTTCAAATTGGTTCCACACGCTCTGATATGTCAAAATTTCGATTCTACGCCCTAAAATTACCTAGAAAAACAACTTTTGGAATAGAAATTAGTTAATATTGGCTTTGTAGAGTTTTTTAAAACGCGAAAAAAGGTGCGCTAATGGGCAAGGTGCGGAAAAAAGGTGCGCAATTGTCCGGGTGTGCAAAAAAAAGGTCGCATTTGTCCCACTCCCGACTTGCCATAAAATTAAATGTTCTAATCGTGCTGTCATCTTAGCGTTAATATATAAATTATTTTTTCAGTTTTTCTTGATTTTATGACTTCTTATACATTTTCCAGTTAGTTCAGTGTGATTTTTCTCAGAATTTCTAACAACTTTGATCAATAATTATGCTTCATTCTGCTTATTTATTACCCTAAAGTCTCGAGTATAAGTTGATCCGAGTATAAGTTCTGCCTTAATTTACATTCGCTTTAATTGCTTTGAATTTCTTTTTGTTGGGTTTTTATACATTTTTATTGTTATATAAGCTTTTATTATTGTTCTTGGAGCGCGGGATACTACGGGAAACTACGCGGGATACTACAGCCTATCACCATTGCTATTTGTTATGTGCATGGATACATCCAGACGATAGTTGAAAAAGACACTGGAAAGCATCTCTTTCGACCGTCGACGTGGACTTTGGCCGGATGAAGAGGCCAGGGAGGGATCCATAAGACTGAGCACCGGAGAGGAGCAGGGCGGACGCGCCGAGCCACGGCCAGGGCCAGGGCCGAGCCACGCCCGGAGCAACAAATAACAGCATAAAATTGCTATAACCCTCAATAAATTCACTTCTATTATTGTTCTTAAAAAGCAAAAAAGTTATGCTGCAGCGGGGTTCGAAGTCTCTGTCTGTTATTGTTCTTGGAGCGCGGGATACTACAGGGTGACAGCCTACAGGGTGACACCGACACCACCGGAGACAGCCGTCAATTTGCATGCGAAAACCAAACAGAACTTATACTCGAGACTTTAGAGTAGATAAGAAACATTTCAACTTACTTTAACAATGGAGTCACATCACGATCGAAAATATAAACTGTGACGAAGAGGGAAAGCTTTGGAGCACCGGATGCATCCTGAAAAATATTTGGAGAACTTTTTTGGAACTTTCAAGATGCACTTTGTACATTAGAAATGTAGCCGGTTATTCTCCAAAACTCTTTTAGACACTTTTATCGTACTGTAGTACTAGATTACTGTAGTTTCGATATTAGTTTATAGCTAAATATCAGTTTCAATTGATACTACAACTTCAACGAACTAATCACAGCCGTTTTGAGCGGCTGTAACTTAATCTTAAAAGATATTCAGTGAAACCGGGTACCACTTTTAGCCTACAAGCAGTACTGTACTAAAATAGTATAGCTGAACTTTGGAAATTTTGAATTCAACCAATCAGGCGCTTCAAATTCAACCAACCACCGCCGTTGTGGCCAAAATTCTGTCGAGCGCCGCCTCCGAAATCCCTTGCCATTCCATAATTTTCTTTATGTCAGGCAAACAGAAACGGAGTTCCACGTTCTCGTAATCACCTTGCTAAAAGATTTTCTCAAAAATTCTCTCTTTCCCAAGGTACTTTCAATGGTTCACAGCCCATAATTTTCCCGTCGACAACGAGTTGAGCTCCGAGGATCTCACTCAATGAGCCGAGTGATTCACAGGGGCGACAGTATAGGCTAAAATGAGTACTGTTTACTTAAGAGAGTACTGTTTTGTGAGACCTTTTATACGCGAAGCCCCGCCCCCTTTGCCCTTGGCAATCCAACTTTGAGCTCAAATATCTTGGTGCTGGGTTGTTCAAATGAAATAGTTTTTTGGACCAATCGATAGAGAAAGACTTGGCGCATCCAATGATATCAAGAATATTTCAATTGGACAACCCAACACCAAGAAATTTGAGCTCAAGGTTCACGATACAGTACTTCACTGACTCACATAGCAAAGAATGGTTCAGCCAGTCGAGGATTTTGAATTTCTCTCAAAAATGCAACAAATTTAAGGCAGAAATTGTTCCCAAGTGATTGGACATGGTGACGCATAGAAAACGAGAAAGCTCAATCGTTCACCGATTGTGAGACCTTTTATACGCGAGGCCCCGCCCCCTTTGCCATTGGCAATCTAACTTTAAGCTCAATTTTCTTGGTGATGGGTTGTCCAATTGAAATAGTTTTTATACCAATCGATAGAGAAAGACTTGGCGAATTCAATGATATTAAGAATATTTAAATGGGAGAGCACACTATTAAGAAATTGGGCCAAGTTAGGGGGGGGGGGGGGGGGGACCTTTTACGCACCACCCCCCACCGCCAGTTTCTGGTGATGGGTTGTCCAATTTAAATAGTTGTTATACCAATCGATAGAGAAAGACTTGGCGAATTCAATGATATTAAGAATATTTAAATTGGATCCGCCAATACCAAGAAATTTGAGCTCAAAGTTGAATCACCAAGTGTCCGCTAACCCACCGCTTCTTTCCCTTTACAGATTTAAAAAGGGAACCACTTTATACTTTTTACGTTTGCCAGATTGCGAGCGATTACGCGGCCCTGCAAAGAACATCTCGTCAGCTCGTTTACAGAGATTCCCTTTTGCTTGTAGATGATATAAAAAGATATTCAGCTGTCAATTTGTACGCGAGGGTTTTCGGGATCGCGAATCGCTTTCTGCTCATCATTTTGTTGCGTCTAGAGCAACGTTTGAATTGATTTTGAGATTTTGAGATCTCCTTGTTGTCCTTTTTCTCCAAAAACCCCACCACGAGCCAATCCCTCCACATCCATCACTCGCCGAATCTCTGCACACCTCCGGCGGTCGATTCACGTCTCCCATCGTTGAAACAGATAGATAGATCAATAAATTATCAGTGATATCCTCGTGAATCGTCACCTTTCCCTAAATACTTTGTTTTTCTTTTTGATTTTATTGGATTGGTGAATTGAAAACTGTGGACTATTGTCATATGTGACAGTTTGAGCGCTTTCTTCAAAAGAAACCCATTTTGGTGGCAATGGAAAAGTTGTAGAGAATCAAAAATCAAGCTTATATCCAAATTCTTAGAACGATTCAAAAACTGGTTTTCAAGAAATGCGAAATTTACGAATTTTCACAAAATTTGCATTTTAAGCGAAACTACTGAGTCTATCTTTTTGGAAATTTGGCTATAAGTCTAATTTTTGATTCTCTACAACTTTTCTATTGACACCAAAATGGGTTTCTTTTGAAGAAAGTGCTCAAACTGGGACATCTCCAGTCCTCCATTTTTGAGTCTCACACTTGTCTCACACACAAACCAAAATCCTACTACGAAAGAGGAATCCGTAAATTGCCTATAAAATGGGCAGAAGTCCTCAATAATAATGGATATTATTTGGAATGAATTGATGGTTTTATGTTGAATAAATTTTAGTTCAAAGTCCCGCAGTTTTCAATTGACCAACCCAATAGATTGTAACACTTACTTGTATCGAATAGCATCCATTTTGATTGAGCTTCACGAGCTGAGCTCCTTTAAAGCCTTGACCGCTTTCAAACTCGATTTTTCGGTTCCACAAAGCCGCTGGAATAAGTTAGTTTAGATTTTGCAACTATTCCGCTTGCAAGCTCAATTTTACAGCATTGTTTTTGACTATAAAATCGAATTTTCAGATAATACTAAGAGAAATCATGTAAGATTGAAGAAAAAGAATAAAATACGTGCGATCTGCTCACCAAGAAAACGTACTCTTCTTGAGAGCGCATCCCTGATGACGATGGAGTTTCAAGTCGAGTGATTGAGCATTCAGAGAAGATATTGCCCAATATAGGAGTAAAACGTAGAGCATAGATGCTGAAAGAAGTATGGTACAATTGTGTGATGCCCGTAGACAGGATTTTCAGTCCTGTTTCAGGGCCTTTAGGCTCGAGCTCCTCGAGGCTACTCCCATCCAATTTTCGACCAAAAAAATTCTATTTTTTAAAGGCTTCTATTCTATTTCCAGGCTACAAAAAACAAAAAACAAACAAAAATCTAATTTCTTGGTCGGAAATTGATTGAGAGTAGCCTCGAGAAGCTCTGGTTGTTAAACTGAAAGTCGTAAAATCCAGGCTACAGGCCTGACTTGTGATATATAATATATTGTACCAAGATCACTGCTTCAAATTTTCAGAAGCTGAAGGCTTAGAAGCTGAAAGCCTAGAAGCTGAAGGCCTAAAAGCTGAAAGCCTAGAAGATGACGGCTTAGAAGCTGAAAGCCTAGAAGCTGAAAGCCTAGAAGCTGAAAGCCTAGAAGCTGAAAGCCTAGAAGCTGAAAGCCTAGAAGCTGAAAGCCTAGAAGATGACGGCTTAGAAGCTGAAGACTTAGAAGCTGAAGGCTTAGAAGCTGAAGGCTTAGAAGCTGAAGGCTTAGAAGCTGAAGGCTTAGAAGCTGAAGGCTTAGAAGCTGAAGGCTTAGAAGCTGAAGGCTTAGAAGCTGAAGGCCTAGAAGCTGAAGGCTTAGAAGCTGAAAGCCTAGAAGCTGAAAGCCTAGAAGCTGAAAGCCTAGAAGCTGAAAGCCTAGAAGCTGAAAGCCTAGAAGCTGACGGCTTAGAAGCTGAAAGCCTAGAAGCTGAAAGCCTAGAAGCTGAAAGCCTAGAAGCTGAAAGCCTAGAAGCTGAAAGCCTAGAAGCTGAAAGCCTAGAAGCTGAAAGCCTAGAAGATGACGGCTTAGAAGCTGAAAGCCTAGAAGCTGAAAGCCTAGAAGCTGAAAGCCTAGAAGCTGAAAGCCTAGAAGCTGAAAGCCTAGAAGCTGAAAGCCTAGAAGCTGAAAGCCTAGAAGCTGAAAGCCTAGAAGCTGAAAGCCTAGAAGCTGAAAGCCTAGAAGATGACGGCTTAGAAGCTGAAAGCCTAGAAGCTGAAAGCCTAGAAGCTGAAAGCCTAGAAGATGACGGCTTAGAAGCTGAAAGCCTAGAAGCTGAAAGCCTAGAAGCTGAAAGCCTAGAAGCTGAAAGCCTAGAAGCTGAAAGCCTAGAAGCTGAAAGCCTAGAAGATGACGGCTTAGAAGCTGAAGACTTAGAAGCTGAAGGCTTAGAAGCTGAAGGCTTAGAAGCTGAAGGCTTAGAAGCTGAAGGCTTAGAAGCTGAAGGCTTAGAAGCTGAAGGCTTAGAAGCTGAAGGCTTAGAAGCTGAAGGCTTAGAAGCTGAAGGCTTAGAAGCTGAAGGCTTAGAAGCTGAAGGCTTAGAAGCTGAAGCTGAAAGTCTATTTGGCTTTCAATTTTGATGTAAATTGGTTGTGTAAAGTAAAGATTAGATTATATTTGAGAAAAAAATCTTGCTGAAATAAAGCTACGAATTCAGATGTTTTCTAGGGTAGCTTTTATATTAGCTTTTATGAAATATTTCTAAATTTTAAAATGTTTTAAAGAATTGTTTAATAAAAAGTGACAATATTTGAGTTTATAGGTTCAAAAGCTGAAGTGAATACGAAGGAAAATTGAAGTTGAGAGAGGATTACGAAAGTTAAACCCAAGATTTCAAAGAGCGAGTGAGATTTAAAGATTAACTTTGAAAAATCAAGTAAAAGCTAGGGATTATGAGTCAGAATCGAAGAGAGAATCGATGCAAATCGCTCACCAAATCGATCATTTGAAATGAAAGGGAAAAGAAGGAGACTCGAATAAAGCCTGAGGGATTTGTGAAAAGAAAAGGGGAAAGAACGAGATGCGAAAGCCGGTTCTCCCAGTCAAGACTTAGCTCTTTCTCCTTGAATCAAGAATCTCTTCAAGTAAACAGTATTATTATTGAAAAGTTATAAAGATCTGTAAAAAAAACAAAAGAAAAGCAAAAGGAAAGCACAGGAAAAGCAAAAGGAAAACAACAAGGACTCGAACTCGAGCTAGAAGCGGATTTTTGCCTCGGATACCAGCCTCTTATCCACTACACCTTTGGACAATTGTTGACTTCAAGAAGAAGCTTTTTGATCACTTGATCATCGATTTGGTCCCAGCCTGCATATAAGAGAACTCTCTTGTGCGAACTCTCTTGAACTCTTCTCTGATAGCTGACCAGATCTCAATGCAATCATCGTTTTCAATGAAAAATCGATAGAATTTCAGCGATTTCCTTTGTTAAAGCTGAAAGAAGAAACCATTTGAAGCAATAAGTGATTTTTAAATAAATGAGTTCCTTTGTGAAGTCCGTGTGAAGCCTTTCTGTTTAGCTTTTTTTTTGTGTCTGACTATAGAAACAATTCTTGTAGCTGATTTTATCTGAATCGCTTCATTTTTGAACTCTTTAACTGTGAATTTTTCAATCTAATGCTCAATAATTGAATACATTTAGTTACCGTATTTTCTCTAATAGTAGTGCACCATGAGCGCCGCCTAAATTCCTCGAAATCTCGAGATCCGCTTATCAGAACCTATCGATGTGGGGTCGGAAAATGTAGCTGGCGATGAGATCTAGTGGGGGATTAGAGTGTTGAGCTTCTGTAAAAGCTTAGAAACCGTAAAATCGTCATCAACTCGGCTCGCTGAGGTGCACGACTATTAGAGAGAATACGGTATTTTAACTTACTCAAGTTGAGAACGTTTGTTTTGCTAGTTTTGTTTAAAAGACTCACTTTCAGCCCAGTTATGATATGTCAATGGAGTTCCATCAGCATATGAATCCATGAATGAATCCACGAACGAATCCACGAATGAATCCATGAATGAATCCATGAGTCGTTCTCTTTTTGCTGCACTCCAATGAATCGGGCAGTATCGTTCAGATCACGCAGAAAGGCTGATTAAGGGCTAATCTGTAAATCTGTAAATACACATGCAATACAAACCTGTAAATTGACAAATCTGTAACGATACACCAACCTTGAGCAATCAATGAAAGCAACAGAGTATTCCCATAAGCATTTTGCACTTTTGCTGCTATTCCTCCCAATTGAGCACATATTTGGCAGGCAACACTGTAGATATTGACTGAAATACCGTATTGATTCCAATAGACGGGCATGTCCGTCTATTTTTCAACCTCCCAAAATTGGTCAGCCAAAAAAATGGGTGTTCAATAATTACCTGTACACGAGATTTTAAGTATAACTCAACACTCAGATGTGCAATCATCTCACGCTTTGTTTTAATAGAAAATTTATATACTATTAAACTATTATTAGAGAAAATACGGTATACACAAACTTATTGGAGGTGACTTTTTCTAAAACGAAAGAACCTTGAAACTTTGAACCGGGGGATTAACTTTGAATAAATCTCGAAAAAGAGGGATTGGTTGACTGTCCTTTACAATTTTGAAACATTCTATTAAATCCGTGACCGAATGATGATTGATTTGAATGTGATGAAATAAATGATACTATGACAATGAAAGCCAATGCAAATGAATTTACTTTCTCTGAAACAAAGCTCGAATCGCCGTAGACAAACATTTCAGTCCAGCAAAAGCTGTTCAAGAAAAGCTGTTCAGCAAAAGCTGTTCAACAAAAGCTGTTCAACAAAAGCTGTTCAACAAAAGCTGTTCAAGAAAAGCTGTTCAAGAAAAGCTGTTCAAGAAAAGCTGTTTAACAAATGCTGTTTAAGAAAAGCTGTTCAGCAAAAGCTGTTCGACAAAAGCTGTTTAAGAAAAGCTGTTCAACAAAAGCTGTTCAACAAAAGCTGTTCAACAAAAGCTGTTCAACAAAAGCTGTTCAGCAAGTATAAAAGCATCGACGTAAACAGTAAAACAACTGATTTCTCTCATTCTTACTGTATTGTCTCAATTGTTAATCTTTAAAGTAATCTTAAATCATTTGATATGGTCAATGCACATGCTATAGCAGACATTTTTAAATAGTCGGCTGTTTCTTATTCTTGTTGCGAGCTCAAATTGTCATAGCAGTTTTATATAAAAGCCCTATACATCTACAGATTCGTCTGAAACCCATTTCCTGTTAAAAACCGACAAAACGTGATTGAGAAAAAACGACTAGACAGATTGATTTGAAAATTTAAGTATAGACGTAATTAAACATTCTCTACGTTTCTTATTTGAACACCAAAGTAGGTTTGTTGGATAGAAATCTTTAAATGATCAACGATCGATTCCATCAGCCCATTTTTGACTGCTTAAGTTTGTTTATTTGAAAAAGTATGAAAATAAAAGCTTTCCTCTCTGGCTTAAAAGATATTTTGTAGAGAAAAGATAGGGCTTTTTTTACTTTTAAAGCCCCTAGAATTTACTTTACGGATTTTAAATGATTTTTTGATTTAAGTAAGCTCAGTCAGACTCAAAAAAAAGTGTCAAAAGCACATTTATTCAATTTTTCAGTTAAAAACCTAGACTAGAAACATGCTTTTCATGAAAATTATTTCTTTCATTTGATGAAAAGCGGGTAAAATTTCCCTAGATAGCGTAAACTTCAGTCTTTTTCGTTACGCGACCATTCGCCGTAAGTCTTTTCGCCGCACGACGTTTCTCCGCAAATCACAAAATACTAGTCGGGTCTATCCCAAAACAGCGCCGCCAAAACAGCGCCGTACCCAAAACAGCGCCACCCAAAACAGCGCCAATGCAAAAACGCCGAAAACAGCTTAGATTTTTGCTTTTGCTTTTTCTTTGCTGTTTTTAACTTTTTCTGTCCACTTTTTTGTGTTTTTAGGGTAAAAAAAAAGGCGGAGAATCCGATTTTTTTTAAAGCTTTACGCATAGAAACCTGCGATAGCGTTTATAAAATTGGTTTTAACCAAAAATAACAATTTTTTTCCTTTTACGGCCTGTTTTTTAACATTTTCACTAACTTTTTATTTCTACTACGGTTCACTTGAAAGCTCTAGCCGTTTATGTTCATCATCGCTAGTGTTATGGTGTTTCAGAGTCTCTTGGACTAATAATTTCATGCTATTTTAATGTTTTTTATGCATCGTTTAATTGTTATCGTTTATTGTTGTTGGTCATGCTATTTTTAAATAAATTATCAAAATTAAAAGCTGCTAATAAAAAAAATGAGTGTACATTGTAAAAGAAAAAAAAACTTTGTTTTGCATCGGCGCTGTTTTGGGCGTTTTTCATTGGCGCTGTTTTGGGTACGGCGCTGTTTTGGTCGGCGCTGTTTTGGTCGGCGCTGTTTTGGTCGGCGCTGTTTTGGGCGTTTTTCATTGGCGCTGTTTTGGGTACGGCGCTGTTTTGGGTACGGCGCTATTTTGGGTGGCGCTATTTTCGGTGGCGCTGTTTTGGTCGGCGCTATTTTGGCGGCGCTGTTTTGGGATAGACCCTACTAGTCCTTAACTCATAAGTCCTTCAGCCTAAAATTGACCTAATAATAGCCTAAAGTTGTTTATTTAGGGTTTCTAAATCTCTAAATACAAAAAGGAAAAAAAACGTTTACAAGCCGGCTCGAATCCGCCATGTTCGCCAGGTGGCCAGGCGCCAGGAAACTGAAGCCAAGCACACTAACCAATAATCCACCAGCTTTTTTCCTAGCGGAGAGAATACCATTTCACTATCCATGTGCTCAAAAACTCTTTGCAAACTTTGAAGCTGAATATCTTGCGAATTTCAACACGTCATTCCCAAACGACCTAGATATTCGAAATCAGCGTAAAAAACTGCACTAGAAAAACTATGCCTAAGCTCAAAAACCAGGTGTAAAGCGTCTCAAGTTAAGCAAAAACTAAAAACGTCATAGTTGCTTGTGTCTAATTTGCGTAAATCTTGCGTAGTAGCTTTTCTTAGAGGTAAAAAAAATGTCTACAAGCTAGCTCGAACCCGCCAGGTAAAGAACTGAAGCCAAGCACACTAACCAATAAGCCACGAGCTTGAGTTTTACTAGCGGAGAAAATGCCATTTGACTATTGATGTGCTCAAAAACTCTTGGCAAACTTTGAAGCAGAATATCTTGCGAATTTCAACACGTCATTCCCAAACGACCTAGATATTCAAAATCAGCGTAAAAAACCGCACTAGAAAAACTATGCCTAAGCTCAAAAGCCAGGTGAAGAACTGAAGCCAAGCACACTAACCAATAATCCACCAGCTTGCCTTTTTGCGGATTCCTCTTTCTTAGTAGGATTTTGGTTTTGAATCGAAAAAATTTCAAAATCAATTTTTGACTGCTTAAGTTTGTTTATTTGAAAAAGTATGAAAATAGAAACTTTCCCATCTGGCTTAAAAGATATTTTGTAGAGAAAAGATAGGGCTTTTTTTTATCTTTAAAGCTCCTAGAATTTACTTTACGGATTTTAAATGATTTTTGATTTAAATGAGCTCAGTCAGACTCAAAAAAGTGTCAAAAGCACATATCGTCAATTTTAGATTTGCTGAAATTTTTGGAAGAAAAATGATGGGTTCTTGTCATAAATGATATCATCTTATCATTTCTGTCAAACGATTACGGCGTTGAGCTTGAGCTCAACGTTCACTCAGGCTTGAGCTTGAGCTCAACGTTCACTCAGGCTTGAGCTTGAGCTCAACGTTCACTCAGGCTTGAGCTTCTGTAAAAAGATAATTCTTTGGTTAGCGACTTTGCAGTGAATTGCAGTGAAAAGTCAGCTTCTCCAGAATTCAGAACTCCAGAGAGTTTACTTTAAAAGCCAAAATCCTTAACAAATCTAATAGAATTACAGTGTATAGTCAGCTCCAGCTTCTCCAGAATTCAGAACTCCAGAAAATTCGTCGACAGAACTTGTCCAATTCCATTTTGTCCTGATCTTTTGATCAAATTTCTAAACAAATCCATTATTTCCAATCTGAAATCACTTCTCAAAGGAACGCTCAAAGGAACGCTCAAAGGAACGGTTCTAGATCTTGTTCTTGATCTATTTCTTGATCTTATTCTTTATCTTGTTCTTGTTTTTTTGATTTCATTTACTTTAAAAGCCAAAATCCTTAGTAAATCTAATAGAATTGCGGTGAAAAGTCAGCTCCAGCTTCTCAAGAATTCAGAACTCCAGAGAGTTTACTTTAAAGCCAAAATCCTTAGTAAATCTGATAAAATTACGGTGAAAAGTCAGCTCCAGCTTCTCAAGAATTCAGAACTCCAGAAAATTAGTCGACAGAACTTGTCCAATTCCATTTTGTCCAATTCCATTTTGTTCTTGATCTTTTGATCAAATTTCTAAACAAATCCATTCTTTCCAATCTGAAATCCCTTCTCAAAGGAACGCTGAATGAATTTTGTCTCATTGCCTAATTGAATTTGTCTTAAATGGCATAGCTGAAGCGTCGGCACAAATCAAGGATCCAGTTTTTTCCCTTCATTGTCGGCTTTTTCCCCGAAAAACAGAGAAAACCGTTCGAAAAAAACTTCAAAATTTTCTCCTCCTCAAAGAAGATCCGATAAAAAGTCTCTATTTCATTCTTTTCTTTCTTTCTTTCTTTCTTTTTCCTTCCTTTTTCTTTCCTTTTCCTTCCTTTTCCTTCCTTTTCCTTCCTTTTCCTTCTTTTTTCCTTCTTTTTTTCTTTAAAATTCCATTTCTGAGAGTTCTCATTGTGAAAAACGATTTCTGAGCTTTTACCATTCGATTTCTTTTTGCTAATCTTTTTCAATGACAATTTCTGACTCTTTTTCTCTTTCTTTTTTAGGTTCCATGCTCAGATTTTTTGATTTTAAGTATTATTTTTAATGATTTTAATGATTTTAGGTTTGATAGGTTTGATAGGTTTTAAGAAAGGGAAAATTATCTTTGTTAGCAATTGATTGCATTAGCATTTAACGATTTTAACGATTTTAAGGATTATTTCTTACTAAATCAGCTATTCAGCTTACTTTATTCAAAATAATCTTACTAGAAAACGATCAGATTTCGCTATATTTTAAATCAAAGTTATTAGACTAGTAGATTATTAGATGATTATTATTAGATGATGATTATTATTATTATTATTATTAGATTATTAGACGGGCAACACGATCGTGTTTTTATTGGGTTGGTCAATTGAAAACTTTGAACTAAAATTTATTGAACATAAAACCATCAATTCATTCCAAATAATTTCCATTCTTATTGACGCCTTCTGCCCATTTTACAAGCAATTTGCGGATTCCTCTTTCGTAGTAGGATTTTGGTTTGTGTGTGAGACAAGTGTGAGACTCAAAAATGGAGGACTGGGGATGTCCCAGTTTGAGCACTTTCTTCAAAAGAAACCCATTTTGGTGTCAATAGAAAAGTTGTAGAGAATCAAAAATTAGGCTTATAACCAAATTTCCAAAAAGATATAAAAGATATAAAAAGAGCATAAACTTCTTCTGGTGTAAATCGGGCTTGGGGTCACTTTCGGGTTTCTCGCCTGACCGCACCCATTGCCGCTTGCTCCGAAAGTTCATAGATAAAATTTTCTCATCTCCTATCACAATTCGAGGAAGAAAGGATTTCCTTTCGTAGTAGGATTTTGGTTTGTGTGTGAGACAAGTGTGAGACTCAAAAATGGAGGACTGGGGATGTCCCAGTTTGAGCACTTTCTTCAAAAGAAACCCACTTTGGTGTCAATAGAAAAGTTGTAGAGAATCAAAAATTAGGCTTATAGCCAAATTTCCAAAACGATACACTTAGTAGTTTCGCTTAAAATGGAGCACAAAGTATTGGGTTGATGAATTGAAAACTGCCGGACTTTGAACTAAAATTTATTGAATATAAAACCATCAATTCATTCCAAATAATTTCCATTATTATTGACGACTTCTGCCCATTTTACAGGCAATTTGCGGATTCCTCTTTCTTAGTTGGATTTTGGTTTTGAATCGAAAAACTTTCAAAGCCAATTTTTGACTGCTTCTTCCGAATCGATGTGTTCTCGCGCAAGCTCATTAGTCATGATCCGGAATAAATAGTAATGAAAAGGGGCGAGGTATGGGACTGTATGGGGAATGGGCCAAAATTTCTCAAACAAGGCTTGTACTTTAAAGAGTGCTTTGTGCTTTCCGAAATGGCACACAGTTTCTGGCAATATTTCAGGCTTTTTGTTGGCTAAATCATTCTACTTTAAAGAACCAATCTGGAAAAAACTAATTTCTATAATCAAAATTTATATAAAAATCTATCGTCATTTCTTGGTTTTGCAACTTCTATTCACTTAATTTATTTAATTTATTGATTTATTTGTTGTTAATAGTTTCTTGATAATTTATTGATGAAAGCTTTTTGTTCCAGGTTTCTGCTACATCTCAAATCTTTGCAAAGCTCCCCTCCAATTATGAAGCCTGCCTTTTGGCAGTTGATCTCATTTTTCTTTTTATTTGTCATTTTATCGATTGAAGCGAAGAAGACCCAGCCACGACAAGCTGGATATGAGGCGACAGGTAGTCAAATGTGAACTTGAACTTGTCATCGTGATAGTTGTGGTCTGGATTTGGGAAATGTAGACGAAAGGCCTCTTTTAATATACTAAAGTTTGGATGGAAAGCCAAGATAACTCTTCAACAACCTATTAAAGAGTCAAAGATAATTTTAAAGTAAAATGGTTACTCAATAGTTTTTAGCCAAGATCTGTATAATATTTGTCAGGTGAAGCCTCCCCAGCTCCAGCTCCAGCTCCAGCTCCAGCTCCAGCTCCGATTCCAGTGGCCCCAAGTGAGGGTGGAGAAGGGCAAGGAGACAAAGATCCCTTCGGATTCCAGGAACAGAATTTTCCGCAAGAACAAAATTTTCCAGGTAAAGCGAGGAAAATGGTTGTCTATTCTTATTCTTTAAGGATTAGGTTGATAGAATTATTAAGGATTCATTGAAAGACTGAAATTACGCTTTTAAGGATTGATTCTTTATGGATCGATCCTTAAGGATTAACTTCAAAGAGTCATTAAGCATTCTTAAGCTTATTCTTTAAGGATTAATTTTATAAAGTCATTAAGGATTCATTGAAAGACTGAAATTAAGCTTTTAAGGCTTGATTCTTTAAGGATTAGGTTTATAGAATCATTAGATTCATTGAAAGACTGAAATTAAGCTTTTAAGGATTGATTCTATATGGATTAAGCTTAAAGAATCATTAAGGATTCATCGAAAGACTAAAATGAAGCTTTTAAGACTTGATTCTTTATGGATTAGGTTTATAGAATCATTAGACTCATTGAAAGACTGAAATTAAGCATTCTTAAGTTTATTCTTTAAGGATTAGGCTCAAAGAATCATTAGATTCATTGAAAGACTCAAATTAAGCTTTTAAGGATTGATTCTTTATGGATTAAGCTTAAAGAATCATTAAGGATTCATCGAAAGACTGAAATTAAGCATTCTTAAGCTTATTCTTTAAGGATTAGGTTTATAGAATCATTCAGGATTCATTGAAAGACTCAAATTAAGCTTTAAGGATTGATTCTTTATGGATTAAGCAAAGATCTTAAGGATTCATCGAAAGACTGAAATTAAGCATTCTTAAGCTTATTCTTTAAGGATTAGGTTTATAGAATCATTCAGGATTCATTGAAAGACTCAAATTAAGCTTTTAAGGATTGATTCTTTATGGATTAAGCTTAAAGAATCATTAAGGATTCATCGAAAGACTGAAATTAAGCATTCTTAAGCTTATTCTTTAAGGATTAGGTTTATAGAATCATTCAGGATTCATTGAAAGACTCAAATTAAGCTTTTAAGAATTGATTTTATATGGATTAAGCTTAAAGAATCATTAGATCCATTGAAAGACTGAAATTAAGCTTTTAAGGATTGATTCTTTAAGGATTAAGTTTAAAGAATCATTAAGGATTCGCAGCTTCGCCTGAAACAAGATTTAGGTGTAGAAAAGTGTAGGAAAACTAGGCCAAGCCAATGCTAAAGCCAGGCTTGCAGAAAAATCAAAATCCAGGCTATCAACAACTTCAAAAGCTCTACCAGCGAGCAATGGCTCCATTTTTGATGCAAATGCTCGGCCAGGGACAGAGCCCATTTTTCTATGGAAATCCTCAAGTGAAAAATATTCAACCAAGCGCTTTTGCCAAGGTAAACAAAGCTTGCTTAAAGATTTTGAAAATAAATCTTTCTTTCTTTAAGTCTTCTCCTGGAATCAATTCAAGTTGTCCACTTTTGACAAAAACTTAAACCATTTTTGTGTCTAGTTATCAATAAAGTTTCAAGGTTGACGCAAGAAATGGCCCAGTTGTGCTCAATCCGACTCCATCAGATCCATCAGATCCGATCATTGTCTACGGACCACAACCACAAGTAAATTAGAGTTTAATAAATCAAATTGAAAGGGAATTAATTGAAAGGGAATCGATTGAAAGGCAATTAATTGAAAGGTAATCAATTGAAAGGCAATCAATTGAAAGTCTTGTGCTGCAGAATCACTTGTGCTACAGCATCATTTGTGCAACAAAATCACTTGTACAACAGCATCACTTGCCCAACTGGGTCTTTTGCGCAACTCGTCATAACCTCCTTCCAAGTGGTCTAATCTTTATCCTTTTGGTGTCATTTTGTAGATCTCAATAAGTGCAACAAAATAACACCAAAATCATAAAGATTGACCAACTTAGAAGAAAGTTATGGCAAGTCGCGTAAACGCTCCAGTTGCGTAAACGCTCCAGTTGCGTAAACGCTCCAGTTGCGTAAACGCTCCAGTTGCGTAAACGCTCCAGTTGCGTAAACGCTCCAGTTGCGTAAACGCTCCAGTTGCGTAAACGCTCCAGTTGCGTAAACGCTCCAGTTGCGTAAACGCTCCAGTTGCGCAAAGTTCCGGAAACTAGCTTACCCCATTGAAATTCAATCAATTCAATTAATCAATTGAAATCAATTGAAATATCATTGAAGAATAGCTTTTGAAGAAACAAATCGAATTTTAAACATTCTAAAGCTATTGTTTACCTAAATATATTTGACTATCTAGAAAGTCTTTTTGCTTAACTCAAATTCTTCAACAAAACCAGCTACCAAACCAGCTACCAATCCAGCTAATTAAACTCAAAGCTCTTAAACTAAAAACAGTGGCACAACTTTGATTTTGGCAAGTTTTGTGAAGAAATTGGCTTCAGCACTGAGTCAAATTTAATGTTTTCATGTTCTTTTTGAATTAAAATTTCTCAAAATACCATTTCTTCAAATTTAAAGGGAATTCTTCTGATTACAGGGTGGCTGAAAAGCTCTGTTATCTTATAAAACAACAGCTAAAAAGCAACACGATATAATATATGTAATATATGGGTAGCACAGATAGAATCTCAGCGATTTTTCAGTGATTTTTGAAGTTGAGAGCTTCATAGAAATCCCTGGGCAACATCTAAATTAGGCAATACATCTACAAATACTTTGTTGAAGGATAACGGCTTTTGAAAAACGAAACTTTAGACATTCTATCGTTTGTCTGAGATTATGAGCTATTTGATTTATTTTTTTATATCTTTTATCTGTACAAAATCGTGATCTAAGGTGCCTCTTGTCCCTCTCTATCCACCCCCACCACCGGCTGTCGTTCTTGAAGAGGAGCAATGCGAATTTGACGAATTCCGTAAGATCTTAATCAATTTTCTGACAAAACCTTTCAATCCTGTTTATTTAGACTTTAATTGTTAAACTTTAGCCTCTTTCCTTTCTATTCAAGAGTTTTGATAAAGATTCAAAGATTGACTTAAGTTTCAAAGCTCCTAAGTTCTAAAGACTTAAGATTAATTCTTAAGAACTTAGGATCTTTGGATCTTTGAATCTTAAGTCTTAAGAACTTAGGATCTTTGGATCTTTGGATCTTAAGGCTTAAGAACTTAGGATCTTTGGATCTTTGAATCTTAAGTCTTAAGAACTTAAGCTCTTTGGATCTTAAGGCTTAAGACTTAAGATTCAAAGATCCTAAGTTCTAAAGACTTAAGAAAGAAAGAATCCAAGAATCTTGCTCCAAACTATTGAAAAGAAAACTAAAGATATTCTAGAAAAAAGAAATTAAAGAACTAAAGATGTTTTAGAAACAAAATAAAACAAAAGAAAAGCTATTATAGACTTCAAAGAGATATTTTACATGTTTAGAAAACCGTTGTTGCAATCGCTTGCTGAAAGCGACGATGAAAGCGGCTTTGGCTCCTCTTCCAATTGACACCTGTGATATTGGATTAATGGCAAAAGTGAGTTTTCATTTTCCAAAAGAATTTAACTTTATTTAACTTTATTTCAATTTCAGTTAGTTCAAGAAAAAGCCGAAAAAGTTTTTGGAATGGATTTCGAGGCGATCGCTGGATACAAAGATTTCGCTTCAAAATCACATAACGTTGGCAATATGACGTGTAAAATTGATCGACATGGAAAGAGAGTGATGGCATATGCGAGTCCGAATGAGGAAAATGTGAGTTTCTGTTTTTTGAAAAGAGTTTATTGAATCAAAAAGTAGTCAAAAATCGAAACACACTCTATCTGTAACAGTAAATTCTTCTTTTATCGCTTGACATCTTACCTTTTTTTAGATTTTGGGCTATTTGATACACTCCCCGCCTCCTTTGCCATTGGCAATCCGACTTTGAGCTTAAATTTCTTGGAGTTAAGCTGTCCAATTTAAAGATTCTTGATATCATTGAATTCGCCAAGTCTTTCTCTATCGATTGGTATAAAAACTAGTTAAATTGGAGAGCTCAACGCCAAGAAATTTGAGCGCAAAGTTGGATTGCTAATGGTAAAGGGGGCGGAGCTTATTAGACAGTCTAACAAAAGAAAGAGAAGGGTTGGCATAGGAAAATGGGTCAAGATAGATCAGCTATTGATCGCTTGGTTTAAAAACTATTTAAATTGAACAGCCAAGAACCAAGGGGCTATTGTGAGACCTTTTATACGCGAAGTCCCGCCCCTTTTCCATTGACAATTCAACTCTCAGCTCAAATGTCGCGAAGTTAAGCTGTCCAATTTCAATATTCTTGATATCATTGAATTCGCCAAGTCTTTCTCTATCGATTGGTATAAAAACTAATTGGAGAGCTCAACACCAAGAAATTTGAGCGCAAAGTTGGATTGCTAATGGTAAAGGAGGCGGGGCGATTGTGAGACCTTTTATACCCGAAGCCCCGCCCCTTTGCCATTGACCAATCCAACTTTCAGCTCAGTTTTCTTGGTGCTGGGTTGTCCAATTGAAATAGTTTTTATACCAATCGACAGAGAAAGACTTGACGTATCCAATGATATTAAGAATATTTAAGTTGGACAGCCCACTATTAAGAAATTTGGGCTCAAAGTTGGATCACCAAGTGTCCGATAACCCACCGCTTCTTTCCCTTTCCGAATTCGAAAAGGGAATCACTTTATACTTTTTACGCTTGCCAGATCGCGAGCGATTACGCGGCGTATAAAAGGTCTCACAACCCCGCCCCCTTTGCCATTAGCAATCCAGCTTTGCGCTCAAATTTCTTGGTGTTGAGCTGTGCAATTGAAATAGTTTTTATACCGATCGACAGAGAAAGACTTGGCGTATCCAACGATATCAAGAATATTTAAATTGGATGCGCCAATACCAAGAAATTTGAGCTCAAAGTTGGATTGCCAATGGCAAAGGAGGCGGGGAGTGTCAGATAGCCTTCTTTTTGTGCCAACTATGCATTTGGTTAGGACAATTCCGGCCACTAGTCCGGGCTTGCTCCTAGCCTTGACTCAAATCAAAAATCAAGGCTGATCTTGCTTTGATTTGAAGAGAAGTCTGTTTTAGGGAGATCCACAAAAACGAATGACTCGTCTTGCTCGAGAAGCAGATGAAAGAATAGCTCGAGATAAGAGAACGGCAAAGATGAAGAAAGAATTGGAAGAGAAAAGGAAACAAGAAGAGGAAAAGGTAAAAACTAGGAAATATTCGATTTTTAGAAGTTATTTAGAAAGCAAAGAAAGCTCGTCGAAAATTGAGACGAACGCGGAAGGGAAAGGCGCGGAGAAGTCAGGTAGAAAAGTCAAAAATTGTATTAATGATTAAGAATATTAGAGTTTATTCTAAAGCCAAGAAATTTATATTGTTTCAAGTTGTATTTTCTTTAATTTATAACCTAAAGGCAGTTCAACAAGCCACTTTTGTTTTAAATCAAAATTCCTTTAATTCCTTTATAGCTGATTACTGTAAAAGCTGTTACTGTAAAAGTTGTTACTGTAAAAGCTGTTACTGGCAGCTACTGGCAGCTGCTACTGGCAGCTACTGATAGCTGTTACTGGCAGCTACTGATAGCTGTTACTGGCAGCTACTGATAGCTGTTACTGGCAGCTACTGGCATTGCTATCAAGTAGCTAAAGCAGTAGAGATACAAAGATTAAACCTTTGTACCTCTACTGCTTATATCCTGGATGCAGATGTAAGCTTCTGTGTGGTTACGGCATCCGTATCCGTATCTGGTTACGGTACACTTAAAATAGCTTCTCAAGTCAGTTTTCGAAAGTTCAAAATAGAATTAGTTATAAGTAGAATTGGTTTACAAAATAACCAAAAAAACCTCTTATTTTAGAGACACCCCACCTCAACTCAATTCAAATTCCAAGAAATCCAACGAAGCAAAGTTCTATCGGCTAATATTCTTTCTACAAATCTACCGGCTTTAAAAATCCCCGGTTAGTCTTTTCTTTGAAATTGTGTTTATCATTGAAATCGGCTTTAAATCACTAACTTGTAAGCGAACTTGTAAACGGAAAATCTAATATCTTTTCATTTTCAAACCAAAACTCAACAAATCGGGCAGCTACGCACTACGACGGAAAAAGCCTTTGCAATGTAAGAGAGAGAACGAAAGAGCTGATGAACACTTGATACTCTATTCAGAATCTAGCACAATAATTATCTAGCATCTAGAACAATCTAGAAAATCTAGAAATACATTAAATCAAGTCAATCGTTTGTTCAGTGTTAAAAGAAAAGCTAAGAGAGCTAAAAGAAAAGAATACAAAGTGGAGCTCCGTTTCTTTTGTCAAACAAAACCATGTTTAGAGGTGAGGAAAGAGAATCAGAGGTATTCAAAAACAAGGCATCAAATAAGATTTCTGTTTCACAGAAAAGAGCTACTTTTCTGCAAAAAGCGGAAAAAATTACAGAAAAACGTAGCTGCCGTATTTCTTAATGAAAATGAAAAGAAAGATATTCAATTTTCCGCTTTTTTCCGTCTGCGACTGAGACTGAAGACTGATCGTAACTACCGTATTTTCTCTAATAATAGTGCACATCACCCCGCCGAGTTAATGACTATTTTACGGTTTCCAAGCTTTCACAGAAGCTCAACACTCTAATCCCCCACAAGATCTCATCGCCAGCTACATTTTCCGACCCCACATCGATAGGTTCTGATAAGCGGTTCTCGAGATTTCGAGGAATTTAGGCGACGCTTAGGGTGCACTACTATTAGAGAAAATACGGTAGATTAAGATTATTCAAAATTAAACCTTAGATCAATGTAGGCTTTCCTCTTGACACCATTTCGTTTTACACTAACCCAAACTTGAGATACCGTATTTTCTCTAATAATAGTGCACAGCACCCCGCCGAGATAATGACTATTTTACGGTTTCCAAGCTTTCACAGAAGCTCAACACTCTAATCCCCCCACTAGATCTCATCATCAGCTACATTTTCCGATCCCATATCGATAGGTTCTGATTAGCGCTTTTCGAGATTTTCGAGATTTCGAGCAATTTAGGCGAAGGTTGCACTGCTATTAGGGAGAATACGGTAGTTTTAAGACTAGACCTCCAAATCTTCTCCATTTCGGCTTTCAAATCGAGATAAAATCCTTGTGAAGGTCTGGGAAACATACATCGTAGGCCTTGATCTGCGGGGAAATGGTTTGATGTGTTTCGAGGAAAATCTGACTGATCTGAACGAGATTTTTATATACTGTATTCTCTCTAATAATAGTGCACCTCAGCGAGCCGAGTTAATGACTATTTTACGGTTTCCAAGCTTTTGCAGAAGCTCAACACTCAAATCCCCCACTAGATCTCATCATCAGCTACATTTTCCGACCCCACATCGATAGGTTCTGATAAGCGGATCTCGAGATTTCGAGGAATTTAGGCGGCGCTCTTGGTACACTACTTTTAGAGAAAATACGGTGTATCCATTTTACAGTTTTTACATAGTTTTTCCTAGAAAATCCGGATGTTCACAAGGAGATTGTTCCTACGATCTCCACTATTTCCACAAGCTACCCGAAAAAAACTTTCTCAGAGTATGAGGATATTACAGGTATGAAAAAAGTTGAAGTTAAAGTCATAGTTGGTATGATTTGGCACTCGAATAGGTACTTCTTAGTCTAGTCTACTGTAGAGACTTGTACTTTAGCTTAAGCATAAGCTTTCTTAACTTTTAGAAGCAACAATCAAGCACGTGCCGGTGAGAACACCCACTGTCACAAGCAACACAACGATTGCCAAGTGAGTCCCTCTCGAGAAATCTTTCTTTTCCATTCCTTACTTTATTAGTAATGCCTGTGTTCTGATCTTCAGGAAAAAACGATTGTAAAGAGCCGAATATTTCCTTTTCTTTCTTTCGTCCTTCTCTTTCGTCCTTCTCTTTCTTCCTTCTCTTTCTCCCTTCTCTTTCTTCCTTCTCTTTCTTCCTTCTCTTTCTTCCTTCTCTTTCTTCCTTCTCTTTCTTCCTTCTCTTTCTTCCTTCTCTTTCTTCCTTCCCTTTCCTCTTTCTTCTCTGGCAAGAAGATACCAGATAGCTCAGTGATTAGAGAATCTACTCGGAAAGCAAAAAAGGTCAAGAGTTCAATCCCCTCTCCAGAACTTTCCTTACTTTACATTATTACAATCTTGATGTTTGAATTGCTTCTTAGAATAGTTTAAAGTTCAAAATCAATTCGAGATCTAGTAAATCTTTTAGAGTTTTACATGTTAATTTAAAAAATCTCAACGTTTAGGGTAAATCCATCACCGCCGCTCTCACTCAACACCACGGAGACTAAAATGGAGAAAGAAGTGGTTATGAAAGCAAAATGTTAGTGAAAAATTAAACTAGTTTAAAGAATATTTAGGTTTTTTATTAAAAATCACAATTTTATATTAAATTTGAAAGTTTTTAAAAATAATAATTGAAAAGAACTAAGCTTTTTCAAGTTTTCAATTTTTTAGCGAGCCTCAGGTTAATGAAAAACTTTGAAGTTAGGAAAATTTGGTACTGATTGGTTACCTTCCCCGCCTCAAGGCCAAAAAAAGAAACCAATTGCTCGGTGGACTGAAATTTTCCTTATCTACCTCCCCACCGATGCTCCGCTGCGCTGGTGCAGTCAACTGCTAATCTCTGGTTTTGTATTGCTTGCTTACATTGTTTTTTTTATTTATTTTAATCACACGACAAATCTAGTGAATTATGCTTGAAATAATGTAGCTGGGGGAAAAGATAAGGAATTAAGACGGAAAGAGATAAGGAATTTAGAGGGGAAGAGATAAGGAATTAAGAGGGAAAGAGATAAGGAATTTAAACGGAAAGAGATAAGGAATTTAGAGGGAAAGAGATAAGCAATTTAGACGGCAAGAGATAAAGAATTAAGATGGAAAGAGATAAAGAATTAAGATGGAAAGAGATAAGGAATTAAGAGGGAAAGAGATAAGGAATTTAGAGGAAAAGAGATAAGCAATTTAGAGGGAAAGAGATAAGGAATTGAGAAGGAAAGAGATAAAGAATTAAGAAGGAAAGAGATAAGGAATTTAGACGGAAAGAGATAAGGAATTAAGATGGAAAGAGATAGGGAATTAAGACGGAAAGAGATAAACAATTTAGAGGGAAAGAGATAAGCAGTTAAGAAGGAAAGAGATACCGTAAATATTGTAATAGTACCCCACCCCCCTCGTACAGTCGCGTAGACAAAAGTTTTTAGTCTTTCATTTTTTGCAAAGCACCCGTACTTTCAAAAAATGCGTCTTTGGTATCAAAAAATAGCCCTGAATTTCAGCTATTTTTTGATACCTAAGCGCGCATTGTAGGATAAACCAGTGTCGAGGGAAAACTCGTTCAAAGCTAGACTACGCAACGCTCCGCACCGTCATTATGGGGGTGGGGTACTATTACAGTATTTACGGCAAGCAATTAAGTCGGAAAGAGATAAGGAATTTAGAGGGAAAGAGATAAGCAATGAAGACCCAAAAAAGATACTATCAATGAAGACATAAATCCCACTCACTGAAGTCCCACGGAAGAATGTTATATATGTTGTGTCCGATTTAGATTTCCGTCCGCGATAAGTTCAATCTAAATTGGACGTCCGATTTAGATTGAACCTAAATCGGACGGAAATCTAAATCGGACACAACATATACAAATTAAATGAAAATCTTTCGGTGTGGGGAGAATAAGCCCAGAAAAATTGAATAATTGTAAAGAAAGATTTTAAAATGTTTAGAAAGAAAGGGGAGTTTAGCAAATTTTAATTACAGACTTGATTTATTCAAAATTTCAGCCAACAGAATCGACGGAGTCGCCGGCATTGCACAGCCAAAAGCACAAAGCTAGATAACGATAATCACGAAAAAAATAATCAAATCTTATAGCTAAACTTATTTTTTTATCTTATTTTGAAATATTTCTGATATTTTATTTATTTTATTTATTTATTTCCCTTTTCTCATTCATTATTCATGTTTGTTTTTCATGAAATATATACCGTATTCTCTCTAATAGTAGTGCACTCTCTAATAGTATTGCGGTTCGAGAGGGAGTTGAAAAAATAGTAGTGTACCCTCGAAAATTTGAATTTCTGGTGCTTCTTTTTCATCTAAACCTTTTTGACTTTATGTTTATGTGACATTCTAAAGCTATTTAAACAAGCAAACGTGAGGTTTTTTTTTACTCATTCATTAACTATTCTTCACATGAAAAAGTTAGCAAAAAATCTAAGTGTTGTGCAAAGTGCAAAAACATCTTTTTGTTGTTTGTCAAGACACAAATTGTCAACTCGCCGGCCCACAACTGTATGTCAAAAGGAGCCAAAGGAGTACGTGAAAGAATTGCAAGAGTTTTTGGAACAAAGATCTGTCTTACTTTGGTAAATGATAAAACTCTTTAATAGTAGTGCACTCTCTAATAGTATTGCGGTCCGAGATGGGGTTGAAAAAATAGTAGTGCGCACTACTATTAGAGAGAATACGGTATATGCTTTATTCAGTTGAATAGCGACAAAACAAAATCACAATAATTACCCGGGACACCACTCAAAACACACCCAAAAGATAAATAGATACCTCAAGAAAGAATCACAGAGCAGTCAAATCAATTGCCGAAATTGCGGCTTTAAATCTAGCCAAGGTGGAAATATCACGAACATCAGGGGGTAAAATGTTCCAGAATTTAATAACTCGATTAGAAAAGAAACTGTGGGGGCTTTTAGAGGAAACGGGAGGTTGGCGTATGAGAAAAGGCCTTCTGGAGGCTTCTGGAGTAGAGAGCCGAATTCAAATCTAGGTAAGGTGGGATTATCACGAAAATGAGGGATAAAAGATTCCACAATTTAATAACTTAATTAAAAAGAAATGGGAGCTTAGAGGAAACGGGAGGTTGGCGTATGAGAAAAGGCCTTCTGGAGGCTTCTGGAGTAGAGAACCGAATTCAAAGAGACCAAAAAGAAGGGGATCGGGATGAATGCCTTTAACAATTTTAAAGCATTCCACTAAATCGATGATAAGGCGGCGTTGGTGTAACATTTCAAGACCAAAGAGTCTATCAGAATAAGTAAAGGAGGAGAATTTGTCAAAAATTCATTTTATAAAGAGCAATTCTGGTGAAGTGCCTCTGAACACGTTGGCTTTTTTTGAATGATTTAATAGGGAAGGAGACCAAACCAAAGAAACGTATTCAAGAATTGGGCGAACATAAGCAACAAAACACATCCGATAAGTTTTGATGTTAGGTATGGTAATAGACCTGAGGATACGGCTTACGGAGGCCTTATTGCATATGGATTCAATGTGAAAACGGAAACTAAGAGGTGGACTAATAAGGACTCCCAAATCACGCAGATATCCAGTTTTTTCTACCAAGCGAATAGGATGATTGTCGAGGGTTAAAGGAAGAGAAGATTTAACCCTCGATAATGTTTGGAAAATTTTAATTAAAGACTTGATTTGTTCAAAATTTCAGCCAACAGACTCGACGGAGTCGCCGGCATTGCACAGCCAAAAGCACAAAGCTAGACAACGATCATCACGATCGATAAAAACGATAATCACGAAAAAAATAATCAAATCTTATATCTAAACTTATTTTTTAATCTTATTTTTAAATATTTCTGATATTTTATTTATTTTATTTATTTATTTCCCTTTTCTCATTCATTATTCACGTTTGTTTTTCATGAAATGAATAATCGGTTGATTCATTCGTTTTCTTCTTTTCTTTTCTCACTTTTTTTTGCTTATTAGCTCAATAAAGTTGATTTTTATTTGATAAAGATTAAGAAAATATGTTTTTTCATAAGAAAACATTTAAATTTGCTTTTTGATAAAGGTTTAACGGTAGATAAACGATAGATAATCTTAAGAATTTGATGTAAACTATTTTTAGCCATGGGTTGGTGAATTGAAAACTGAATTGAAAACAATAATATTTGTGTCTTGTAGAGCCGAAATTGGAAGCAAACTTGGGAGTGTTTCTTTGGCATTTTCATTCTCTTTGGCATTTCTTTGGTATTTCTTTGGCATTTCTTTGGCATTTCTTTGGCATTCTCCAGGCATTGTTCATGCTGATGGTGTACCTGGTTGTAGAAGAGATTTCTCTTTGTGCAAAAGCGCTAATTTGCTTCCAATTTCGGCTCTACAAGTGTGAAGTATTGGGTTGGTGAATTGAAAACTGCCGGCCCTTGTCATATGTGACAGTTTGAGCACTTTCTTCAAAAGAAACCCATTTTGGTGTCAATGGAAAAGTTGTAGAGAATCAAAAATCAAGCTTATATCCAAATTTTCAGAACGATTGAAGAACTGGTTTTCAAGAAATGCGAAATTTACGAATTTTCACAAAACTTGCATTTTAAGCGAAACTACTAAGTGTATCTTTTTGGAAATTTGGCTATAAGCCTAATTTTTGATTCTCTACAACTTTTCTATTGACACCAAAATGGGTTTCTTTTGAAGAAAGTGCTCAAACTGGGACATGTGACATCTCCAGTCCTCCATTTTTGAGTCTCACACACAAACCAGAATCCTACTACAAAAGAGGAATCCGCAAATTGCCTATAAAATGGGCAGAAGTCTTCAATAATAATGGAAATTATTTGGAATGAATTGATGGTTTTGTGTTCAATAAATTTTAGTTCAAAGTCCCGCAATTTTCAATCACCAGCCTAATATTAGATAATCCCAATATTTAATGAAAAACCCCTATAAAAACTAATAACCAATTTATAACCTAGCCCGAAACTATTAGAATAAGCTCCGCTACTCCTCAGCGATAGGATGTATACCGTGGAAGCTGACTTTAACAGAAGAACATGGGGCTTTTTGGTAGTGTGTACTTTTTTTGATGTTTTATGAAGAATTCAGTGTACTAGAAAGGGTTTCTTTCGAATTTTTACCGAAAAGTACTTTAAAAAGAGCAATTTACAACACTTTTCTCTCTTAAAAGTCACAATTTTATGTCTGGAAATGCTTTTCGATTTTTCCCTTTTCCTCTAACTGTTGTTTAGAATTTTTTTGAGTCAAGGATGTTCTTGGAACCAATTGTTTACATAAGAAATGTCAATTTTAGAGAAACTAAAGTTTTTATTAAGGCTAAAGTCGTTGAAGAATCCTTTTCGTAGTAAATTTAGTACATTAACGACGTTCACAATGAGATTTTTCTTGATTTTTGCTTAAGTTATTCTTTTAGCTTGTCTAAAAACGTTCACAGACGACCGATTTACTTAAATTTAGAACCAAAATAAAGAAAAATCTTTGAGGATTATTTACCTGAAAAGAGATTAAAGAAATATTAAATTTAAAGAAAGTTATAAAGGTTTTAAAATGAGAGATTTCCCGAGTCACCGGCGAGCATTCAAACGTTCATAACTTTCTTTAAACTTAATATTTCTTTAATCTCTTTTCAGGTAAATAATCCTCAAAGATTTTTCTTTATTTTGATTCCAAATTTAATTAAATCCATTGTCTGTGAACGTTTTTAGACAAGCTAAAAGAGTAACTTAAGCAAAAATCAAGAAAAATCTCATTGTGAACGTCGTTAATGTACTAAATTTACTACGAAAAGGATTCTTCAACGACTTTAGCCTTAATAAAAACTTTACTTTCTCTAAAATTGACATTTCTTATGTTAAACAATTGGTTCCAAGAACATAAATCACATTCACGACGAGGTTTTTCATTTTTCCTTAAATCATTCTTCCAGTTCATCTAAAAACGTTCACAGACAATCGATTTACTTAAATTTGGAATCAAAATAAAGAAAAATCTTTGAGGATTATTTATCTGAAGAGAGGCTAAAGAAATATTAAGTTTAAAGAAAGTTCTGGAGGTTTTAAGATGAGAGATTTTTCGAGTCACCGGTGAGCATTTAAACGTTCATAACTTTCTTTAAACTTAATATTTCTTTAGCCTCTCTTCAGATAAATAATCCTCAAAGATTTTTCTTTATTTTGATTCCAAATTTAATTAAATCCATTGTCTGTGAACGTTTTTAGATGAACTGGAAGAATGACTTAAGGAAAAATGAAAAACCTCGTCGTGAATGTGATTTATACCTAATTTCATCGACTTTTACAAGCAAATCTCTTTGATTTTTTTTCTTATGAAATCTAGAATTCAGGAACTATTTCCATTTTCTATTTTATTTTTCCACTTTCACTTATAGTTGACATTTAGGGCCCATTGAAGTACCTCTCCTTTTGTCGGAAGTGAAAAGTGTTCTCTCCATTCAGTCGATGAAGATCAAAAAACCCTGGCGACGCAGGAATAGTGAAGGTTAGTTATGTTTTTGAAATTGAAATCATTTAGAAAAGATTTTGACTTGATTGATTGATTGATTTTGACTTGATTTACTTCTTTGTTTCAACAAACTGGTGAAGACTTTTGTGCCTTTATTCTTTAGGCTTTAGGCACGCTTCTATTCGATTCTAGTAAAGGTAGTAAAGGTTTTTATCCAATTTCAACTATTGCAACTTGTGTACAAGTATGTATAAGACTATAATAGTTATTGTAGTTCATTTAAATTCCCCAGTATGACTCTTTTTCCTAACAAATAGTTGATTTTTCGTTGATCAAATGGTTGATTTTTTTGCTATGGGCTTGAGCTCAAGTTTATTCTTTTGTATAAACTTTGGATTTCTTTAAAAGCTCACCCTCTGGCGTACTTGATTCTAACTTGTATATTAAATAATATCAACTGATCATCAACTATCAATATCAGGCTTTAGGCACACTTCTATTCGATTCTATTGGGTTGGGGAGAATGAGTCGGCGCCGAAAATCAAAGAAATTTCTAAAACTTATAGCAGACTTTGTCAAATGATATGCGTTTGATATCCGTAGAAGGGTAACTATTAGGTTGTCCAATAAGTAATGCGTGTTACTTATTTCGAAACTATTGCGAAATCGCTTCGAGCAAATATATGCTCTTTTTAATCATCAGCATCTTGTGTTTATTTTTATATATTATTTTATTCATTTGCCTTTGTTTTATAATAGATATGTTGTTTTGCAGATGAAAGACAAAAAGTTTGTTGTCCGCGCATCAATGCTGTATGATTTCAAACGAGGTAAAACTGCAGCGGATTGCCGTCGAACTATCTGTGCCGCATTTGGAGAGGATTCAATTTCAATCAGCCAGTGCCAGCGCTGGTTTAAACGATTTGCGGACGGAAGCGAGTCGTTAGAGGGCGAGGAACGCGCTGGAAGGCCAGTCGTTTTTGATAACGAAGCTTTGCTTAACACCATGACGGACTTCACTCTTTGCTCGGACGATGGAGAAATGTTGTTGATTGTTGTGGAGAATATATCGATTAATAAAGTTCTCTTTTGTTAATTTTGTGATATTTTGAAAATCGTGTCAAAACACGCATTACTTATTGGAAAACCTAATAATTCTCTACAAAATAATATTTAAAAGAGAACTCAAACAGCGCCTCAACTCAACAAAGGATCATTTTTTCACAAAATCGATAAACTGTCATCTAGAGTAAACGGTTGGAGGGATCTTCCTGAAAATTTGGTAACTTATGTAATTGAGTGTGCTCTATCTTTTTTATATAAACACCAAAGGAGGTTTATGTGGAAGAAACTGCTCAAGCAATGAGTCGGACTTTTTGTCATTTTGATTAGCTGTGTTTGGGAATCCATAAAATCCCAAAAAAGAAAAGCTTTGTGGAATCTCTCAAAAGCCATTTTGTAAAGAAATAGTCGACCATTTTGATGAAACAAAGCGTGTATTTAAAGAAGGTTTTATGGGTGCAAAAAGTTTTTTTAAATTTCGGCGCCGACTCATTCTCCCCAACCCAATAGTAAAGATAGTAAAGGTTTTTATTCAGTTTCAACTATTTTAATCTGTGCACAAGTATGTATTAGACTATTATAATCATAATTTACTAATAGAGTTCCAATGAATCAATTTCCCACATAACAAATTGAGTAAACAGTAAAAGTAAGTGATGCTTGTCCCAACAACGAGGTTTTGTTATGTCATTTTTATTCTTTTTAGGCTTTAGGCACACTTCTATTCGATTCTAGTAAAGGTAGTAAAGGTTTTTATCCAATTTCAACTATTGTAATCTGTGCACAAGTATGTATAAGACGATCATAATCATAATTTACTAATCGAGTTCCAATGATTTCCCAATTTCTCGGATAACAAATTGAGTAAACAATAAAAGTAAGTGATGCTTATTCCAACAATGACGTTTTGTTATGCTTTTTTGTCCCAACTTTGTAAGTCAGTGCTTTTCTAATGATCTTTTTTCATAAACCGATTTTGAAAGCGCTAAAAACAGTCTTCAAACTTTAAAGTACCGATAAATATTGAAAGTCAATTGAAAATCCTATATTTTCAAATAGAAAGCTTTCCCACTAAACAATTTCAAATAAATTTCCATCAAATCTTCTTCATTACGGTGTAAGGTTGATGTTTGTTATCAGTTTTTTACTCACACATCTCAATTGGAGTAGTTTTGGTTTGTAATCTGTAATTGGAGTAATTTTAGTTTGTGTAATCTTTCAAGAACTATCATTTATCCAAAAAATTACTCAAATAGACTGTTATTGTCAAAAAAAAAATGAATTCTGAATCACAATCGCATATCGAAAAAACAAAAATGAAGAGATGAGTATGACAAAATATCGACTTTTGTATCGCCCCTCCTCTTTTTCGCTTTTCTTTTCCCCTTTCTCAATTTCCATTTCCAATTCCGTCAAATCTTTTGATGTATATGAAGAAATTGTGAAATTCAATCGTATCTATCAACGTTTTTTTTTGTGATCTTTCCCTTTTCTCCCAATCTCTCAAACATTGCAAGCATAATTGCGGCCGTGGCTTGTCAGAGACGACGCGTTGGACCAAAAGCGGCAAACATAGGTCGGTGATTGCTTATTTCTTATAGAATTCTTTGTTTTTATGTAGAATTTCTATAAGCGCGTTCAATTTCACATTCTTTTATACATTCTCACGAGCGACACATTCTTTTCTGTGTCAATTTCACGTTCTCAAGAAAAGACTCAAGTTAATTCAGTTGCATTTAATGCTGACCGTGGGTAATTAAACCGAAGTGCTAGGTCTCTGTCACCCTATTTGAAAGGGCCGTGCGCCAGATTCTTCTACGAGACACACGAAGATACACCCAGTTTTCCATACGACAACAAGGACAGTCTTCGCAAGTTCTTGTTTGTCGCTGACCTCAAACTTGGGTAATTAAATCGAAAGGTTACGCCTTTGTCACCCTATTTGAAAGGGCTGTATGCCAGATTCTTCTACGAGACACACGAAAGGTACACCCAGCCTTCCATACTACAACAATGGCATCCTTTGCAAGCTCTTCGTTAATAGCCGTAATTAAACTGAAAGGTTAGGCCTTTGTCACTCTATTTGAACGGCCTGTGTGCCAGATTCTTCTACGAGACACACGAAAGGTACACCCAGCCTTCCATATTACAACAATGGCACCCTTTGCACCCCTACGCTCTCGCTGACCTCAAACTTGGGTAATTAAACCGAAATGCTAGCTCTCTGTCACCCTATCGAAAAGGGCCGTGTGCCGGATGCCATTTTTCCCTTCAAGACACATCAAAGGTACACACAAGCCTCTCTTCACTCTGCTGTTTTTTGTTCTTTGAGCTTTGTGTTCAAACTTTGAAACGCATCTTTTCTGGGGCACTGAATTCTGTATGAATTCTTCATCTTTTCTCAAACAACCAACAGATTCTAATTCTACCTTTTGAGGCTTAAAGATCTTTGAGTGATTATTTGAACAAAAGCCATGGCCTCAGAGAACACACAGAGAAATCCCCATACCTCTCATCCCCATACCAGTAGTTATTCTTGCAATGCTTGGGAATCCCCATACCTCTCATCTCCATACCAGTAGTTATTCTTGCAATGCTTGGGAATCCCCATACCTCTCATCCCCATACCAGTAGTTATTCTTGCAATGCTTGGGAATCCCCATACCTCTCATCCTCATACCTCTCATCCCCATACCAGTAGTTATTCTTGCAATGTTTGGGAGATCGAAAAATCTCTATCTGATCATTGTTTAGCTTTAGAAATGAGACTTAATAGATGTTTGGGTAATATATTTGGACTCAACAAAAGTAAAATTTACAGGCTCACTCACCAGCAAGCCAAAACCGCCTGTCGAAAACCTGGACGCTTTGGAGAAAGGAATCGAGCCGGAGATTGGTTTGTTTGACTAATTTTTAACAATAACCCGTCAATAATTGCTTAATAATCAATCAATTTTGTAAAATGAAAGCTCCATTTCAGTCGTGATGACAATCGAACCAAAGCCGCGACTTGTTTTCAAGAAAGATGACGTCATTCGTTTAAATGTTGGAGGACAGAGGTGCAACAAAAAAAGCGTTTAAAATTTTGTCGTTTTTTCAGATTTGACACCTTCCTAAGCACTCTCCTCGTCGATCGATCTAATGAGCTTTTCTCTCATTTTGTTGTTCTTCTCGAAGCCGATCTTACAGAGGAGAAAATGCCGATTCGAGACAATGAAGGAGCTGTAAGGATTTGAAATAAAGCAAAAATTTGGAAAATAAAGATAACGATTAGTTTTGAATAAAGGAAGATTTAGGATAAGATTCGAATTCTATAAAATCCATTTCTAGGAGCAGTAATGCTAGATGGTTTGTGTTGAGTACTATGTGTTGCTTACTCTTCGCTCTCTTTAGAAACAACTAGCGCTTCAATTAACTTACAGTTAGCCACTTCAATAGTTAACCATTTAAAAGCTCTATTGATCTTCTAAAAGTAGATGGATTTTGTTGACTACTATGTGTTTACATGGCTTTCTCTTTGCACTAGTGCTCCAATGCTTCAAACAACTAGTGTTTCAATTAACTTACAGTTAACCATTTCAATAGTTAACCATTTAGAAGCTCTATTGATCTTCAAAAAGTAGCTTTTAACGATAACGATAACGATATAAAGATAACGATTAGTTTTGAATGAAGGAAGATTTAGAACAAGACTCACATCCTATAAAATCCATTTCTAGAAACAGTAATGCTAGATGGATTCGTGTTGAGTACTATGTGTTTACATGACTTTCTCTTTGCTCTAGTCTATGCTAGAGCAAAGAGCTTCAAATAACTAGTGCATCGATTAACTTGCAGTTAACCATTCCAATAGTTAACCATTTAAAACCTCTATTGATCTTCTAAAAGTAGCTTTTAACGAGCTTTTTTGCTTTTGATCCCTCAACTTTTGAAAGCATCTTCAAAGGCGTTAAAAGTTACTTTTAGAAGATCAATAGAGCTTTTAAATGGTTAGCTATTGGAATGGTTAACTGTAAGTTAATTGAAACACTAGTTGTTTCTAAAAAGAGCAAAGAGTACGCAACACATAGTACTCAACACAATCCATCTAGCATTAATGCTTGGTGCAAAAGAAACTGCCGATTTGACGGTAAATTCAAAAAAAAAGATGGCGTTCGATGGTGACATGATCACAATGGAATATTTTCGCAAGATCTCGAGCAGATTGGCATGGATCGGCCTGAATAACGTCCCTCAGCTTGGCTTCGTTCACGACTTCCGGCCTCGAACCGTGCTCGTAATCTTCCAAAGTCTCGTCTCCCTCTCGGAATCGTTGAAACCAAGTCTGACACTGCCTGAGAGACAAACTGCCATCTCCAAAAGCAGCACAGAGAGAACGATGCGATTCGGCAGCAGACTTTCCAATTTTGAAGTTAAACAGTAATGCTGCTCGTCTTCTTCACAAACTTTTGCTCGACCATGATCTAAATAAAAAATATAAGTACTTTTAAATAAAATAAACAACAACCAAAAAATTCAAATGTCGAAATAAATAGCAAACAAATATGCAAACAAAACATAAAACAAATAATGCCGTTAGCATCGCTCGTTTCTGATAAATGAGAGCTGATACTCATCGGCAGTTTCTTTTGCATCACCCTAATAAATGGTTAGCTATTGGAATGGTTAACTGTAAGTTAATTGAAGCGCTAGTTGTTTCTAAAAAGAGCAAAGAGTACACAACACATAGTACTCAACACAATCCATCTAGCACTAATGCTTTTAGAAATGGATTTTATAGAATTCGATCCCTCAACTTCTTGTCCTAAATCTTCCTTCATTCCCAACTAATCGTTATCTAACTAATTTTTTATTGATGATCTTTATAATATTGATTTTCAGTTCTTCTTGGACCGTGATCCTGACCAGTTTCGTATTTTGCTCAACAATTTGCGTTACGTTTCCTATTTGAGAGGTTTTTTTTATAAGGCCTATACTTTGTGCTAAAAGGTAAACAATTTCTGGAGCACTGAATTCTTTATATTATTCACAGCAACGGTAGAAAGGATGCGTTTACAGATTTGAGCACAAAGTACACCTTAAAAGCAATCGTACCTTTGTACAGGCGATTTTTAGAAAGACAAAAGCTCGGGAAATCCTCGGAATCGCTGGCTTTCGACGATGAAAACAAACACAAATCCGGTGGACTGTTTGGACGTTTTCGAAAGGGGAATTAGAAGATAATTATATAATTTTATATGATAATTTGATTGAATATTGATTCCTGATCATTTTTCGTATTTCAAAGTCTTACAAAGTTTTTATTTCCTTAATAAACCGATTCTTCAAAGTGTTCAAAAAGATATTTTCCGGTTATACAGTGCGCGTCAAAATGATAGGTCCACCCGATTTCTCAAAAACTATCAAGCAAAATCAAAATCCGTATTTGCACATGAATTTTAATTTGATTCTTGATAAATATTCAAAAGTTTAAAAAAGTTTTTTATCGGTAAAATTTTTGAGTATTTTGGTAAAACTCAAAAATTGAGGTAAAAACCGCGTCAAAATGATAGGTCCACCACTTTATGCGCCTAATGCCTTGCCACTTGCCACAAAAGGACGCTTTCTCGAGCCATCAAGTGTTACATCCGTTACATCAAAAGAGCAATCATGAAGAAAGCACCAAAAATGAAGCCGGCACACAAAGAAAAAAGGATGTCTTGGGCTCGGGATCAGATCACCATCGATTGGAAAAAAGTAAACTTTTTGCCTTGAGTTGCTAACTATTTTTTCTTTTGGCCATCTTCAGCGATGAGAAAAAATTTAATTTGGATGGCCCCGACGGCAACAAGTACTATTGGCATGATTTGAGAAAAAATACAATGCTTTGTGGGCGTCGAAACTTCGGAGGAGGATCCCTGATGATATGGGGCGCTTTCAAAGTGGATGACGTTCTTGATTTAGAATTTGTGACTTGTCGCATGAACTCGAACGATTACCAGGATGTCCTTGCGGATCAACTACTTCCTTTCCTAGCACAAAATCGAGGGAAACACTATATTTTTCAACAGGATAATGCTTCAATTCATGTGAGCCAATCCACTAAAGCTTTTCTGGAACGTCACAACATCGATTTTCTCGAATGGCATGCCTGCTCACCGAACTTAAACCCAATGGGAAACTTATGGGGCATCCTCGTGAGGAATATTTATGCTAATGGAACGACTTACGACACGATTTCGCAACTCAAAAAAGCAATTTTGCAAGCTTGGACGTCAATTCCACCACAAACGCTTCAAAACTTAGTGAACTCGATGAAAAGTCGATTCCTCGACGTCATCGAGAAAAAGGGAGCATCTATTGATTATTAATGAACTTTTCATTCGTTTTCCTTTTGTTTATTCTCAAATTTATTGTTATTTTTTATGTGGTCCTATCATTTCGCAACAGGTGTTAAATAAAGAAAATGTTATAATTTTGTTGCAATTTGTTCAGATAATGTTAAAAATGGTATAGATGCCTATTTTTTTATATATTTCTAGGATTTAAAAGCTATTTCGCGTTATTAAATTTCTTAGCCAAACAATGAAAAATTTAGGGGTGGTCCTATCATTTTGCAACGCACCTTATGTCGATTGGAAGGATTTTAGGAAAAACAAGAATTCCTGTTCGGTTGGCTTCAAATTTCGCTCAAATTTGGCTCAAATTTGTCTAAAAATGAGTTAAATGAAATGAAATGAAAGTTAAGTAGTTAACCTTTTTGATTTTAAAAAAGTAGTAGGCAAGTAGTTCAACTTTGATACAAATTTTCTCTACGTTCTTATACACTGGCGGTCATATGTATTAGTACCCTCTCGCAAAAAAATTTTCTCTCAATGATTGCCCCCTTTAAAAGGCAGCCAAATTCAAAGTGCTAAAAAGCATTTTTTTGCTAACAAGCTCTAGTCTCTAAAACCACAAAAAAATTGATTCGAAATGTTTATTATCTTTTTAAAAAATAGCAAGGACGGAAAAGACACCTCAAAAATGGTGGACAAAAGTATTAACACCTTAGCTTTTCGTTTATTTTTTTCTTGTCTACATTCATGTTTTGATGACTTTTTTTAAATATTTAATTTTAGATGCTGCATCTACCAACTCCAATCAAAGAAAAGATCGTTGAAGGTCGAAAAAATGGAATGAAAACAACAGATTTGGCTGAAGAATTTGGATGCAGCGAGACCACTGAAACGACTTTTTAAACAATCAAAAATTATCGATTCTCTACACAGAGCTGCAAAATCTGGTCGACATCCATCAACAACAACTGCCGAGGATCGATCGATCATAGGGGAATTCAAAATGAACCCAAATCTCACCCCGACCGACGGAAGCCGCCTGTATAAATCACAATTCAGCAAAGATATCTCAGCAAGGACCGTGAGGAGGCGACTCATCAAAGCAAAGTTGTACGCTAGACGACCAATAAAGAAGCCACGTATGACTTCTCGGATCAGGAAGCTTCGTTTAGCCTTTGCTCGGAGGTACCAAAGTTGGACGAGTGACGATTGGAGTCCAGTAATTTTTTCTGATGAGACAAAAATTAATCTCTATCAGTCGGATGGACCTCCATTGATCAGGCGACCAATTGGAAAGCGGCTACTACTCAAGTACATCAAACCCACGGGGTTCGATTTGGGGGTGGAAATATTATGTGCTGGGGTATGAATTTCTATAGTTTTCTTCGTATAACTGTCAACTTGCAGGAGCGATGACAAGAAATGTGGTCGGTCTACTTGAGATGATCAATTCAATCATGAAGTCTCAGGGATACATGGGAATGCTTGAGCAACGTTTACTTCCATTTGTGAGCCAAATATTACCTCAAGGATGTTTGTACTACCAGGACAACTCGCCAGTTCACACAAGCAAACTTATGATGGGATCTGTCGGAAGACTCTCGAATGGAGGCCGGGTACGATTTCCGGGCTGGTTTGCGATTAATGGTGTTTCTTTGATTAAAGCACCTCCCTTTTCACCAGATTTGAACGTTGTCGAGAATCTATGGTCGATTTTGAAAGCGAAATTGAACGAGAAAAACTTTTCGTCCAAAGTCGAGCTTTGGTACTATCAATGTCTTGTATGGAATCAAATTGGATCGTCAGTTTTGCACAATTTGGTCGACTCGATGCCCAGACGGATAGAAAAAAATCATTCAAGCCAAAGGAGGGCAAATAGACTATTAAATTTACTGTTGTGTTTGCAAGGTGTCAATACTTTTGTCCACCATTTTTGAGGTGTCTTTTCCGTCCTTGCTATTTTTTAAAAAGATAATAAACATTTCGAATCAATTTTTTTGTGATTTTAGAGACTAGAGCTTGTTAGCAAAAAAATGCTTTTTAGCACTTTGAATTGATGGCTGCCTTTTAAGGGGGGCAATCGTTGAGAGAAAATTTTTTGCAAGAGGCTACTAATACATATGACCGCCAGTGTACATAAGTATACAAACTAAATGGTCCTTTTCTACAACGAAATTTGATGAGGATCATTTTAAAACTAATCCCAAGACGATCTGATTATTGAGAGTCCAGATATACAGTAAAATAGAAAAGTGCACTAAACTTACTTACAATAAATTGTTGGTAAAGCTTGTTGTCATCTTGGGGGGAGTCATTTAATATACCGTATTCTCTCTAATAGTAGTGCGCACTACTAATTTTTCAACCCCCTCCTGGACCGCAATACTATTAGAGAGTGCACTACTATTAAAGAGTTTTATCATTTACCAAAGTAAGTTCCAAAAATTCTTGCAACTCTTTCACGTACTCCTTTGACTCCTTTTGACATACAGTTGTGGGCCGGCGGGTTGACAAACAACAAAAAGCTGTTTTTGCCCTTTGCACAACAATTTTGGATTTTTTGCTAACTTTTTCATGTAAAGAATAGTTAATCAATGAATAAAAAAAGCCTCACTTTTGCTTGCTTGAATAGCTTTAGTCTTTATGTCACATAAACATAAAGTCACAAAGGTTTAGATGAAAAAGAAGCACCAGAAATTCAAATTTTCGTGGGTGCACTACTATTTTTTCAACCCCCTCTCGGACCGCAATACTATTAGAGAGTGCACTACTATTAAAGAGTGCACTATTATTAGAGAGAATACGGTAGCTGTCTATGGCGCTATTTAATAGAAATAGAAAAGAAATAGAAATATTTTGGATGTAGAAAGAAGAATTTGCAATCGGGTTAACACCTAATTAAAAGCATTTGAAATACTGTCACCCATCACGACAATTGTAGAGTGCTTGTTGAGCGGCCGAAAATTAAGCCACCAATGAAGGAATGAACCACTATTTAATACGCGCTTAAGTTGAGGGTCGCTACATTTTTTTACATGTAGTGTAGTCTCAGCCAAATCGATCTTCAGAGTTGTGGCGCAAAATTTGTCAAATCCCATACAAAAATTGAAGGATTTGACACATTTTGCGCCACAACTTTGACGATCGATCTCTACCACTTCCATTGAGCTTTTTTAAATGAAGCGTAGAGTCTCAGCTACATTTGAAAAAACATATAAATATCCAATTAAATGAGAAATTTTTGCTGTGAGGTACAATAGCGTGACTTGCCTTTTCTGTATTCAATCTTTGATGACACCTTTGGCAACAATTTTTGTTCGTTTCAATGTCTTTAAAAAAATTTCTTACCGTAAATTTCTTGTAAAACATTTACGAGCTGTTTATCGGTTATTTTTTTATGAAAATTGATTGAAATGTTTTTGATTCATTTTGCCATTATGTTAAGTTGTGCTTTTTTGATGATTTTATATAACTTTTATTATTCTTAGATCAGAAACATGGAGAGTAAGACATTGAGTAAGACAATGGCTTTGGAAACTAAAGTGTCACAGAAACTGAGCTTAAAGAAAGAAAAGCTTGAATGGATTGATCAAGTATAGAGTGTGTTCCTCTTCTTTAATGCGTTTTCTAAAGCACTCATTTCAGAAAACTATCGTAGTCAAAACCATCGTTGGTAGACCAATTTTGGTATCATTGACTGAGCCTTGTGATTCCTCAAGAAGAACACACTCTATTCAAATATCCACAAGTACTATACCAAATCCAAAAAATGATTTAAAACAATTTATGTGAATTTCTAAAAAACAATAATGTTATAAGAAAACTGTAAATTAAAAACGCAAAAGTTAAAGCAAACAAGCATTACTTTTTTGATAAATTTCGTTTGAAATGGTAAACTATAAAGTAATGCTTGTTCTCAACGTTGTTCTGAAACCATGGGTTAATGGATGATTTATGAAAAGCACACAAAAGACTTAAATAGTACATAGATTAGATAAAAGTAGAGTCAAGACTATGGTAGTTTTTGAAGATTGATTTGAATTAAAAGTCAGAGACAAAACAAGCCTCACTTCGTTTTTAATTGTCTCACAAAGAAATGCAGCAGGTCGTAAGTGAACTTCCACATCTTTTCATTATTGGGTTCTTTGGCCACCAAAAATCTCAAATCATCCACGCAACGACTCTTCTGAAAACACTGTACTGAAATGAAATCCCCAGCTTCGTCCTCAAGCCTTTCTCTCAATTCCAGCTCCATTTCTCTGCAAAGCTCCACATCTTCTACACTTTTCCATAAAGGAATAGCAGCAAAAGCCTCATAATCGCTATTATACCCGTGTTCCGGATAAAATCGAAGAGAAATGAGGATCCGGCAATTCTCGTTTTCACTGGGCAATACGTTTTTTATTATCCATTCTGGGCAGCACTTCGGGATTCCATAGGGCGCGTTAATTTCAATGAACTCAACTCGAGTCTTCAATAAAGCCTGCCACAATTCTTCGTGTAAATAATCAAGTGAAATTTTCTTGCAAAATCTCAGTCCAGTTTCGATGAAATCTATGAAATTGTCAGCGGTATCCAGGTCTCTAGATGATTCCGTATTGAAATATGCCGATTCCGTGACTTTAAAGCTAAATCCTTCACAGATCAGGTCCAAAAAAGCCGTCGTAACCTGGTCGATATACAAATCCTTCACAAGTTTCACTTTTCTCAGCAAAACTTCCAGGAAAATGTCGAAATCGTATTCTTCCATTTCCGTGTTGTGAAAGCCATCACTTAACCACAACTCTTGAACACTTGTAACGTTTTGTAGAAGTGAAATAGAGAAAGAATCTTGTTGTAAGAGATCGAATTCGTGAGAAGATTTATTCTTCGTGACAGTAGCAGTGAAAGAATTTGAATCTTCGAGAAAATCTAAATTCACTTTATCAGCTCGTTTCCCGAATAGACCGTTAGACAAGACTTTATAGCGAAGAAAATGATTGGTTTTTAAGAGTTGAAAATTCTCTTTTGGACCCGATTTGTCCAATATTAGGTCTTTCAAATCTTTGGGAATCGCTGAGAAGGGAATCGGTACCAATTTTGGCATTATTCAACAGCTTTTACGAATATATTTCGAAATTCAATCAATACTAGCGAATTTTAGGTATTCTTTTCCAAACAAACATTTTTTTGCTTATGATAGACAACGAGTTTTCGTTCTGAGACGCAGACTCGTTCAAGAGAAATCCCTCGTTGAAGAGACGCAGACTGTGACACTGTGACAGAAAGCAAAAAGAAGATCGGCACCTACCACAAAGCCATCTGCACCTACCACATTGCGAGGATCGGAAAAGAGCCTTTGTAAGCCCCGCGCCATTTATAAAAAAAAAAAAAAAAAAAAAATTTATGAAGAGAGAAAAAAAAGAAAAAGAAAACCGGTTCCCCGGAAAAAAAGAAATTTTCCTCAACGGCATCAAAATCGGCTGCGGCCATTTTGTGGCATTTCCTTGAAAGCTCTTGTTTGCACACATCGGTTAGTGTAGGCTACTGCGGATGTGTTGTCCAGCTCAACTAGGATGTGCATGGATGTGAGGTCCTTGGCAAAGGTGCACAGCCCTAAGAAGGAGGCTTCCAGCTCTAAAGCGTTAATGTGGGCTATCTGCTCTCCAGTTTTCCACCTGGCCCCCGACACTTACCCCGTTGCGGGTTGCTCCCCACCCTAGCTTGGAGTCATCAGATGTAATAATGAGGCCTGGGGACAGAATGGGTCTGGACAGAGGAGCCGAGTGACCCAGATAATTTTGGATCCCGGCGAGCTCGCCCGTTGTCTTAGGGGATAAGATGATATTGACGTTCCGTCCGTTCTCCTTTCAGGGAGGGGCTAGGTCGGCTTATTGGGAGTCAGCTCGACAGTGGGCGCTGCCGGAATGTTCTTCACGTTTTCGTAGATCTTCGGGAATCCCTCGTTGAAGAGACGCAGACTGTGTGCGCCAGGGCTAGGCGACTCAAAGTCGGCTCAGAGAAACTTAGGTTTTATCACAGCAAATTTAACAAAAACAAGATGTAAAGTAACAACAAATTTGAATAACAAAGAAATGCGGTAATAAAAAAACAAAAGTTATACAAAAATAGCTTAAAGACAAAGTATTGGGGTATTAGAGTTCAAAAAGATCAACTTTTTTAAGCTCTCAGGCGAAAATGACATTTTTAAATCATTTAAAATGAAACCGACTGAACTGAATAATCTCTGGGTACTGCGGAAGAGGCTGGCACAAAGGATTCAATGACAATTGTGCAAGAGATTGGAAACGTACTTGATTTTCTTTGATTCCCCAGTAATTAAACGGATTGATCTTCGTATTGGGCGACTTTTGACAAGACTAAAGGAAAGGTTTACACGACCAGCGATTGCTTCACGAAGAACTTTTCGTACTTCATGTACCTTTTTCCAAGCACCTTTTTCAAATGGCGGATAAAGACGACTCGACGGATGAAGTACCTTTGGTACTTCATCCGTCGAGTCTGGACAACTATTGGACCCCAAATTCTACGTGATCTGGTTGACAGCATGCCAAGGAGAATTCAAGCAGCAATTGCGGCTCGCGGCGGACCTACTAAGTATTGATTTTCATAATGTTTTTCTCACATGTTAAAAGACTTTTGTCCATCAATTTTTGGCTCAATTTTTGTTTTATTAAAAAGTTTATGACACCTGATAAATTGTTAAATCCATCTTTTTATAATGTGAAAATTAGAGATAATAATTCTCCTTGGCATGCTGTCAACCAGATCACGTAGAATTTGGGGTCCAATAGTTGTCCAGACTCGACGGATGAAGTACCAAAGCTCCACTTTTGATCCGAATAGTTTCCCCTTCAATTTCGACTTCACAAACCCCCATAAGTTCTCGATCACATTCAAATCAGGGCTAGAGGGAGGAGCAGACACAAGTTGAACACGGTTTGCTTTGAACCATCCTGGCACCAGAGCCGTTCCTCCAATCAATAATTAGTAGGCCCTCCGGGAGCCGCAATTACTGCTTGAATTCTCCTTGCCATGCTGTCAACCAGATCACGTAGAATTTGGGGACCAATAGTTGTCCAGACTCGACGGATGAAGTACCACTTTCCACTTTTGATAAGCAATAAGCTCTTTAAATCCTTTAACCGTTTGCAAATTGGTCGGATTTGGATCAAGATATACAAAGAACAAACTTCTAAAAACCAACGTTAAAAGACTTTTGTCCATGACTGTATTTACGCGGGCCGGTTGCTTGGCCGGCATCGGAGCGGGAGCCTATTACGGAGCGATATCGGTCGGCGTTGCCACGGGATCCGCTTGAGAGAACTCTAAACGTCTCTATTGTACAAGAAAAACCGTCTTAATCGTATACAAGCTGTAAATAGTCGCTTGAATCTCGCTGTGAATCTACTGTAGTCATTTTCTAGTAGTTTTCTAGTAGATCTAGTAGTCATTTTCTCGGAATTTTCCCTGATTAGTATAGTTTTTTGTGATTGGAATGTGCGATAAACTCTTTTAAAAGCCTCACAAAAAATTTTTGTGGCACGAATAGGAATTTGCAAAGTTCAAAGTGTATTTTAGCAATAGAAAAACCAGTTATACAATGCAAAAACACGTTTCCCCCCTTGCTTTCTGATGGATGCATAACCATGCAAGTTTAGGAAAAAATTTCCAGAATATAAGCTATTTATTAGTATCGATCATTAGTATTAGCTATTTCTTCTTGCAGACAACGTAAGCGGTCGTGAGATAGGACATCGGCTCATAGACTACATCCCACCACCACTCCGAGGGCACATTACATCCCTCTCGCGATGAGCCGATCCAGTTGGTCACCTGGGAAAAGAAATTGGGCGTTTGAATTGAATGTTATTGAAAAGCAACTGTTTCCGACACCCTTTTGCATATTAATTTTGAATTTGCATTAAAAGCGGCGTCGAAAAAGAAAACAATTAGGTTATGGTCCTACTTGTGACTTTGTTGGCGCTATTTGTATCTTTAGTTTTCAAGGTTTATCCCTTCACTTCTTAATACACGTGGTTCTGATTCTCAACTAAAACGAGAGTCCACAGTTCTGAAGACTCGGGTATTTCCTTCTTTCTTTCTTTCTTTCTTCCTTTCTTCTTCCTCCTTGTGTTCCATTCTTCTTCTTGGCAAGTTAAGGTACCAGATAGCTCAGTGGTTAGACTAATTGCCCGGAAAGCAAAAGGTCGAGGGTTTAATCCCCTCTCCGGAAACCCATTTTTCTTGCCAATCCCTTCACTTCTTTATTAATATAACTGCTTGTATGTAGATGGAGAGATAAGCTAAATATAAGCTAAATGATATGTCAATGATTATATTCAAATCTAAAAGTGGCATCGAAAGTGATCACAAGTACCCTTTCTCAAAGAATACCTGCATTGTGTAGTTTAACGAGTCCTCAAAAGTGCCTTCATCGCAAAACGTCGCGTTAAAATCCCACGGTGTTCCGTCAGTCCACGTGAATTGATCATTGGACTTAAACAGTAATTCTTTCTTTGAAGATATTTAAGATTGTCATAATATTGAAAATTATTGATAGGAGTCAGGATTTTCATGGATTTGGATGGATACAGGGTGCGGCAAAATTACGGAACGAACTTTGCGATCAGCTCTTCAGTGTGGTTTTTTTCTTTTTTTTTGCTTTTAACTATTATTAAACACTCTGTTATTAGATATGAAAAGCAAAAAGGAATCTAAGAAACGAAAGGATCTAGGTTCAAGAATGGATCGCTAAGGACTTTCCAGATTGGATCACCGTTGATGTCAGCTCTGGTCAATGGCCATCGAACTTGCCTGATCTCAACCCTGACGTTTTTTCTATTTGATCCATTCTGGAGACAAAGAATTGTGATCAATCTGATTGATTGATTGATCGATCGATCAATCAGATCGATCAGATCAATCAGATCGATCAGATCAATCGACGTTTTGAAGCGCGACTTGCTTTGGCCATGGGCAATGACTACTATCCAAAAGGCACTTTCCCAAGCACTTGAAGAAATTTTGCTGCCAATGGTGATCATTTTGAGATAGAAAAATTGTAATTAATTAGTTTTTCCTTAATTTTATGAATAAGTTGTTGCCCGTTGCGAAAATTTACGATCAATGCGTTTCCATTAATTATCATTCCATAATTTTGTCACCCCTGTACATTCAAAAAAGGCACGCACTTTATTTTGTTACGCACCTTATTACTTTGAACTCCAAACAAGCCAAGTAAACTTTCTGCCCTTAAAAGCAAGCTCACCCATTGTCCTCCAGTCAAATATTGAGCGTTATCCCGTTGGCCGATATGATCGAGGTAGGAGCCATCCGAAGTACAGCAAAGCCCTTTGGAGCTTTTGTTCAAATGTTCACATGATTTGATTTACTTCGAACGAAATCGTTTTCGGCTGCACTGTGAATGGAGACGAGATGCGCTCCTTGACTCACACAAAACGCTTCACCGCCAGTGAAATTCTTGTCGAAAGCAATCTGAAAAAAATGGTTATTTTGGATGTAGAAAGATGAATTTGCAATGAGGCTAACACCTAATTAAAAGCATTTTAATTAACAAGAAAGTCTCAAGTCGAAAACTCGATTGGTTAACCATTCATACCAAATATTGATAGCCGGTGTCCGGAGAATACTGCCACCCATCACGACAATTGTAGAGTGGTTGTTGATCGGCTGAAAATTAAGCCACCAATGGAGGAAAGAACCATTATTTAATACATTGGTCATAGAATAACTCTTACTATTGTAGAGTTGGGAAAATTGACTCTCTTTTTCAAAAGTACGAGAAGTTTGTGGCCAGAGTATCCGGTTAGCCGGAAAGTCTTGTCTCCTTTTTTAAAGGTTACTTTTCGAAATCAATAATAAACCAATCAATTTATGGTTTGTTTTATCCAAAAGTTCTATTATTTATTTACAAATTGTTCTTTAAGAAATTCTGAAAAGCTTATGTTAGTTAATTTTTTTGAAGATCAAAAGTCGAACAGTCAAAAACGATAAAACTCAAAGTTCCGATTTGAGTACCTTTTCTCACAGAAACCTTATTTGATTTCAAAGGACAAAAGAATGAAAAGAATTAAAGAATTAAAGAATTAATGAACGAAATCTCTATAGAATGAAAAGTTAGGCAGATAGACAAATTTCCACTTCCAATTTCCATAAAATTTCACGAAGCCATTTTCATTCTATGTCGATTGGAAGAATTTTAGGAAAAACAAGAATTCCTGTTCGGATTTGCTTCAAATTTGCTTCAAATTTGGCTTAAATTTGGCTTAAATTTGTCTAAAAATGAGTTAAATGAAATGCAAGCTAAATAATTAATCTTTTTGATTTAAAGCAAACCACAGCTAGTCATTAAACAGCATCGACTAGTCATTTATAAACGAGAATTTCAAAAAGGTGACTTTCCAGCCCAATATTGATTTGTTTATCTTGATAAATAGTTTCCTTTTTTAAAACTTTTCAAAAAAGCTAACCTGGCAAACACCCAGGTCCGAGTGTGGTGATTGGCTGAGTGGGATCGATTGCCGCGTAAGCACATAGAGTCGGATGTCGATCCCGTCGATCCGTTCCATACCATTGCCCGTCTCCAGAGTTCAGATAGCCCACTTGGTCGGCACTTGCGTCTAAACATTCATGTAATACCTACCTTAAAAATCTAAACACTAGAAAATCTATATACACCACAAAAACCTTTTGCTCGATCGTAGTCCCATTTCGTGTCATCATCCCAAACCCAGCTGAAGTACTGATCACCAAAAACGACGTGCCGCACCACAAAGGCCCCAATCCAATTTGTCGTACTGCCTGTCAAATCTGAAAAGAGTTTAAAGATAACTCTAATTATGGGAACGCGGCTTTGACAAGGTTTTCTTTGTCATCATACTTTTGTCAAAAGTTCTGGTTATCGTTTTAAGCCTCATTAAATTACTTTTCAATATACCCACAAAGTACTTGTTGATATTAAACGTAAAGTGATCAATAGAAATAACCGTTTTCTATTCCATTCAAGTTTTTTGACTGACAGAAACTTGCCAACAGATTGATTTAACTTAAAATTGGTCTAACGAGCTTTATCGATAATGAAACTTGTTAGGGTTTAACGATTTTCGCTAATTTAGGACTGTTATGTGTTACTTAGATGTTTTAGATGATAGATGATTAGATTTTTTAGATAATTACTTGAATCAATATCACCTCATCTCGTCAATATCACTTAGATGAGGTGAGATTGACGCATTTCTAGTATTAGATCGAGAAATTGTTGAAAATGACCTTATAGCATTGCATTGGATATTGGATATTGCTTATATTCAAGCACAAAGTATCGTTAAAACTTAAAGGTTACGCTAGACAAATACTTTAAAGTTTTTGATCGCCTGGCTGCAATGGCTGACTGTCTAAGATCCCTGTATCTTAGTCGAGAGGTCAAGGGTTCAATCTTGCCTAGATTCTTGGTTTTTTTTCCCATTCAGATAGGTTTCTTTCTTCTCTACATTTAGGGCTTAAGGATTGTGCTTTTGTATTGTTTATACAACATTATTTGTGTCAATAAATGCATCTTTAGGGATGAAATCGAAAGATTTACTTGCTGTGAGCTGTCCGAGCAAACCATTCTGGAAAGCGTTATGAATGGAGACAAGACTGGCACCATTACTCGCACAATATTGCTTCGCGTCATCCCAGATCACTAAAAAAAAGAAACTCATTAGTTTACAAGAGTTTTACTAAGTCAATCATAGTCTCCTCACCTATTAGGCTAGTGCATAATCCACAATTTTTCTTCAAAATTTTTGTTTCTCTAGAAAAGAATCCTTTACCAAATTAAACTATTATGAGACTATTAAACTAATAGTTTAAACTAAAAGATCTCTTATTTCTCTACAAAATGAGTTTTTTAAAGAAAGTTCAACCGTATTGGATCTAAAAAGAACCGCATTGGAACCGTATTGGAATGGTATTGGAAGTATTTCATAGGACCTTTTTGGACCTTTTTGAAATTTTTTTTGAAAGTTTTTTTATATTTTTTTTAAAAAAAGGAAATTTAAAAAAATTAATAGGTATGCCTCAACTCAGTAAAAATGTTTTTATGTAAAATTTTCAATTGTTGTTTTCAAGAAAATGGTTAGACGGATCGGTTTCAAATTTTACAGAATTATGTAATCAAATAAGCTCTATCATTTTTACTTTTGCACAAAAATAGGTTTGTACTGAAGAAAGTGTCAAAATTGCAATTCGGAGCAGTTTCAGAGCAGTTTTGGGTGGTCGTCTTTGTGCTGTTGAAAATCCACAAAAACAACTGCTACCAAGAATTTCCCAAAAGCCCTTTTGCAGAGAAATAATTAAACTTTTTAATAGTTTGAATAGAAATTTTGTTAGTGACGGCATTATTTTTAGAAGACGTTTGGAAAAAAAAGAATTGTAAAGTCGATTACAAGTCGATTCAATTTCCACATCTCGAGTTATAGAGTTGTTCTTATAAATGAGTATACAAAACAAATTCTACTTTTCTCTATTCGAATTCAAATTTAATAAGAACTCTTTTAAAAGCGATCACAAGTCGATTCAATTTCCATATCTCGAGTTATAGAGTTGATCAACTTTTGCAGGCAAGTAGTTCAACTTTGATACAAATTTTCTCTACGTTCTTATACATAACTATACAAACTAAATGGTACTTTTCTATAACCAAATTTAATTAGGATCATTTTAAAACTAATCCCAAGTCGATCTGATTACGGAGAGTCGAGATATACAGTAAAATAGAAAAGTGCACTAAACTTACAATAAATTGTTGGTAAAGCTTGTTGTCATCTTGGGGGTGCTTTTGAAAATCCACAAAAACAACTGCTACCAAGAATTTCACAAAAGCCCTTTTGCAGAGAAACAATTAAACTTTTTAATAGTTTAAATAGAAATTTTGTTAGTGACGTCATTATTTTTAAAAGACGTTTGGAAAAAAAGAATTGTAAAGACTTATGCACTAATCAAAGATAAACTCTCTGAAAGTCTAGGTATCCAAAAATGGAGATTTATAATAGTTAATGGTATTTGATGAATAGCTGAATTTGAAATGAGAATTATAATCGGTTTTTTTAAGACTCACTGGGTGTCTGTGTGTAGATGTAGCAAAAATTGAGATCGCCTTGATAGTTGAATCCATTCGGACAATGGGGATCTTTGGAGGAGACAGACGACACAAAGAACAGAACAAATGAAATGAGGAGAAGTCTCATTGTTGAGCAAAATAACACTGGGAAAGAATCGAACTTCGCCTTTATTTGAGGCTTTTGAAGGTGTCACAAAGTACTTGTTCTCTCAGCTCTTTTCTCTTTCTTATCACCAGTCTTTTTGTCCTTTTTGGGGATTAATCTATGGAGATGTAGGTATTTTGTGACGATTTCTCCCGAAAATGAAAGAGCTTCAAGAAATCAGTTCTCAGAGCTTGATGGGGCACATAAATTAGGAAACTAGGGCTGAAGACACTGATCAAAGTCACTGTCAGAATCAGGAGCTGTACTTGCATCGAACCACGTCACAAAATACTCACCCATTTTCTTCTGTTCGTTAATTTGCTGATTTAAAAGGCACTTCAATCTTGTAGAATCCTGAACTTCATAACATTAAGCCATGAGTTTGAATTATTAGCGTAAAAAAAATGTCTATCTTTCTGTATGTTGTATCACTGTAGATCGTATCTTCATAAGATACCTGCTCATTGTTTTTACAGTATCAATACAGTATAAGCAAAGAGTCAAGCAAGATGTGTTCGAATCTAATTCGGTTCGAAGACATTCGGTTCGGTTCGAAGTTCGGAAGACAAATTCGGTTCGAATCTAATTTTATCATCGATTTCTACCTCAAATATCAAGATTTACCTATGAAATTTTTGGATTATGTTAAGCTATTTCTAAAAGAATTCAGAAAAGCCTAATACTTGAGTCAGAAATCGAAGGTGAAGTTAGACTCGAGCCGGAATTTGCACGAATCGGATCATTCTATCTGAATCATCCGAGCTCCGGTCCGATCGATCGAATTCCAATAGTTCTAATGTCCAATAGTTAACCTAAAAGGTTACTAAATAAAATCAGATTTCGAATGAACGCTGATGAAGCTGCAAATTATTCGGAGAGCCAATTGCTACCCAAGTATCAGTAATCTTAAATAAGTATTATAACTTTCACAAGAAAAGCCCTTCGACTGGTACTTTCCCTTCCTTAAAAGCCCCTCGAACACCTGCCTCGATAGCTCAGTTGGGAGAGCGTTAGACTGAAGTAGTCCTCAGCTATCTAAAGGTCACCGGTTCGATCCCGGTTCGGGGCATTTTTTTTGATTTTTTGGAACTTTTTCAACTACAATTAGCAAATACTAGTTAGTAGTTTGGAGAATAGGGTTTTTAGAAAAACTTTCAAATTTCAGTGGTTGAACTGAAGCTTTCAAACACATTGCTTTTTTAGGCAAAAGCAAAAAGCTTTTTTCAACCAATTTCCGGAACACTTTTAGATTTCCTGTCTCCTGGCTATAGAAATAAGCTTTGGTATTCACTTAAAAACAGCTCGTTGATCTTTATAAAAGCCAACACAAACGTCAAAGATTTAGCAAACAAAAAATCAGTACTCACTTTTGAGCTTCTGACTTGTTCATGACTGAAAATAGTCCAAAGCAAGCTTTCGGAAAGTTTTCAATCTTTTATTCTTTTTCCTTTTCTTTTTCAAATGCAAATGGTAAAAGTGGTATTGATGGGCGCCAGGCGTCCAGCGTTTTGTCCCGTTGTTGAAGGAGAGCTTCTCGAAGCTGAAGTTGAGCCTCGTGGAGCTGAAAAGTGATAAATTTTGAAACTGAAGTGAGGAAAATACCCGTAATTAGCCCTAGAATATATATTTGTCATTAAAAGAACTGATTTCTCACTTCTTCCTGTAGCACTCGACTTTTCTTTAAATGTTCCGTGATTTGGGTTGATTTTTGCTTGGTTTATGCTGGAAAATCGGCTCTAGAAACCTGTTGGCTTCAGGCCAAGATCCAGGCTCAGGCCCAGGCTCAGATCCAAGCTCAGATCCAGGCCAAGATCCAGGCTCAGATCCAGGCTCAGACTAAGGAACTAGGTGAGACCAAAATTTAAGCTTAATTCAATCAACAAATTCTTAACACTTTTATGATATGATATTAGAGATTATATGATGGCTTAGGTACAAAACTTGTTTTGACCCGTACCAGACTCTGACTTTTGCCTTGCCCGGCTTACAGATTTGGCTCTTGTCTGTACTAATCTGGCTTACAGTCCCAAGTTACAGAAAACGGTGTATAAAACTTGAGTCAATCATTTAATGGTGGGTTTGGTTTCGAGTCAAAAGGCCAGCTTGACTCGGTGCCTTTCCTTTGTAAGAAGGAGTTTTCCAAGGATCTAGGGACTGTAAGCCAGATTAGTACAGGCAAGAGCCAAATCTGTAAGCCAGGCAAGGCAAAAGCCAGATCCTGGTTCCGGTTTGGTTTCTGATGGACCTAGGGCTAAGCTGGCAGCAAAACGAGCCTAATCTAGACCAGCCAAGGCCAGAGCTAACTCCAGCTCTGGCTTCTGACCCAAGGTCAAATCAAGTTTTGTACCTAAGCCATCATATAATCTCTAATATCATATAATAAAACGTCAAAGTGTTCAAAAAGATACTTTTTTCATTATCGAGGCTCGTTTCTATAAAGTTTTCGTAAGGAATGAGAATAAAAATCCAAAAAAAAACGTGTTAAAAACGCATTAAATCTGTTTTAAACATGTTTTTGGTATTACGAAAACTTATAAATGCTTAAATATTTTTATAAATTTATTAACCAACAACATTTATAAAAAGAGAAATAATAAAATTATTTCTTTTAAAAATTAAAATTTCCGATGTGGCGTTAGCGAACTATGGAAGGGATTTGCGATCTGCTTACCTTTATTTATCTTTACTTGCTAATTTCTAAGATTTATGCAAATTTTGTAATAGAACCGGAAAATATCTTTTTGAACACTTTGAACAATCGATTTATTAAGAAAATCAAAACTTTCTATGTTGAATGCATACAAAAACAGGTGTTGCTGGTGCTCCTCCGATTGCTCAGCGAGTTCCCGACTCGTTTGTCGAGTCGGGAACTCGACAAACGAGTCGGGAACTCCTCTTCAACCAAATCAGCAAGTTTGTCTTCGTCGATTTCCGATGGTCTTCCTGTTCTTGCACTATCCAGAAGTGAGAAATTTCCTTCACGAAATTGTTGAAACCAATTCTGGATAGTTCGTTCGGTCACGAAATCGGGTCCATAAACGTCAGTAATCTCTCGATGAGCCTGTGCGGCATCAAGTTTTCGGTTGAATGCATACAAAAACAGGTGTCGCTGGTGCTCCTGCGATTCAACTTGACACGACATTCCTGAAAAAAGCCTTCTAACAACATCAAAAAAAATAATAAAACAGAAAAAACGAGAAAAACGAAGGAAAACGAAGGAAAACGAAGGAAAAACGTATTAAGAGCGAGATGATGACTCACACTTACTAGGAATTCCTCGTTCAAGGGAAATAATTGCAATTCCCTATCCCGACCACGGAATCTTTTCAACGGTTTCCCAGTGACCCTTCGGCCATGGAACACGTTGCAGACTCCAGTGTAGCACGCGTGCAGCCCCGAACATCTAAGGGCATCACAGACCTGTTATTGAGACTTATAGACTATAGACTAGAGACTATAGACTATAGACTAGAGACTATAGACTAGAGAAAAGCGGCGGAAAGGCTATTAATCTGAGGGTCGCTGGTTCGACTTCCACCGGTGACAATATTTTTCAAAAATTTTTTGCTAAGATTCTGAAAATGCGTGTCTAGGGGTTATTTTTGACGCTGATCACGAAACACATGGTTTTAGCCTAGGTTTCTGCACGGAAAACTAACGAAACGTGAAAACAGCCATTTTTTGGCTCTGCCGCCCTTTACTAAAATAGCTGTAAAAACTTTTAGAAAAGAGATATCTCAAAACGGTTTTTTCTAATCGATCTGTCTTGAATTCAGCTTTAGGATGAGCTATAAAACGTCAAAATTGGACAAATTTAAGGTACTCTCCCAAAAAATCGGAAAGGACTTTTCCATCAACCCAATAGATGAGTTCTTCAAAAAGGAAATGCTAAGATCTCTAAGCCTACTCTTGCCATAAACTAGTAATCCGACACCGTCACCGTACCCCTACCGTACTAGCACGGTACTTATACTGTATTTATTTTAAATTTATTAACCAACAACATTCATAAAAAGAGAAATAATAAAATTATTTTACATTAAAAAAAAGCAGATTTTTCGTTTCCTTTGATGTCGTAATTGATTGTTTTTGAAAGAAGAAGAAGAAGCGAAAGAAGAAAAAATGAAGTATTCATTACAGCAGAAAGGCTATGTTTACATGTTTGAGCACAAAGTACGCAGATCCTTTGCCGTTTTCATCTCCTTGCAAAAATCAATGTGTTGACCAGAAGCGGAAAAAGCAAACATTTCAAGAAAGACGTTCGGGACATTCTTCCGCTTTCTCTGTTTGAGTCCGTCCCTTTCTCCCGTTCTCTTCCGGAATCAGTTTTTTTTTGCTTTATTTGACTTGACTCAGTTAGGATTTTCAGAGTTAAATTCTTCAGAAAGTCTTTTTTTTAAACAGTGTCTACTTTCAACAAATTACCGTAATCTTGTCTCTAGTTTTTTGGGAGATGGTCACATGAGCGCCAAAATTGAACAGCATTGAGCGCTAATGATTTGGCGATCATTCATTTGCGTGCCAACGATTTGGCGATCATTTATTTGAGCACCAGCGATTTGGCGCGCTTTCATTTGAGTGCCAATGATTTGGCGCTCATTCATTTGAGCGCCAATGATTTGGCGATCATTCATTTGAGCGCTAATGATTTGGCGATCATTCATTTGAGCGCCAGCGATTTGCGCATTCATTTGAGTGCCAACGATTTGGCGCTCTTTCAACTCCATTATCTCCCTAATTTCCCAGACGCTATTTACCAACACGTCAATTAAAATATCATCAATTAAACGCAAGAATTTTTTCTTTTTAATGCAATATTTTTCGTTTACTATGTTTGATATTTATTTTAGATTTACTTTGAACAACGAAAGTCGAGTTCATTTCAACTCATCTAGGAAAGCACGCATCTGAATCAGGAAAGAGTAATACACTCTAAAATAAGCGACTATCCTTTACTTCCTGAATGGATTCCGATTTGAAGA